ACCCATGTGTTCCTTTGAAAGACAGCCATCAGCAGAATCACCCAGACAAACAGCCCACTGAAGATACCGGAGTAGAGATTCCAAATGTCATAGTGTCTACTCCTTCATCAAGGGCATTAGTAAGCGCAGCTGGGTTTAATATCGCTCTCCCCCCCCCCCCGTGTGTGTGTGTGTGTGTGTGTGTGTGTGTGTGTGTGTGTTCTATCCTTCTACCATGTGGGTCCCATGGATTGAATTTGGGTCATCGGGCTTGGCAGAAAGTGCTCTTAACCTCTGAATCATCTTTCCAGGCGCCAGCTGTCTTTTGCTTTTGTTTTTGTTTTGTTTTTTTTGTTTTACGAGACAGGGTTTCTCTGTATTGTTTTGGAGGCTGTTGGACCAGCCTGGCCTCGAACTCACAGAGATGTGCCTGCCTCTGCCTCCTGAGTGCTGGGATTAAAGGCTTGTTTTTGTTTTTAATTACACACGAGCAATAATAAAGACTATAATAACGTCATAGTTTGTTCCACTTCCTTGATTCACATGGAGGGCGTCGGAGGTTTTTCTGTTGCTTTGGCAGGATTGATGCATAATGCAGTGAATCAGGTAATCACATCTTAGTTCTAACAGAGAATACTTCAACCGTCAGACCCCCCCACCTCCAAAGGTCTCAGACACTGCCTGCCAGTCATCTTCATGCCTTGAGAACCACTGTTCCACAGAGAGCCAATGGATTTTTCAGGACTACTTAGAAACTAATAAAGTACTCCTTATTCTGTCTTTAGGATAAAATCTATATACAGCATGCACAAGCCAAAGTGTGAATCTGCTGAGCACATCATTAGGCCTTCCGCAGAGAACATGGGAGGCTCCTGGAAAGCTTGGCTATGTTTTGAAAGAACAAGGAGAAGAGCTGGTTTGTTTCATGGTGCTTACTGGAAGGTGGCATTTGGGTAGGGGTTCCTCTGCACAGGTCATGAGCCCAAATATCCTACCAGCAACCAATCAAGCAACTGATCATTCTTACACACGTGCTGGGTAGAAGAAGGGGAGAGGAGGGACCCAAAGGCTGCCAGCAGTGAACATAAAAATTGACCTGTGCTCTCTGTTACAACACAAAGCATTTATTTTTTTATTTATCTCTTTGAATGGTGGAAATTAAATCCAGAGCTCGGGGCCTCATACACAAGTGGTCTACCACTCAAATGTATCAAGCCATAAGTACATAATCTTCAAACCACTCCTCTTCCCTCAACCCAACCATCTCTCTCTACGCCTGACAGTCTCCTGGAGCTTATGGTCTCAGATGTATGCAGCGGACTGGTTTATGGTTGAGGTGTATTAGCAGTCTGCTTATCCTCTGTTAGAATACACACTTCTTGACCACAGGGTTTTCATCAGCACTGCTACTCATTTTGTATAGATTAGACATACTCACCCATCCCAGGTGCCTAGCATAGTGTCCCTGCTCAAAACCATTTTCAGAGAATGGTCCAAGTGTATGTATGTATCAGTAAACAAACCACTAGTGAATGTCTTGAGGATTTCATGATGCTGATGTGTTTATCACCAGTGGTATGGGAACCCACTGCCACTTCGGTGGCAGAAAAGGGTTGATGGGCGTGTGCTATTTTACACAGGGCTGTGAGCACGTGGATAAAGAACACTTTGCACCGTCAGTCTCTACACCAGTGCGTGGTAGTGAGAAGGCTAATGACCAAGAAGAATGAAAGCTCTGACATAGCTGTGCATTTAAATAACCAGCTGCTTGGACAGTCCAGTGTCGACACAGACTCTCAGACACTCCAGTCTCTACACAGACTCTCAGACACTCAGTCTCTACACAGACTCTCAGACACTCAGTCTCTACACAGACTCTCAGACACTGCAGTCTAACACAGACACTGCAGTCTAACACAGACTCTCAGACAGTCAGTCTCAACACAGGATCTCAGACACTCAGTCTCTACACAGGATCTCAGACACTCAGTCTCAACACAGACTCTCAGACACTCAGTCTAACACAGACACTGCAGTCTAACACAGACTCTCAGACACTCAGTCTAACACAGACACTGCAGTCTAAAACAGACTCTCATACACTCAGTCTAACACAGACACTGCAGTCTAACACAGACTCTCAGACACTCAGTCTAACACAGACACTGCAGTCTAACACAGACTCTCATACACTCAGTCTAACACAGACTCTCAGACACTCAGTCTCTACACAGACTCTCAGACACTGCAGTCTCAACACAGACTCTCAGACACTCAGTCTCTACACAGACTCTCAGATACTGCAGTCTAACACAGACTCTCAGACACTCAGTCTAACACAGACCCTCAGATACTGCAGTCTAACACAGACTCTCAGACACTCAGTCTCTACACAGACTCTCAGACACTCAGTCTCAACACAGACTCTCAGACACTCAGTCTCTACACAGACTCTCAGACACTGCAGTCTCTACACAGACTCTCAGACACTCAGTCTCTACACAGACTCTCAGACACTGCAGTCTCAACACAGACTCTCAGACACTCAGTCTAACACAGACTCTCAGACACTCAGTCTAACACAGACTCCCAGATACTGCAGTCTAACACAGACTCTCAGACACTACAGTCTAACATAGACTCTCAGACACTCAGTCTCTACACAGACTCTCAGACACTGCAGTCTCAACACAGACTCTCAGACACTCAGTCTCTACACAGACTCTCAGACACTGCAGTCTAACACAGACTCTCAGTCTCTACACAGACTCTCAGACACTGCAGTCTCTACACAGACTCTCAGACAGTCTCTACACAGACTCTCAGACACTGCAGTCTCAACACAGACTCTCAGACACTCAGTCTCTACACAGACTCTCAGACACTCAGTCTCTACACAGACTCTCAGACACTGCAGTCTAACACAGACTCTCAGACACTCAGTCTAACACAGACTCTCAGATACTGCAGTCTAACACAGACTCTCAGACACTGCAGTCTAACACAGACTCTCAGACACTCAGTCTCTACACAGACTCTCAGACACTCAGTCTCAACACAGACTCTCAGACACTCAGTCTCTACACAGACTCTCAGACACTGAAGTCTAACACAGACTCTCAGACAGTCTCTACACAGACTCTCAGACACTGCAGTCTCTACACAGACTCTCAGACACTCAGTCTCTACACAGACTCTCAGACACTGCAGTCTCAACACAGACTCTCAGACACTCAGTCTCTACACAGACTCTCAGACACTGCAGTCTAACACAGACTCTCAGACACTCAGTCTAACACAGACTCTCAGATACTGCAGTCTAACACAGACTCTCAGACACTCAGTCTAACACAGACTCTCAGATACTGCAGTCTAACACAGACTCTCAGACACTGCAGTCTAACACAGACTCTCAGACACTCAGTCTCTACACAGACTCTCAGACACTCAGTCTAACACAGACTCTCAGACACTGCAGTCTAACACAGACTCTCAGACACTCAGTCTCTACACAGACTCTCAGACACTCAGTCTAACACAGACTCTCAGACACTGCAGTCTGACACAGACTCTCAGACACTGCAGTCCTCAACAGTTCAGATGATGCTATTTTTAAAAACCAGATCTTCTTTCTTCTTTGTCTTTTTTATTTATTATGAGTGTGTATATATGAGTGAGTTTGTGTGTGTGTGTGTGTGTGTGTGTGTGTGTGTGTGTGTGTGTGTGTATTGTATAGCACTGGTTGAAGATGCCTGAAGAGGCCAGAATAGGGATCCCTAGAGTTGGGTTACAGGTTGCTAGCTGTAAGTCACCCCATCTGAGTGTTCTGAAAGAGTATTCCTAACTGCTGAGCCATCTCTCAAAGTCACCTTTTTATATTTTTATTTGGTGTTTAAGAAAAATAATACTCCAAGATTTTATGTGTTTAAAAAACTATAAAAATTGAATTTTTGTTAAAAAATAATCAAAAGTCAAGCATGTTAATTAGTTCATTTTATATATGATATTAAATATCCTACCTAGTGTGCTTAATAAAGGAATTTCTTTATGGAAAAACTGATGTGTTGTATGTAAAAATTAATTTTAAGACCCTGTGAATAATAAAAAATAAATATGCCCCTATTGATCCAGGACTTTCCAAAACTTATAAAATGTGAATATTCAACAAATGAAAATGAACAACTTCCCACTGCCACTAAATGGCAGGGCACTGGGGCTTTCAGAGTGAGTGGGTAACAGTAGTGAGCGGTGAAGAGATGAAGGAGTGAAGGGGAGAAGTATTGAGGGGTAAAGAATGTGAGGAGTTAAAGGGTGAGAGAGTGAGGGATGACAGAGATGAGGGGAGGAAGGTGACTAAGGGGTGAGGGGTGAGGGATGAGGGGTGAGAAGATGAGGGATGAGGGGTGGGGGGTGAGGGGATGAGGGGTGAGGGATGAGGGGATGAGGGGTGAGGGAGTGAAGGGTGAGGGGGTGAAGGATGAGGGGATGAGGGGTGAGGGATGAGGGATGAGGGGTGAGGGGTGAGGGATGAGGGAAGAGAGATGAGGGATGAGGGGTGAGGGGTGAGGGATGAGGCTTGAGGGGTGAGGGGTGAGGGGTGAGGGGTGAGGGATGAGGGATGAGGGGTGAGGGGTGAGGGATGAGGGAAGAGGGATGAGGGGTGAGGGGTGAGGGATGAGGGGATGAGGGGTGAGGGGTGAGGGGATGAGGGGATGAGGGGTGAGAGGTGAGGGGATGAGGGGTGAGGGGTGAGGGATGAGGGGATGAGGGGTGAGAGGATGAGGGGTGAGGGATGAGAGGATGAGGGATGAGGGGTGAGGGGATGAGGGATGAGGGGTGAGGGGTGAGGGGTGAGGGGTGAGGGGTGAGGGGTGAGGGGATGAGGGGTGAGGAGTGAGGGATGAGGGGATGAGGGGTGAGGGATGAAGGGTGAGGGATGAGGGGTGGGGGGTGAGGGATGAGGGGTGGGGGTGAGAGGATGAGGGCCTGAGGCCGTGCTCCTCTTCTGCCAGGAGACTCACCCGTACGCTGCCCGCTGTCTCTGGAGGGCGATGGCTGCCAGCTGCAGCCTGCTCTCCACCAGGATCTCCAGCTCCTGAGCAGAGCACTGGCAGAGGGGCTTGTGGCACTGATGCTCCACCTCAGACACCAGGGTGTTGAGCCTCTCCTCAGCTTCAATCAGTAAAAGTGACTAAAGAAAGCACATCGCACAGTCACACAAATTCAGAGACAAAGTTTCACCCTTGACAAACGCAATTCTTCAGTTCAGAGAAGTTAACAGGAGCCGGGAGATACAGAAGGACAACTGACGCCAGGCACAGAAAGGAGAATGTGGCAGCCGGGACGGCTGGACAGTAGAGCGGTAGGAGCCCTCTGCTCACAGATCTGTAAAGCTGCCATTGGCATCCACTAGTGAACACTAAACATCGCCTCGTGGGGACAATGGTGACAAGTGTGCCTGGGGACCGCCCGTAACATGCTCACTAGGTGATTAGTGTTCCACCTTGTTTTCATGCGCCTTTACCCTTTATTTACACTTTATGCCTCACATACTGCTGCATTAACCCTGAGTTCACAGACAAAAGAACTGTAGTTCATGACTGAATGAAATCTACATGGTGAATCTATTTTCTCTGCAAGGCCCATCACAAACACTAGACAGCATTTTAATATGCTGCATGAGGGGCATTTAAATAGCAAGACTCATTGACAACAGAAACACAGTGGGAGGAAATATAGCACATGTTTGGGGACTACTAATGAAAAAGAATATGAAGCTGAGATATTTTAAGCATTGACATGGCACTCCAAAAGCTTTAGATGCTAACACATTTAGAAGTTTGGATTAGGGATGCTCAAGCAGTGAAGTCTATGCAAATATTACAAATATTACAAAATCCCCCGGAATCTGAAGATTACGGTAAGGGTCACTCAACCTGTACTAACACACCAGAGAAGTGTAGAAGGGCTACCTGGCAGTCTGACAGAGGGAGGAAACCACGTGTCAGCGCAGAATCTCTTTCACCATGGTGGGCCTGAAGGCATACTGTGTATACACACACACACACACACATTTATGATCAAATTTTTGACACACATTTGTCCACAAATGATCATAAAAGTGTATACTCTTTGAAGTTACAAGTAAATGTTAGTAAATGGGTTAATTAGCAGACAGAATACATAACGAAGACAGACTGTATTCCAAGTTTAATTCTGGTTACCTAGTTGGTAATATGGAGGTAATGAGATTTTATGACAGTCAATCAATAGTAAGCAGAATTAGCCGGGCGGTGGTGGTGCACGCCTTTAATCCGAGCACTCGGGAGGCAGAGGCAGGCAGATCTCTATGAGTGTGAGGCCGGGCTGGACCGATAGCCTCCAAAACAATACAGAGAAACACTGTCTCGTAAAAACCAAAAAAAAAAAAAAAGTAAGCCGAATTAATATGGCAGAAAAAGTCTTTCAAACAGCAGTTCTCACCATGCACTTCTGAAACCGGACTGGATCTAAAAGCCTTCTCCCTGAGGACTAGCTGTCACGGTACTGTAAGAAGGTACTATGCAAGCTTTGAAAGAGAGGACACAACCAAAAGACCTACCCAAGTATGATGTCTACGAACCGTAACAGCAACCAGCATGGCAGGATTACCTTAAGCATGCAGTAGTGGCACACATACCTATGTTGTAACCAACAGCTCTTTAATTGAGTTTAAGACAAGCTCAGCAAGACAGAACTCATGTGTGGTGCCAGAAACCTAGCAAACTATCCAGGGCTAGTGAACTCATGGATCTTGGAGATGGGCCTGCTAGAACTGCCTCTTCACTATACCAGCACAACAATCCTTAGCTACATTTTAAATAGCTGTCCATATGGCCCAGGTAAGTATAGCTCTCATTCCTTATCAAGGAAACTTCTCTTTGTGATAGACAGAGACCATTACAGAAAATCACAACCCAACATTTTGAGACAACAAAATGCAGACAACTCTACATTTTGAGCCCAGTCCCAAATGAAACACAAATACTACTCCTGCACTCAAAACCCAGGGGGACATGATGAGGGGGGCAAAATATTTTAAGAGCCAGAGGACCAGTAAAGGTACTGTGAGATTTTATCTTTCAGAAATATCAGAAAAGCTACATGCATGAAATCTCATCAGCATGGCAGCCTAAATAAGACCTGAAGAAGACAGCATCATTAGACATGCTTGTAGAAGGGGAAAGCTCACCAGGTTTCATGTCTACACATGAACTACAAGCATATAAGGAATGCTGAGAGTGAGAGACATAGTCTTCCCAGGGAAGAGCTCATCAATTAGTTATCCAGTGTCAAAGATTAGCTCTGAAGCCATAACATACAAGAAACATTATACAGACTGATCAGGTTGGTTTTTTTGGTTTGGTTTGGTTTTGGTTTTTTTTGGTTTTTCGAGACAGGGTTTCTCTGTGGCTTTGGAGGCTGTCCTGGATCTAGCTATTGTAAACCAGGCTGGTCTTAAACTCAAAGAGAGAATCAGGTTGTATTTATGAATTTAGGAATGTATATATCTACACACAAATTAAGTCATTAATTTGAAAGGCAGAAAGGTGGGGCTGTCCATGAGAGGGTTTGAAAGGAACAGAGGGAAGGGAGAATGATGTAATTGTATTATAGTCTCAAAATTAAAAAGAAATAGAAGAAAAAGATGTCTAAAAATTTGTGTGTACCAAGCAAGGACTATCATAGGTAATTTAGTATAATGGTTAAAACCATGAACCCTTTAAATAAATAAATAAAGTAAATAGATCTGATTCCCAGATCTATATTTTATTATTTGAATAACAAATTTCATATATTGTCTAAAGCTTAGGAGTTTTGTTTTTTTGTTGTTGTTTTGTTTTTGTATATGTGTGTTGTTGCTATCGTTGTTTTTGTTTTTCAAAACAGGGTGTTTCTGTGTAGTCCTAGCTGTCCTGAAACTCACTCTATAGACCAGGCTGGCCTCTAACTCACAGAGATCCACCTGCCTCTGCCTCCCAAGTGCTGGGATTAAAGACATTCACCACCAATGCCCAGAAACCTTAGGTTTTTTGCTTGTTGTTTTTGTTGTTTCATGAAATACAATGTAGTGAAAAACATGATTAATACCTATATCATAGAAGTATGAGAATTACACCACCATGCAGAATACCTGTTGTGTAGTGAGCTTTTTTGATAAACGATTACCATGATTTGAAGAAAAAAAATGAAACATTTGGCTTACCTTTATCATGCTAAGAGTGTACTCGTCTCTGAATCTTGAAATTTGACAGTGTGAGTTTTCATTATCCTTTGTGTACAAATCTAAAGACATGAAATTTTTAAAGAAATATCAAGGATCAATGGTTAGGTTGTTAAAAATCTATCATTCATAGGATACATAAATAAATACAATTAAACAAAATCAACAATGAACATTAGAAACACATTTGTTTATCAACACTCTCTAAATACACCTTAGAATGCTGGTGCTTGTCTTTGCAACAATTAGACAACTCTGACCAGGTCCTTTGCATGCTGAATGATGCTACTTGCGTTATTCATTTCTGATATAAAATTGTGGTTCTTCTCCTGATCTTTCAAAAATTTCTAGCACTTCAAATAAATAAACGACAACATTCTTGGAAACTGTCTAGTTAGGGTTTTATTGCTGTGAAGAGACACCATGATCATGACAAATTGCATAAAGAAAAACATTTAATTGGAACTGGCTTACAGTTCAGAGGTTTAGTCCATTATCATCATGACTGGAAACATGGCAGCTGAATTCACAGACAGTCAAAAGAGACTGCTTCACTGGGTGTGGCTTGCTCATATAAGACCCGAAAGTCTGCCTCCACAATGACACACTTATAAGACCACACCTCTTCATAATGCCACTCTCTATGGGCAAAACATTCAAACACATGAGTCTATGGGGGCCATTCCTTTTCAAACCACCACAGAAACATTGGTTCTATTGACATGTAGAAGCCCTTGCTGTAATGGCAGAGAGTAGGAGCATCTGGAACAGCAAGTCCTTTTAACCTATGTAGTCAAGTATCTCCCAGATTCCTGATTGAAAACCTAAAGTCTGCCCTTATTCTGAAGCAGATAAAAAAGCCTGATAAATCAGAGAAAAAAAGCATGAATAAAAATACACAGTGCCAAGGAAATTGGAGTTATCATTAAGCTTACTACACATTCATGGTAGGATTGACAGAGGGAGGGCAGAGAAGGAAAGGTGGAAGAAGTAATAGCTGGGATTGACCAGATAGTTTAGAGGGTAGAAACTCCTCTGCAATATGAGCCCAAATCCTGGGAATCTATGGAAATGTGGAAGGAGAGAATCAGCTGCACAAAGCTGCCCTCTGACCTCCAGGGGAGCCATAAAAAATCCTGGTGTGGATGTACATGCCTGAGGCCCCAGCATTAGAGAAGCAGACAGATAGACCTAGGAGCTCATTAGTGCCACAACACTGAAAGACCCTTCTCAAGAAAACAAGTCAAGGATCAGTAGAAGAAGCCATGATGCTCTTTACTGGTACACACACACACACACACACACACACACACACACACACACACACACACACACACTTAAATTTTTTAAAAAGAATAGTTTAAAATTCCTCCAGGTTGGGCTAGGAAGATGATTCAGTGACTAAGAGAACTTTTAGTGAAAGCAATAGGACCTGAGTTCAAATATTCAGTCCTACGTAGAAGTTGGGCATGACTGTGAATGTTTGCAACCCCAGTGTGGACGCAGAGACAGGTAGATCCTGGGAGCTCTGTAACCAGCCAGACTAATTGAATCAGCAAGTTCCTCGTGTAATAAGACATCCTGACTCAGCAAATTAAGTGGAAAATGATAGAGGAAGATATCAAATGTTTTTTTCGGGCCTCTGCATATGTACACATAGACATATGCACCCATGTATACACAAACAAAAATATTCCTGAACTTTATTAAGAAACAATCAACATCCAGATTGCTCAACAAACTCCCAGTAAGAGAAATATAAAGACACATGCTAGTAACATGAGAGAAAGTATGTTGGAAATCAACAATAAGAAAATTGTGAAATGGTAAAAAGAAAATAATGATTTATCAAGATTAATTCCCAGCTTCTCATTAGAAACAATGGAACACAGAACATGTTATGATACCTTCAAAGTGACTAATTTGTCAACCAAGACTCCCAAAGCCAAAAGTGGTATTTCAAAAATGAAAGCCAAGAAATCTCTTAAGTTAAAGAGAGACTGAGAAAATGTTTGCTATCAGACCCACCATAAATATGACTATAAAAGAGATTTGGGGGGCTAACAGCAAGTGACCCTGGATGATGGATGATTCAAATCCATATGAAAAGTCAGAAGCAGCAGTATGGATGATTGCGCTGTGGAAGATGCTGTGTGTGCACTCTTCCCCATTCTTCTCTATACTGCGCCAACCAGCGACTGTATAAAATCATGTGTACTAAGGACTGGATTGGGCTGATGAGATGGTACAATGGTTAAGAGCACTGCCTATTCTTCCAAAGGTCCTAAATTCAATTCCCAGCAACCACATTGTGGTTCACAACCATCTGTAACGCCATCTGATGCCCTCTTCTGGTCTGCAGGCATACATACATGAAGGCAGAACACCGTATACATAATAAATAAAAACAAAAGCTTACCTTTAAGGTTTGGGGTGTTGAGCTTGTTCTTGTCAATGACAACTGAGTGGTACAGTTTGTTATCTGGGATACAGTTTATCGTTGCAGCCAAACTTATGAAGAAGTGGGCCTTGACAAAATTAAATTTATTTAAGAGATGTTGCTGGCCAAGAGTAACCAGAATGAAAGGCAAGCCTTTGTTGATTAAATCTTCAAGTGCCTACAAATGAGAAGGGGACAGGGACAGGTTAGTTAAACATCTCACATGTTAGTATGGCTCCTGTTTCATCTTCCTGATTGGGTGCCAGATGAAGGATTAGACACGAGAGTTCCATAAGCAGCAGAACCATTCCAGTGCCTCAGTATCCCATCCTGCCCTGCCACATAATGAGAGACCAAGCCTGGGGTCAGAGGGATGAAACAGACTTCCCAACAGTTCAGAGAGACTACAGAAGCTCAACAGTCACACATACAGGCTGCTCCAAGTTACCATGAGTACAGACTAGACAAGAATAGGGAAACAGTGTCCTTACCCAGCTGAGCATACATGGTCAGTGGTGACCTTTCCCAAACCCTCTCCATCAAATACCCACTTCCTTTGCAACCAGGACTCTAAAGTTCCTTTGATGTCACGCAGTGGAAGAGGGCAGATGAAAATCACATGACAGGGCAAGTGGTCCTACACTGAGGACCTTCGGCAGCAGTCATCCTACAGATTGCCTGTCCATTCATGGTCCACCCAGTCATTTCACACTCTCTTCTCCTCTAAATTTTAACTATCCCTCCCCTCTTTCCATCTGCTGAGGTCTGAAAATGTGTCTGTATTGTTGATTGGCTGATATTTGACTGATAGACACCAAAATGGTCCCTGGCACAGTGGGCTCAACAGACTAAAGAGATCTCTTTAAAACTGGAGGCAAGTGAAGTGGTTCTGTGAGTGAAGGTGGTGGCCACCAATCCTGAGGACCCCAGAACCTACATAGTAAACAAAACCAAACTACTGGAAGTTGTCTTCTGACCTCCATGGGCAAGCTGTGGCATGTGTCCCACCTACCCAGATAAATAACAAAATGTAAGGCATAAAACTAAAGAAACACCTAAGTGGGTCAGATCGCACTTTTGCTCAAATATCTTCAATGGCTCCCAGTTTTGCTTAGATAGAAGCTTATGTTACAATGTCCCTACAAGATTTCTCAGATAGGAGCCTATGTTACAATGTCCCTACAAGATTTCTCTGTGTACCCTCTCTGACCTTATGTTCCGCCACTCCCCACCATCCATACAACTCTAGCCACACTAGTCAGAATAACTCTCATCAATCCAAGCAAGCTTACTATAAGACCTCTGCACTAGCCCCATTTCTAGATTATTCTTTCTTGAAATTGCTGGGTCTTTCCCAATATACAATGTGAGCCACTTCTTTGTGTTTATAACATTTATTATTACTAACCCTGCCCATTAAAGTATAAGCTCCATAAAACTCGGTGTTAGCTTGTGATGCTCCCTGGCTGTGGTCAATGGCCATGGAACAGTGCCTTGGAAGTAACAGACTCTTAATCATTTCTGAACTGATATAGAATAAAGAAGATGCTGGAGCTATCCTAGAAAAAGAAAGAAACTACTCCCCTTACATAAACAAGTTAAAAAAAACATCATTTGGGAAAATTTGAAACAGCTAAACAACTATAGGTGTGGACAGGTTAGGTTGTCTGCTCGCTGCTCCTCCTTCCTTAACCTATTCTGTGGGTGGAAACCAATGGGTATGGAAGAGCAGCTACTGGCCAGAGGTGAGGACCAACCATGGCACCAGGGAAATCATCAGTCTCCCTATCCTGAGAAGAAACTACAGACTGACTGGGAGTGAGATGAGAAAGGACCTTTCTCTTCTTTTCCCTCCTCAGCAAACTGATTTAATGAGCCTTGACAATTACACACAAACACTCGAGGATCAAAGGAAGATTAATTAGTAATGCTATTTAACACTCCTTTCTCTCCCTCTATGCAGAAAAGACCAAGTGTAACCTGAAGAGTCTTAAGCAGGCCAACAGTACTGTTTTAATTAATTAGCTAATAGAAATCGGATTATTCCATTATGCTGTCAGTCTCTTTTTGAGTAAAAAGAAATGATCAGACAGACATTCTTTCCAGACTGAACACTGCTCCATAAGAAACGTTTTTTATGATGGGCCTGGCATTTGTGACTAGAAAGAAAGGAATATTCCTAAACTCCCTGAGGTTTTGGAACACCTAATCATGAAAATGAAATTTTGTCTTCCTAAAGCAGTCTTTTCATTTTAGGCAGCTTGCTTATGAATTAAAATAAAATTTTAAGAAAAAACATTGAATGATATGAAACATAATCAAAATAAAGTAAAATAAAGTGCACAATAAGAGAAAAGTAGTAAGATTACATTTAACAATGTAATACTTAATTTTGCTGTATCAAAATTAAGAAAAACAAAAATAAAGCAGTCAAAATCATTTTTGAGTTACTGAAAATAAACACCTTATATATTAGCTACTTTCGATGCTATGACAAAATCCCTGAAAAGGCAACTTCACAAAGGAAGGGTTTATTCTACCCCTTGACAGGGAAACCACTGCAGCAGGAACACGAGGTGTCTGGTCACATTGCATCCAGTCAGGAAGCACAGAGCTAAATGCTGATGTTCAGCTTGCTTTCCCTTTTTTTTTTTTGTTTTTGTTTTTGTTTTTGTTTTTTGTTTTGGTTTTTTTGCAAAGCTGGTACCATATGGACTAGCAGTGTGTTGCCTGCTTCCCCAGCCCCAGTTACAGCTGACTGTGTCCACTGGAGGCTGACCCTGAGGAAATCCTCTCCTAGATGGATGATGTGAAGCTGACAGCCTCCTGGGGTAGCATTGTGAGTTAAGCTCTCTCCCTAGCAGCTTTCCTTTTCACCTTTATTGGTGGGGTCTTGCCCTCAGGGCTTTTCTGACTTCCCATTGTATGGCACTAGGTATTCCTTTAGTGTGCTAATCTCTTTAACAATGGCACTGCTTTTTCTACCACAAAGTTGTGAGCAACGTTAAATGCTCACACTCCTTTCTGTGACAAACTTTATATTCTCCCCATCTTTCTGTTCCATTTGCTACCCTGTCACTCTGCAAATCTAAGTAAAAGCAGTCAGCAGTACCCATGCCATGACACAAAGCCACCCTGTCTTGAAATTCCCTCTGTCAAATAAAGTCTTCCATTGCTTTTGAACCCAATTGGATCAAGTTGTTAAGGCATGGGCAGAACACAACCAGATTCTTTGCCAGAATGTAACATGAATGGCTACTAGTCTAATTCCTGATAGAGTTCATGGTCCCCTCTGGAATGTCACGAGCCAGACTTCCATTGTCCACAATTTCTTGGCCTTCTGGTTTTCCAAGCTTCTACTAGATGAACCACTAAGTTCTATACATGACATTCTAGGACTTTTCTAGCCTGAAACTTCAAACTCTCCTACACTGGTCCTGCACACAGCTTCCAGTGGCCTAACCACCCCATGGTCTGTCTTTATCAGCAATGACCCCACTTTTGGGACCAAGGTTTTATATTAGCTACTTTTCTCATGGCTGTGACAAGACACCTGACAAAAGCAAACTAGGAAAATAAGAATTTGTTTGGCCAACAGTTTGAGAAAACGGTCCATCACTATGGAGGAGGGAATGGCACCAGAGGATGGCTAGTCACACTACATCCATACTGCAGAAGAGTGATAACCACTGAAGCTAGGCGTGTAAATAAAGACTGCTCTTTCATTCAGCCCAAGAGCCAGAGAGGATCTTCCCTCTTTTAAGCCTTTCTGGAAACAGCCTCTTTAGACACACCCAGAAGCCTGTTGCCATGGGGATTCTAAATCCAGTCTTGTTAATTGGGAACATTAATCACCACAGCTTAATTAAAGACAGAATGTTGTTTGCTCCCCTCAATCAATCAATCAATCCTCCTTCTATCTGTCCACAATAACTGTTCCTGCATTACTGGGCTCATGTCTTCTCTGTCACTAGCACCTCCCCTAACCCTTGTGACAATGGCTGTCCTGAAAGGCCTTCTAGGTAAGCACTTTAAGGTGCTAATGACATCATTAGGTTTTTTAAAGTTGTTTTTTTTAACACTTAAATGTCACTAGGAAATCAAATGCTTAAATACCAATCATTTGATTGTTGACAGGTGTTAATAGGCAATCTTATCCTCATTTTGCAAAAAAAGAAAACCTATTGAGGAAATCAGAGGAGCTGCATATGAAAATGTTACATAAAGGCAAACCCTGCAGTTGGTGGGTAGTCCTGGAACTGAGAAGAAAGGATACAAGTAGCAGCCATATTGAACACAACATGTGGGCTGCTCCTAATAGTAAGAAGTTCTTTAGTTACAATGGATTCATTTGTTACCTTTTAGGTAACCAAGACATTTGAATAGGAAAGCCAGAAATAATGACATGACTGTACAAGCCAACTGGACACATCTAGTTTAGAAGCTAGTTACTGGCCTAGCCATCAAGTTAGTTTAATACATTTATAACTGTAACCTCAGAATTTTGTGACCAAAACCCTAATATCAGACATTTTAAAACAAAAGAGGAAATTGGGAGTTCAAGGATATCCTTGGCTACACAGTGAGTTCAAGGGCAGCCTGGGCTACATGAGACCTCGTCAACAAATAGAAAGTGGGGGGAGGAGAGAGAAGAATGAGCACATACAGAGCAGCATTTCAAAACTGAACTCAGGAAATTTCCACATTAAATATTGTTATTACCTGTATGTTGTCTTTACTGGTAAGAGGTTTTCCAGAGTCAAATGATTGAGTTATCTGTCAAAAATACAAAATATTAACAGTAAAAGCCATGTTTATTTGAGCATTCTTTTAAGTGGAACTATTAATGTATCCTAAAACCATTTAAGGACCATTTTCTTGTCAAAGTAATACACGATCTAGTCAGAAATATTAGTATTAAAAAAACTAAAAATTTTATGTAAGTCACCTTCTTTTAGGCAGTAAATGTTAGTATTCTGATGTCTTTCCTGTCCTTTCCTTGCTGATTATTTTAAAATTAAATACTCACTTACATTCCATTTTCACTAACAATTACCTAGTTTTATTCCTACAAAAGTGAATCATTTGCAAACGTCAGTCTAGAAGGGACCAATGAATGCAGTATAAGAGCTAAATTTATTTGCTATTTTGAGTTATTGCCTAGTGTGGCCATTCCCCATGGTCACATCAGCAACCAGCCTGAAGTGAAGGAATATCGGTGAGTATTTTGTCTATGTTTTGATTATTGCCTTTGTATTAAATCTAAGTATGAGTTCTGGGTCAGAAGACAAGAATATCTTGAGGAAATGGAAAGGGGCTGGTTCAGAGGCCCTGCCTATTCACACCACGTGACTGAACTTCCCACCACGCCCACCCACACCACGTGACTGCACTCCCCACCACGCCCACCCATGCCACGTGACTGCACGTCCCACCACGCCCACCCACACCACGTGACTGCGCGTTCCACCACGCCCACCCACACCACGTGACTGCACTCCCCACCACGCCCACCCACACCAGTGACTGCAGGTCCCACAGCATCAAGCAATAGTCTCACTTACAAAACTGTGCCATTCTGAGGTGACAATGGTTCTTTTCCTTTTAGTATGTCAATCACAGATTCATAGTTGGTTCTACTTATTCTGACTAAAGGGAAACATTTGTTCCCACAGGAAAATGTAGTACCACAAAACAGAATACATCTCTTTCCACCCTGACAATCATCTTGAAAAGATGTACCTTCAGAGGTGCCAACACTGATTCGGTTCTCCTACCTCCCCAGCCTTCAGGAAGTATGCAACCGCTTCCAGGGACAGACAAGTAAGTAACTTACATACAGGTGGTTTATCTTTGTCTGAGGCTACATTCTATGGTCCTAACAACATTCAGGGGACCCCCCAGCAACTCAGGGCTTTAATGTTCCACCCACTCTGAGGAACCCAAAGGAGTGACGTTTTCACTAACGGTTTTGGACCGTTTTCTTCCTGTTGCTGTGGATTGTTCCTTCTCACTCAGCATGCATTCTAGAACCCCCTCCCAAACACGCTGCTCACCCCCAAATCCTTCTCTCTAGATGCTCACATCAAATACCTTAACAGTCATTGCAAACCAGCAGTGCTACGGCAGAGTTCCCCTTCTGAAGGTATTCTTATCATCTATGAGACCCTGAAAAACTAATGACTCAAACAAGGGACTTCACCTTGACATAAATGAAGGGAATTCTTAATAGGACTTTACATTTAGTGACAACAGGGGAATCTTGATGCAAATATATGGCAAAATTTAGAACTTTTTGAATCACCATGAAGCTTGGTAATCTATAAGTTTTTCAGCTACTTCCTTTGCAAGTGAAACTAAATTCATTAAAACCTTCTTTAAGTAAGGGGCCTGCAGCCTAATAACATTGGTACCTATTTTAATTATAAACCCTGAAAGCATTTTCTCTTTTAATTACACTTTTAAAATCCCAATTGAAGGTGGAAAGCTGCAAATTAACTCTGAGAATATAAAATTTGAAGTCAGAATCCACCGGGAGATGATTCACCTACACATTTATCTTATGAAAGTTACTAGATAAAAATGAAGTATGTGACATCCATGTAAAAATGGCTTCTGAACTTGTTACTGTTTGTTTTCTTGAAGGAAATGGCCATTGAAAACTCTTGTTTCTCAACCCATGAACATGGTTTTTCTCTCCATCTTTTCTTCCTGGACTGTACATTTGGATGACCCTAAATTCACTTCTTTTGGCTTCTGTTTTTTGTTGTCTGCCTTGGCTCCCAGATTATTTCAAAGTAAGATAAACTAATCCTATGCCTTACCTAGGGTTTTAGTTACTATTGCTGTAAACTAAAGGTACTTGGGGAAGGAAGGGTTTATTTGGCTAATTTTCCATCACTGATCATCAGAACTCAAACAGGGCAGGAATCTCTAGGCAGGAACTGATGCAGAAGCCATGGAGGATGCTGCTTACTGGCTTGTCTCATGGTTTGCTCAGCCTGCTTTCATATAGAACCTGGGGCCACCAATCCAAATGGTCTGGGCCTTCCCACATGAATCTCCAAGAAAATGCTCTACAGGCTTGGCGGTAGCCCACTCTTACAGATGTATTTTCCCAATTAGGTCTTCCTCTTTTCCAGCCACTCCAGTGTATATCACGTAGACATAAAACTAGCCAGCACAGACTATTATTTTAAATCTGGGTGTTACTACTCCCAGATTCATATATGCAACCCCAACTGGTCCCCTGTGTTCCAGACATTACTCCTCTACACTATAGATGCTACACCACCTAGTTGTCTATGGATGTCATATGCAGCTTGTTCAACTCCTCCTTCATAGTATATGAAAACCACCTGCCAACTGTTCAGACACTCTCCAGTCATCCTTGACCTCTGCTCTTACATTCCATCTCTGAACCCCAATCTGATGCTGCCAGCTGTTCCTTCACAATCTATATAGAATAGACCACTGCTCACTCCCCTCCATTGCTATTACCCCAATAATCACTCTGCCACTTCAGATTACCTGGCCCCGGAGTCCTCCCCTCCTCCCCTCCTTTTCCTACAGCCTCACTGGGCCTACCTGGTCTTTCCCAATAATAGCTCACAAGCATCTTCCCCATGGTCTTTGTCACACAGTGATTTGTGCCTGGAAGGTCATTCCCCCAGATCCCTGCTTGGCTCCTGTCCTTCACCAGTTGCTAATGAGAACAACCGTCCAAAAACACCTGAATAACAACACAGCAGGCCACCATCCAAGTCAAGCTTCTCCCCCTCATCTCTGCTGGACTGGGCTCAGAGCACATGGCCCCTGTCACAGAGCTGTGTGTTCAGGGTTTATGATCCGCCCCTCGCCCCAACAGAAACCAAGCTCCAGGAAAGCAGTAGCTCCAGGCCGGTCTTCACCACTCCTTCTCCATGCCTAGAACAGTGCCTGCGTTCAATAAGCACTCAAGAAACAGACTGAACCTACTGAACTATAATTTTCATAACAAAGGGCAGGCTGTTTATAATATGAAAATATTGTTGACTGGGAGGAAAGCGAGAAAGCATAACTTAATCCAGACAAGAGGATAAATCCATTTACACCACAGGGAGTAAATGAATAGCCAACTTACTTCTCTCCTGAAGTAAGTGCCGGGTTGTTTTATGTCAACCTGACACAAGCAAGGGTTATCAGAGAGAAGGGACCCTCCATTGAGAAAGTGCTTCTAAAGGTCGGGCTGCGCGTAAACCTGCATGGCATTTTCTTAGTTTCTGGTTGATATGGGAGGGCCCAGCTCACAGCGGGTGGTGCCAATCCTGCACTGGTGGTTCTGGGTTCTGTAAGAAAGCCAGTTGAGCAAGCCAGTAAGCAGCACCCCTCCATGGCCTCTGCATCAAATCTTGCCTCCAAGTTTCTGCCTGTTTGAGTTCCTGTCCCTGCTTCCTTCAATGATTGACTATGATGTGGTAGAGTGAGCCAAATAAACCCTTTCTTCTACAAGTAGATTTTGGTCATAATGTTTCATCACAGCAATAGTAAGCCTGACTAGGAGAGGTGTTTATCCACACATAGACAGCTAGGCAGGTGTATATCCACACGTACACCACATATACCACATACTATATATAATGCATACATATATTTTGCAAGTAGATATACATATATATATTTATATATTCAAATTGCTTAGTGAAAATTCCTATTAAGATGCTCTATACATAACTTCACACTTTCATGAAGCCCAGGCTGATCTCAAACCTGCCAAAGATGACCTTAAATGTACTGGGATTACAGGCATATAGAACCACACTAAGTTTTTGTCGTTTTTTTTTTTTTAATTCAGTGCGGGAGGTTGAATCCAGGGCTTCGTGTATCCTGTGACATCAACTGAGCTACCTCCTCAGGCCCACACTCACCCTGTGTTTCCAGGGTTACAGATCCATTCCAGGTATACACACGCAGGCACACACACACACACACACACACACACTCTCTCTCTCTTCTACTATAGTACTGTGTCCCCGACCTTAGTTATAATAAATAACAGTACTGTACCAATTTTATGGAATATGAGAAGATGCACTTTAAAGACTACATTGAAGTAATAAACAACACATAAATATGATGCCAACTTATATGAGTGATTTTCAAAACTTGAGTTCATTGTAGGTTCTCTAAAGTTGAGTTCAACTTCTTCCTACATGTGTCTGTCAGTGTCATTCTCCTTGGGGAATGACTTGCTGTTTACATATGTGTGTGGGGTGCACGCACATGTGTGCAGGACCATGTATCTGTATATATCCATGTAGAGGCCAGAGCAGGATTTCAGGTGTCTTCCTCTAATATGTATTTCTTTGAGACAGGGCCTCTTACCAGACTAGAGGATTTCTGCTCAGCTGGCTGGCTAACAAGCTCTTTTGGTCCAAGGCTAGGGATCCAGGCACATGCAGCCATGCCCAGAGTTTTACACTGGTGTGGGGATTTGAACTCTGGATCTCATGGTTGCAGAACAAATGTTCTTTCCCATGGAACCATCTTCCCAGATCCTCAGTAGGCTTCTTCCTTTTTAAATGTATGAACTGATTATAAATAATTTCTGAACATGATTCCCCTCCCCCATCTCCCCCTAGATCCTCCCCATATCCATCCAGCTCCATGCTGTCCCTCTGTCTTTAGAAAACACACTTGCTTTATTGCTAGTTTTCTGTTTTAAATATATATGCTCAAGTGAGGAAATTGCTACTTATAATGAAATCAAAATTCTAATCAGCATCTGCCCAGAGCAAGGTCACCCAGTGAGTCCCCGATCACCAGGAAAACCAAAGCAGAAGGAAATAATAACTCACTCTGATTTAATTTATGTTCTCGCTATAAACTCAGTACTCATTTTCAAGGAGGCTTCAATTAGCCAGTTTACAAATACAAATTAAGCAACTCAGGTAAAACTATCTTCTAAGATCAAAACAGATTATGCAAAATGGAGAATGTTCTCTCAGAGAAGTCACAACAATGCTGAAAGGAGAGAGAGACAGCACACACGCAGTGCCCGGCTGGCATTCACAAAGTCCTGGGTCACTTCCCAAGATCCGAGAGGAAGACAGGACAAGGAGGAGAAGGAGAAGGGGAGAAGGTGTATAAATTAAAAACATCCAAACAATACATATGGAAGATCACCTTGTTGAAAAACATTGAGGGAACACGGTAAGACTAGACCTACAAATCTGGGCTACTTTGGTAGACGTGCCCAAAGAAAGCATCGTGATACCTATAATAAACCGCAGCATATGGTACACGCGAGCCAGAATTGACCGCAACTGTCTTCTCGCGCGCCATAGCCCTTCCCTCCCAGCATCTCTCCCCTCCAGATAAGGGAAACTTGATTCTGCTGTAACCAGATTCAACAGCAAGGTCTGATGCACTGGAGACTTGTGAACACTCTTCTGTGGGAATGTTCCCCAGGCTTTAGGAATGCAGCCCCAAGAGATTTCAAATGGATAGCTTTGAATCGGGACAGGAGGTTACCTTAACTTTCGCTGTGACTTTATAGCCAGCAGGGATGGCGCACGGCAGGTTTTTTCCATGAAAAATCTGGGATAGCTCATAAAAGGCTTCAGGAAAGAAGCCTAAGTCTATAAGGATCTCGGCCTATAAAAGAAAGGAAAGAAGATTTTACATTAGTTTCTTTTGCTTACAAAATGCAAATTTGAGAGGAAAGGCATCAGGTTCTGCAATCAGAAATGCCTGCTTAATAGTGGTGGTGTGTAAAGAATCAATGTTCGGGGTTAGTGAGTGGGTACTAGCACCTGTGCTTGTGAAAATGCCTGTTTCTAGGTGCAGTGGACCACACAGCTAACAGCAGTGGGGACCATTCACAACAGGCTCTGTTGCTTACTTCATCACAGGCAGACACAAAAATTTAACAGCCACGGTGAAGTTTTAGAAGCGAACTTATCTCTTTGTTCCCATGGTTCCCATAGGACTCAGGGTAAAAACAAAGTAAAATTATTCCAATGTTCTTGAACTCTCTGAGGAAAGTCAGACAAAAGCACAGTATGTCAACATGTAGACAACTATTAATTTTCTTATCTATAATTAACAGCGTCAACTTTAAAGGCATATGATTAACAACTTTAACCAGGTTTGTTGAGAGTACAATTCAGTTGGACTAAATAAGGAAATTCAAGGAAGGGAAGCTGGCATTCAATATGTTTACTGAACATCTCTTGGAGAGCATGCCCACTTGAAGGTTAGAGTCCCCTGAGATTCGAAGTTAACCAAATGTAAGCGATACACAGAGAAGACTTAGAAGCCCAGCAATGGTGGCTCACACCTTTAATCCCAGCACTAGGGAGGCCAGCCTGGTCTACAGAACAAGTTCCAGGACAGGCTCCAAAGCTTCACAGAGAAACCCTGTCTCAAAGAGAGAGGGAGAGAGAGAGAGAGAGAGAGAGAGAGAGAGAGAGAGAGAGAGAGAGAGAGAGAGGGAGAGGGAGAGGGAGAGGGAGAGGGAGAGAGAGAGAGAGAGAGAGAGAGAGAGAGAGAGAGAGAGAGAGAGAGAGAGAGAGGTGCTTAGAGGCTTAGAGGTGTTGACAAAATCTGCTTTCAATAGCGGGGTCTCAGAAAATTTCAGTGAGGAAGGACCCTTCAAGAGAAGAGTTGGAAGGCATGTAAAGGAGAGAGAAAACGTGCTGAGAGGACCCTGAGTACAAGGTCATGGGTCCTGTGTGGCTGGAGACGGGGGAGAGGGGGTGAAGGCGGGGGTGGTCGCCAAATACAGAGACCCTGTAGACCATAGTAAGCATCTCTTTTTGCTACATGAAAAAGAAGTTACTAGAGTGATGGGTTTGACGACGAACACTTGAAATCCTGGCGCTTGAAGGACAGAGAGTTTCAAGCCAGCCCTCATTAGAGAGAGACTCTGCCTTAAAAAACAAACAAACAAACAAACAAGAAAGCCACAAGAACTGAGAGTGTATCTCAGATGGAAAGTTCTAGCTACAATATGCAAGGTCCCAGAAGGGACAAGTGTGAGTGTATGTGTGTGTGTGTGTGTGTGTGTGTGTGTGTGTGTGTGTGTGTGTGTGTGTTTGTGTGTGCCCCATTTTAGCAGTCATGACAGGCTAGCGTGTGCCCACATGACCTTGCTGCTCCTGTTCTGGTCACTAGGAGGTCAAATGCCCTCCTCATGGCAAGGAGCCAATTAGAAGTCAGCTGGTGAGGTTATGCTTTACAGACAAGTGCACAACAGTGGTACAGAGCATAGCAACCACCCTGGGAGGGCCTATAGGCTATAACAACCAGTTGACCAATCAACACAGGGCAGGTCATCCAAACCTGGAAGTGCACCAATCCTGAGACTGTTACATACCCCTAGACATTCCCCTTACACTGTCCTATAAGGTCCCTGCCTCGTGGCTTCTCAAGGTCTTTTCTCTAGTCATCCATCTCAGTGAATGGATAAAGGGTGAGCTAATGGAGTTAGCGCCTTAAATAACTACAATAAAAGACTCTGCTTTTGCATCGAAATGGGTCTCTTGGTGATTTTGGGGTTCAGAATTTGGGCACAACACCCAATGTACGTATGAACAAATACAGAGAATAAAGCACAAAATTAGATGCATATACAACTTGTACACAACACACACACACACACACACGCACACATCCACAAACCCCACATAGAAAAGGACAAATTAATTTATCTTCAGCATGCCAATACCTTGGTCTCTGTTCTCCTTTCCATACATGCTTTAGGAACTTCAAGAGTGGAAATAAAAAATGCAAGTAAGGGGAAATCAGTTGTAAAAAATAACATGAAAATAAAGGATAAAAAGCCAGAAGGCTGTTTTTAACAGGAAAGAGAAAGTCACTTGCCTGTTGAGCTGCACATTGCAGTTTTTGCTCAAGAGATGGTGGTCTCTGTCCCTGCCATGCCACCCCCACTGCTATCAAATATCAAAGCAAGTATTTATGGAGCTAGATGGACTCTTCTGGACCCCAGATAGCCACTACTTTCATTGACCCCTATAAGGAAATATTCCTAAAGGCTTCTGTGTGGTCAGAGCACTGTAGCAAAACAGCAGCTAAGGCTGCCTCTGACTTCATCTCGCCACATCAGTCTAAGCAACTGAAGCAACAGCAACCGGCACTGTGGACACTAGCCAGAGGACAATGAGAACTAGTCATCAACCAAACCTTCATACACCTTCTGAAGCAGCATTACCCTTCCTCGGAATGTTTGAAATGTTGAGATCAATCCTTGATGGGGTTAGCAGGTCTACAGTGAAGCAGCACAGCTGGTCATGAAGGCGTCTTACTATGATCCCTGGAAGACTCTACTGAACTCTAGAAACTCTACCGCTAGACCTATCACACAGCCTGGTTAGTCAGGGAGTGTCGTTACTTGGTGTTTCCCAACTTTGGTGTTTCTCTCTCACTTAATAGTTACTTCAGGAAGGTCACACAAATTCCATTCACACAGACTGTCACTTCTTCCTCTGTGGGATATATCTTTTTTGCTTGCATTTGTCGAGACCCTAATCCTTCTTAGTCAAAGCTCCAAACAGGTACACAGTTCTTTACTGGAGTCGAAACTACTTTATGACAAAACCATGACTAAAGACTAAGAGAGAACTCTGTCTTGGTTTAACTTGGTGAACTATGGGTTTATTGGGGGTTATTTACAGAATCATGGGAAACTCAAAGGCAACTGTATCACCAGAAATTACCCTCGACAACCCATGGGCAGTTACACAACTGAAGAATCCACCTGTAGGGTAGACAAGTCACAAAAAGCTATTTTACGGAAGAGTCCCAGCCCAGCTAATTGTTTATCTATAGTATTACTCCAGGAGGGCAGTGGTCTCGTGAGGCTGAGTTTCAAGACCCTTTGCATTCCTCCAGTGAGAGACTGTTAATAGGCCTGTTCTTGGTTCTTGAGGGTCTTCTGCTCTGATTCAAGACAGCAATGCTCATATACAACCTGGAGGGAACAGCTACCCAACATAGCTCTCTAGTATTTCTCTTGTTATCTTCTACAGTCTCCCTGCTCAGACCTTCTATTCCAATAGAACAAAACCACTTCTGTCTCTTAAATAACTAGAACTTTTCTCATCTCTATAGCTTTCCAAGAATGTTTTCTTTCCCACTCATTTAACTGTCTTATTTTCAAATCTAAATTCTACCCATTTAGAGAAATCCTCTTACCTCAAAGCCATTTGTTTTTTATTCAAACTTTTGGGAACAATTTTCACCACACTCACTTGCAAGTGAAGAAGTGACAAGTTCATTTGTTACCAACTTATAGTGCATCCCATCTCTGTCCCTAGCTTTCATGTCCTTGTGGGTTGCATGTCTTGGACTCACATTACTAACAGGGTGCTTTTGAATAAGTGTTTTCAGTAAATCTTTTTAAAATATCATTTATTTATTGAGGAGCTACCTCTGTACATGTGTAAAAGGCATGACAACTTTGTGAGAAACCATTTTCTCTACTACGTGGGTTCCCAAGCTCTCACTCTGGAATGTGTGGCAGTGAGCACACACATAGACAGTAGGCACTTGACAAATGTCTAAAAAATTAAAGTTCAATCTAAAAATCAACTAATGAATATCAAATATGTGAACTTATTACCCAAGATAATACAGGGAATTAGAAGATGAGTAAGATACAGATCCCAGCCTCAAGAATATTGCAATCTTGATGAGGGGGGGTTAGGTTTTTTAAAATGTGCTATTAAAGTTCAAAAGCAAGATCATCCATGAGTCGGTAATTCAGATGGAAAGCCAGACCTTTGCAGGGTCTCCATGAATATTTATGAAGTCCTTAAAGATTCATTTAGATATAGAAAGCTGGGAACTATTCTCCAAGGCCCAAAATGTCTAGATGGAGATACAGAGAAGGCCAATTTCTTCTCACTGAAAAACAGGAAGGATTTGGGGGAGAAAAACAGAGTTTTCAAAGGAGGGGGGAAAATGGTATGAAAGAGCCCTGTCCCAGGGTGCTGTGTGAGGTGAGCTGGAGTCCTGTCCCAGGGTGCTGTGTGGGGGTGAGCTGGAGTCCTGTCCCAGGGTGCTGTGTGAGGTGAGCTGGTGTAGTATCCCAGGGTGCTGTGTTGGGGTGAGCTGGTGTAGCATCCTAGGATGCTGTGTGGGGTGAGCTGGTGTAGTATCCCAGGGTGCTGTGTGAGGTGAGCTGGAGTCCTCTCCCAGGGTGCTGTGTGGGGGTGAGCTGGAGTCCTGTCCCAGGGTGCTGTGTGGGGTGAGCTGGTGTAGTATCCCAGGGTGCTGTGTGGGGTGAGCTAGAGTCGTGTCCCAGGGTGCTATGTTGGGGTGAGCTGGTGTAGTATCCCAGGGTGCTGTGTGGGGTGAGCTGGAGTTGTGTCCCTGGAGTACTGTTTTAAAACATAATCTCTTCCACCCACAAGATGTGGTATGCATCGCTTATCCTATCTGCCTGTCTACTGATGCCTTGATAAAAAACTGCAATGGGAGTGTTTCCATCATGGATGAAAATTGCAAAGGTATAAATCTGATGTTTTACAGATTCATTTTATTATTTTACAAGTGTGTGTGTGTACCACATGCAGGCCTGGTGCTTGAGGCAGTCAGAAGAGGAGGACACCAAATCTCTTGGGACTGGAGTTACTGACAGTTGTGAGCCAACACATGGGTACTGGGAATCAAACCCTGGTCCTCTGGAAGAGCAACCAGTGCTCTTAACCATCGAGAAATCTCTCCAGCCCCTAAATCAGCCTTTCAGATGATCCGTTTGTGAAACATTTATCAAATGAGGCTGATTATGTTATGGCGTGAGAAGAAACATGCAAAACGATGGTCAAGAAGTAATTTAAGCTCAAGAATGGCAAATATTCTATTTTAACTGTTTTTCTTCACTTAAATTTCTCTGCTTTCAGAGTGTTCATTGAAGGAAGCTATAGAAACAAGGGCCTGGGTGAGTACGGTCTGTGCTTACATGTTAAGTATGTGTGTTTGCCAGGATAATGATAGGGTTGAATTCCACATTAGCATTCAGGAGATATAGAACAGGGAACAAAACTGCAGGACACTGAAATAACTGAAATGATTTAAGTACAGAAAAATGTAACTCAAGGGGCAAACACCCAGCAGAGGTGACTGGGGAAGAAGTTGGATATACCCAACATCCTTAGGGTTCCAATGCTATGTGGAGGAAAGGCCGACAACACATGAATCTCTAAAGCAGAAAAAACAACTGAGGCCTGTGTCGGGCTGAATATGATATTTCAGATATAGGCCTCAGCTCAATTCCAGAAGCTCGAATCTCTTATTGTCTTTTAGATGTCGGCTGGTTACCTCCGGATAACCTGGCCACAGTGGAGAATGGCTTCTAGTTTGTGTAACAATAGACCTACCTAGGTCACACACCGATCATGAGGGCTAGTGGGACATGCCTGAAGACTGGTAAGACATGCTGTTATGGAGTATCTGAGGGCATGTGTACATGTGTTCTAGGACTAAACGAAGTGTTTCCTAGTCAGCCATATATACATGATAATAGATGTCTTCTGCCAATACCCCCACTTTTGAAAAGCTATTTAAGAGGCTGCTTGAATAAACCTTGGTCTCCAGTATTGACTGAGAGCCCTCCTGAAATGACATGATGGCTCTGTTTTGTCCTTAATGCAGTTGGGTAGCTAGGACTTCCTGATCCGCACTCCCCTGACTCAGAGTCGGACCCAGGGGCTGTTTGGCTGGTTCCCAACACAGTCCCAAAGACATCAGTCTGGAATAGATGGCCCCTGTGTCTTAGGACTGATACAGGCCAGACCCCTGCAGGCCTGGGTTACAGATGTGACTGTCTGCCCTTGTTCAATCAATTACCAGACCAAAGAAACATCATGTACCATTATGTACACAGCATGCCCTCAGGAATAGTTTCAGAAACCAAAACACTGCTCAATACCAGGAAGCCAGTCTCTAAGTAGAGACTTCCAGGCTGCCTGGTGCTAGTTAAGTCTTGTCCCCAAGTGTAGCTGTTCCTTGTTTTACTGTGGCCCAAGTACAACATAGGTTCTCAACCTATGAATCCCAACCCGCTTGAGGGTTAAATGATGATTTCACAGGGGTCGCCAAAGACCATTAGAAAACACAGATATTTATGTTACAGTTCATAACAGTAACACATTATAGTTAATCCATAGCAGCAAAAATAATTTTTTAGTTGGGTTCACCACAACATGAGGAACTGTATTTAAGGGCTACAGCATTAGGAAGGTTGAGAACCACTGTCTAAAGCTTCCTAACTGACCATCCTTTACACTTTATTACACTGGTGGATGCTATGTTTATTAAATTCATTATGATATGACCAAATAACTGACAGGAAACAACGTAAGTGGGGAAGGGTTGATTCTAGCACATGGTTTGAGGGGATATAGTCCATCATGTCAGAGAGGACACACAGGGACAGAAGGTTCCATGTGGCAGGGCTGTGAGCAGGTGCTGGGTGCAGGTACTAATCAAGGAGCAGACATATTAGATGGGATCCAGGGCATACTGTAAGGCCCATATCCAGGGACCTACTGCCTCTGACTTGACCTCATCTCCTAAAGTCTACAACCTTCCAAAACAATACCACCAGCTGTGGGCCATCTTCAAGCACAAGGACCTGGGGGACATTTGGCTGTCAATCTGTAACAAGAGCATTATTTTTCAAAGATTTCTTCAATTTTTAAAAATTATTTATTTTTGTCTCTGTATATGTGTATATGCATGCCTACATGAATCTGTCTGTGTATAGCACATACATCCAGGAGAACACAGAAGCCAGAAGAGGTTGCTGGATCCCCTAGAACTGGAGTTACAGACACGTGTAAGCTGTTGTGTGGGTGCTCAGAACTGAACCTGGGTCCCCTAAAAGATCAGAAAGTGCTCTTAACCACTTAGTCAATTCGTCATCCTTATTTATGTTTTAATTTATAGACATGTGTCTATGTATGTGTATATTGTTCCAATGGAGGCCAAAAGAATACATTATTGACTCTCTGAGGCCAGACCTACAGGTGGCTGTGAGCTGCCCAAGGTAAGTGTGGGGTTTGAGCTTAGGTTATCTGGAAGAGCTGTGTGGGCTTTGAAGTCATCTTCCCAGGCCCAAACTGCATTGTTTTTATATCAGCATGATACCACATTATCAACAGCGTATTTATAAGAATTAGAATAAAATTAATGTAAAACGGAAGATAGCGAATGTCAAAAGTGTTAAAAGCCTGTAACATACCTTCAGGATTCTTGCTTCTAGATTTCTGACTATGTCTTGGCAAATTACAGACACAAAATATTGGTACAATGCAAGGAGAGGCAAAACCTAGTAGAAGAAAAAAACCATTCTTTGTTTTAAGACATAACTTATCAACTTAATAGACATATAATCAAATTTTGCCAAACATCAACTATAGTGTTACACAAAGTATTGCATTTCCACATTAGCAGAATAAACCACTTTGCATAAATAAAATTATCTGCTTAGTTGTATTAGTTACCTTTCTTATCACTGTGATAAAACACCGGCAATCGAGTGAAGGGAGGGCAAGTTTATTGGCTCAGGGGTTCAGCCACCTTGGGGGGAAGGCATGGCACCAGGAGCCAGAGGCAGTGGGTCCACATTGCAGCCTCACTCAAGAGGCAGAGAGATAAGCGCTGATGCTCGGCCTGCATTCTTCTTTTTATTTAGCTCAGGATCCTGGTCCATGGAACGGGGCTACCCATATTGAAGGCGAGAATCTCTATGTCAATTATCCTCAGCTAGAAAGTCGCTCACAGATACGCCTCAAGGTTTGTTTACATGGTGACTCCACCATTTCTAAGTACACAGAAGTTCAAGTACAGCTAATTATCTTCTTTAAAAGTTAGTAACAACATGAAGTGTGTGAGGACTATGTGAAAAGTACTAGCAAACATGCTACCAAAAACTGCAGAACTTAAGTCAAAGGATTTACATTCGTGCCTGTCAGCTAGCTGTTACCTATTCATCTTCAAACGGGATCTTTCCATGGCAAAAGGACAATGTACCTCACATACTAGATGGGGCACTGCTGAATGGGAACAACATTCTGACTACTCCTAGCCTTTACAGAACAGAGATTCTATTGGCTAAACCCAAGCTCTCTCTTCTCGTTGTATTTTTATTATCCTACAGTTAAAGTCAGCCCAGTTATTCTTGAAACCTTGTGGGTATGTGAATGGCCATAGACTACTAGCATTTCTGTTGATGGTACCTACCCATCAAAGCAGGGGATAGTTTTACCTGAATATTGGAACAGCTACATCATGATCTCAACTCAAACCAGAAGCATACTCCTGCAACTGCACCTTGCATGCCAAAGGGTAAGATCCATTATTATTTTACCTCTCTAGACTGAGGATTGAACCTGGGACCTTTGGTCATGTTAGGCAAGAACTCTACCACTGCACTATATCTCTTGATGTCTCTGACTTTGATTGCTTATTTTGATATGTGTCTTCCTAAGCTGGATAGTATTTAACTTGCCAAATAGTGGAGGTAGGCCTTGAACTTGTGACCCTCCAGTCTTAGCCTCCTGAATAGCTGGAATTGTAGACCTCAGCCAGCAGACCCAGATGAGTCAAATTATTGTCTCAGAGCAAATTTTGTATTTTCAGACATCTCATTTGCTAAGGAGCTTCTTCTCGAATTTAATGTAACACAAAATAGAAATTGCTTACTGCTTCTGTCTGGTTGGGGGCATCTAATGGTGGGTCAGTTAGAAGCTAGAAGCAGCAATCACTTTTGTAAAAGACTGGAATTGGTTTTAAATGACTTTGAACATGATGCACTTTCTACAATTATACACTGCAAATGTAAAACAAAACCTTTTCTACAATTAATGCAGCACAAAACACCAAGAGCAATTACCTTTGAGGTTTACTTTCCTTTCTGTAATGAGAAATAAAAACACACTATTTTATTGCTACAGTTGCTCAATTATTCAGGGGGAAAAACCTCAATTTCTGAAGCTTTAGAGGGAAAAGTCTCATTTCTTTTTGAGCACGGTGATATGTATTATATATGAATATGTGGAGGCAACGAGGGCTTCCCCATGGGAGGGAAGCATGTCCCGATTCAGAAGTGAGCTGTGCTACGGGAAGCAGAGCATCATCTGATTAGGTTTCCTCTTTTTCTTTTTTAGTAAACAATTGCTTGCAAAATCTGCTCAGTGTTGAAAGCTCTTATCATCCTCTTCATTTTACAACGTGGTTTTATAATTTCACAGCTTATATCCATGACAATAAATAGTTTTAATATAAGAAGAGAGCTGAATTCAGAAGAACAAGTATACCATGAGAATAGAAAAAAAATGTATATGAAAGAGAGTAGACTGAACATTGTTGAAGAAGGTACATGAAGCAGAAAAAGAGAAAGAATTGCTACCAAAAGCAGACATGAGAGGGAGGAATAGATATTTTAAAAATAGACAGATAAACACGCAAACAAGAAGAGATGGGGCCAGGAAAATAAAAATGGGCAGTGTCTACGGCATGTTAATTTCTTTTAAGTGCATTCAACTTCAGGCTTGTGATATACACTTTGATGTCTTTTCTCCAAAGAGGAAAGATGAGCTATATTCAGACTTTGGGGATCTGGAGACAGTGAGAAATGACTGCCTTCCCTCTCACAGTTAGGGTTTGCTGTTCTTAGATGCATCTTTGACAGAGGAGAAATAGGATGTGATAGAAGATAACTCATTCTGAGGTTTGGAGGTTTGGAGATTGACAAGAACCTTGCCTTAACTCTGAGTCGGAAATGCCCTCTATTCCTGCTTGACTTCAAGGATGCATTCTAGTCAATTTACCAAATAAATGTCTTGAGGGAAGGAAGGGTGAAGGAAGAGAACACAAAAGCAGAAATCGAAGAAACGTGTAATGCAAATAAAAGTGTAAAAGAGAGACTATGGATTAATACAGTTTTACAAGTAAGTATAAGTAAGAATCTGAAGTGTGTATGATTTACAAGTTGTAGAAGAACTAACCAAATGCACATTAGCAAAACTTGGAAAGCAGACAGTAAGTTAGGAAATACATCAAGTGAATTAAGAGGCTGTAAAAGTAAGGGTGGGATAGGAGAGAGGGCACTTGTGATATAAAGTCCAAGAGGAAAGATTCAGGGGAAAAAAGTGGGTAAGGAGAAGAGAGAGATTGGGGAGGTGAGGAGGAGGGTCAAATAAAACTAAGATTGTATGAAAAATCCATAAGAAAACATGATACTTGGTAAAATAATCTAAAAAGTAGTAATAAACATATTTTAAATGAAGAAAGCCTATGTGGGCAGATAAAATTCCATAAGCCATAGGTTACTAAATAAAAATCACAATGCAGGGGGAGGCTATGTCCCAGGAGTCTACAGAGGGCTCCCTGTGGACCCCAAAGCAATACAGGCAGTTTTTACTGCAGTTGGTTGCTCACCAGAACTAGATGGTGAGGCCCTGTTGATTAAGATAACATATCCTGTGGTCATAGCCGTAGAGAAATGAAACTGGGCATGAAATGGAAGCCTGCTGGCTAGCCCTTATGGTACCAGAGGCTGGGAGAGAACCGTCATCAGCAGTCTTATTCAGCTATAGACTGACTGCACGATACACCACTGACCATCCATAAAAGATGTGCTTGGTGGTGCAATAGTGGCAACTCTGCCATAGGGGTGACCAGCCACTTTCTACTCCACATGGAGACCCATTACAGGGGAAGGAATTCACATCTGGTACTTAAAACCTGGTAAGGAACCTGTGGCAGTAGAATAACAGCCCTTAGTGGGGAAGCTACTGTTGGGTTTGCCAAATAGACAGGGTGTACCCATCTAATTTCTTTCTCAATAATTACATTTATCCTCATACATTAGTGCTGCTGTCAGCTTTGGTTAGAGAAGCTATTCTTCTTTTTGTATAGGGCAGAGGTAACTGCAGAGACTTACAACTGGTCAGAGTCTTGAGAAAAAATGACAGCTGAATGCTTAGGCACAAATGGGACATCTGTCTCTTACAAAGTTCAGAGAACATCACAGAGGAGAGGGCAGAAAGAATGTAAGACTTATAGGACAGGGGACAGTGCTATGGAATGTCATCTTCTGGGCATGAGGTGGTCACGGCACCCCACACACAGCAGCTGTGAACTACCTGCTGCACACAACTGAAGCCAGCAGCATCTTGTCATGGCAAGGGAAGGGACTCATGAGGCTCCACTTCTCCCAGAGGGTTTGTAGGCAGCTAGGGGCAGCTAGGACAGGAGAGCCTCACAAGGCCTTAAGAATTAAATGATGGTTAGGGGTAAGGCAAGGACATTTTCTTCAGTCATGTATGAGGTTCCCATGTCACCTCTCACCACTGCTCTGGAAGCAACCCTAATAAAACTCATTGGGTCATCAAAACACAAAAACATGAAAATAGAAGGAGGACTAGCTGGAAAGTGAGGATCCCAGAGAGTAGGAGATAAAGAACTAATGGGGAAGATGAATATTATATTGTGAAAATTTCATAACAAAAACATATTGCCTGTAAGTAATTAATGATACTAATAACACAAAAAAGAGCTGTTGATTTTACAAATCACTCACTATAAGGTTGTTCTTAGCATAGTGCAGTTCGCGGATAACGTAGTATAGACTTGCAATAACAATGCAGATGTCAGCCCTGAATTGATCTGTGAAGAGTTCGATGCCAGGGAGGAGCTGAGTGATTTCGTACTGGGCATAGCTGCGTTCAGCTTTGGGATGTGGGAGAGTAGTACGAAGCAGACTCTGAAAAATGAAAAATGGTGAAATAAAGAGCCACGATTTCACCTGTGCCAACAAAGCAAACAAGCCAAAACAGGTACATGAACACTTCCTGGGGGGCCTTGTGTGTGTGCTCTGTGTACTGCACTTCACAATAAATGGTGATTGTTAATATTACCATCCTTATAGGCCTCAAATGCTATATCATGGCAGGTGGGCTTTATGAATTCCATTATAATTGTACACTTATTTTTTCAAAGAAAATATTATATTATCATTTGGTGAGTCCTGAGTAGGGTGCTTCTGGTAAATTCTGCACAAATTCTCACCTAACCTACTCTTAAAACAAAGGATTATTATTTCACAAATGGTACCATTAAGGCTTAAGCAATGAACTTATATGAATTTACAAAGTTAATGACAGAATAAAAAGATTCCAAGTCATGTCTATTTAACTCAAGCACTATGATATTTGACTATACAAGTTATAGATATGGGAGGTCGGTGACTTGAAGTCTAACCAAGCAGAGGAGATTTTAAACCAGAGTCCCTTATGTAACTCATATGACCAGCAATAAGCAACATGCTAGGGAAAACAAGATATATTTATAAAACCAAACTTTATATTTGAAAGCATTTCTTTGATCATCTTAATGTGTAACCATTGTTGAAGGTAAAACATTATGAAATTATTTTAATGCATATAATCAAGGAAGATTTTCAATTGGATCACTTATTAACATTATAAGGCATCCAATTTTCAAAGATGAATACAGCTGTTAGAAATTTTAATGTCTCTTAATTTGCTTTGGAAAACCACTTTTAAAACTGACAGGCTTCCCCCCTGCTCCCTGCGGACTAGCTGGCAGTCCCGGAAGGTGCCATGAAAGCTTCCAAGGGAGTTGAGCAACCGGTATTCCTACCTAGCAATGACACTTACAAATGACATTGACCAGCATGGCACAATATATTCTAGGGTGGAATGTGACGTTTATATCTTGGCAGTAACCAACAGCTCCCTAATTGTACTTGAGGCCTGCTCAGCAAGAGGAAAATCAAAATTACGCCTTGTGCTGAAAACCTCGTCAAATATCCAGAGCTAGTGAGGTCATGATCGTAGAGGAGAATCCACTACTGCCACTTTTCTAAATCAGCATGATTCCAACTGTGTTACACTAACCCTCATACCCACAGAAGTGTAGACATTTCTCAGAGAACTCTGATCAGGGGTACCAATGGATACATCTCCAACACAGCCCCACACCTAAGACTCAGGACTATTGAGGAAGGGAGGGGCAGCAAGATTGTAAGAGCCACCAGACCAAGAACTCTGCTATGAGATTGTATCCCTAGAAACCACAGGGAAGTTATTATCCATGTTACCTGAACAGTCTGCCTAGCAGGACCAGAGGAAGAACACCAACAGACAGGCTAACACGGAAGGGGGAAATCTCACAGGGTCCCACCTGTTGACAGAGAACTACGGGCAACTAAGAAACTCTGAGTGTGGGAGAAACAGTCTTCCTCAAGGATGAGTCCAATTTGTTATCTGAAACCAAGTGGTTGGTCCTAAAACCACATACACAAAAATAACACTAAAGGGATTTTGTAGGCTGAAGTCACATATTTAGGCATATATGTGTAACACTAACAATGAAATAAAAAGAGGCCATTAATTCAAGAGGTGCAGGGGGTGTACTTTGGGAGAGAATGGTGCTAAGAGAAGGATGGAGGAAAATGATAAAAATTTTGAACTAATTAACCAGCTTCTAAAATAAAGCTCACAGGCTAATGTTTATTTTAGGTGTAGCATTACCAATGTAGTAGTATAGCACACTAAACAAAAAGTTAGCCATTTGCAACCGTACACTTCCTAGAACACAAAGAGCATGAGCAAAGAGTTAAACAAGGGGTGGAGAGATGGCTCAGTGGTTAAGAGCACTGACTGTTCTTCCAGAGGACCTGAATTCAATTCCCAGCAACCACATGGTGGCTCACAACCATCCGCAATGAGATCTGGTACCCTCTGTTGGCCTGTAGGCAGAAGGCTATATACACAATAAATAAAAAATATTTAAAAAAAAAGAGTTAAACAAGCAGCAGCATGGGGGAGGAGGACAGAGTCAGTCAGTCTCTCTGCTCTTCACGCCCCTTGCTTCCCTTTCAAAGCACACACGTTGGCATGTAAGAAGACCGTAGAGCCTGCCCTTAAATTTGAAGGAGCCTTTTGCTTATCTATCCAGATTCTGGAAGCCATCCGCTGACTGTGACACTCACAGCAAGGACATCTACCATCCATGACCACAAACAGGACCTCTGGCAGAAAGCCCTGCTTACAGCCGGACTCTGATGTCTCATGTTTCAGGTAAAAGCGTCTTTCTTCTTTAGTGAGAAATCCTGAGGCACACAAACACTCCCGAGGCCTCGTGTCAGGTTATCTCCTACCTTCCCTTTATGACGCTCTCCCATGCAGCCATGCACAACCTTACTTAATAGTTGAGGTGAGCCCTGCCTGGCAACCATGTGGAGTCATACAGACCGGTTCTATACTGACAACTATGAGAGCCCACTAAACACAGGACACACAGTTTCCCTATGGGTAAAACTGTACCCAATAGAGGAGGAATGGGACAGCAAAGTGACTGTTCCGCCTTAGCAGGGAAGGAAGGGGCCAGCCATAAGCAGCCAGCGCAGGAAAATGAGCTTGTGGGGTTCAGTGAGCTCCTGCTGCTTTTCTACCTGCGATTTTTATGCTCTGGGTAACCTGCAACTGTTCACTGGTTACTCTTGGCTCGGTGGGGGGTGGAGGAGGAGGGGAGGAGAGAGGGAACTGGGATTGGCATGTAAAAGAAGCTTGTTTCTAATTTAAATAAAAAAACCATAAATGACTCTATCACTCCAGTAAGCATACATAAACCATTACCTGAAAAAGCAACGCAGACAAGATGCAACAGTTGATTCTTTTCTTAACATTTGCAGTCTTAATAAACCTAAATTATAAGAAAAACCAATTAGTAGATAACATTCCAAAGTTTTGATATGAATGTATTCAGATATGTGTCTAGAATCCAGGAAACATTGGGGGACAAATATATACAGAAAACTTAAGGAAAACAAAGAAGATGAAAATTTAACCTATATCCTACCACTGGTAATATTTCTGTTGATTTTCTTCTAGACTTTTTCTTTTATATTCACACACAAAGAAAGAAAAGCATATTCATATTAAGATTAAAATTATACCACAGATACTATATATTCATTATGTATTATATAAGCTACTTTAAAAAACTATAGTGTTTTATTGTATAGATGTATCATACATAAAAATATCAATTTCAACATTTTTCCTCCAATGCTAATTCAAATATTGTAAGTAAAGTTTTGAGTGCTTATATTATTAATTCCATCAAGTAAATCCCTTAAAGTGCCAATTTTTTGGCAAAAAAAAAAAAAGAAAAGAAAAGAGGAATGAGAAGGATTCACACGAGCATGGTTGAATTATTGCCCCCAAAGCCTGGGGCTGAATGGTATGTTGCCATTCACCACATTAAGCCTTTCCAGGCAAAATGAACATCATACCTCTGTATGATTGCTTCCTCTTACGTCCCTTGGAGGGGTTTGTGTTTCTTTATTTGACACTTGCAACCCGCCTTTGCAGCAGTAAACCAAATTGCCTTCTCTTAGATCTTACTGAGTAAAAGCAGGCAGCTGGCTAGACTGTGGTGACAACACAGTCCATCTGAGGTCATCTGTGTGGGACCCTGCACTCAAAGAGTGTCCTCTGCTCTGAGAATACGAGACCAGCTAAAGTCACTGTGGGCTCAGTCCCCTCGGGGAGCAAGCTTGCAGGCAGGAACAGGAAATGACTTTCTTACTTGAAATCACCAGGTAATAATTTCAGAGGCTCCGAGATGAGGTGCCCTCAGCAATATGACTGTCCCTTCCCAGGTGTCAATCTTCCTCTCTCTCCTTTCTCAGCCTCACTCCAAGCTCTACCAAGTCCTAAGTCTGCTGTGCATGTATATGTGTGTGCTCACGTGTATGTGTATTTGAATGTGTGTGTGTATCTCTTTGGCTTTATTTAGTCCAAGGATGAGTTCCTTCCCAAGGATACAAAGTCAAAATTGACGGATGTTCTTTCATGTGGAATACTTTTAGGGAAATGTATTACTTCCTCTACTTACCAAAGTACCAATTTTGTGAAAGCTAAAAGTTTCGTCATTTAATATGCCATATAACTCAAAATACGGTGTGGCATTTTCTTCATCATACCTCACAGGTGAACTAAGGAAATGACTCCTACTCTGACCTTTTGGAATTTCCTCCAGCCATTATGTAAGACGTTAACCATATACAAAGCATTGTGATAAACATTTATGGGTGGAAGGCTGAATCAGTCTAAAGACCCTTGTACCCGAATTCAAGAACCTGGGAAAATCCTACCTTTTATGGCAAGACACTATGCAGATACAATTCGATTAGAGAGCCTGAGATGGGGCAAACACCCACAGTTGTCTTGACAGCCTCAGTGTAGCCCCAGTGGCACTTGAGCAGAAGGACCAGAAGGCCTGGGCAGCACAGGGAAATGTGAGGGTGGAAGTGAAGGCCAGAGAGAGCTGAGCTAGAGTGAGGAGGAACACAGAGAAATGCTGGACAGAGAGCAAGCTATCTGTAGACACTCTTGTTAAAACTTAAGGCACAGAGCAAAAGAGGATCCTGCAGCAGGAAAGGCCCAGGGAACAGACCTACCCTAGTGTTTTCAGAGGAGGCATAGCCCACAACACCTTGACTTTGGGACTTTGGGACTTCCTAACTGTAAGATAATAAATGTGTACATAGGTTGGGGCTGTAGCCCAGTGGTCAGTGCTTGCCTAGCATGTGAGAAGCCCTGCGTTAATCCTTGGCACCACAGAGCAACAGAAATTTGTTTTTGTTTTAAAATACTGTAGTAACTCGTTACGGCACCAGTAGGGAAGGGACGCTGCTGTGTAATAGACTGGGAGGTGCGCTGTGGTCTAACTCCTGGTAACCTCAGAACAGGAGTACACTGGGAGATGGAGTCTTTAAAGAGGCATTCTAATGAAGATGATGGCATGGGTCAGGGATGGGCCCTGGTCCAACATCATTTGTGTCCTTCTAAGGAGAAGAGAAAAAAACATGTGAACGCAGAGAAAAGTGGCCACCTTTACAAGCCGCAAAGGAGGTCTCAAGAAGGCATCAGCCAACATGTCAACCCCAGGTGTCCAGCCTCTAACACTATAATATGACAAATGTCTGTAGCTTGAGGCTACTGTTATGGCAAATCAAGCTAGCCAGTAGTGTATGTGTGTGTGTGTGTGTGTCCACCACAGTCTATACACAAGGACACTGAATCTTAGAGGACAAATAACACTAAGGACATGGGGTTCCAGGGATGCTCTCAAACTTGGCTGAGTAGCCAGCCTGCTATACTCCTGCCCCACATCAACAATTCCTACACACGTTGTTCACTATGTAAGTACTGCTGAGAGCCAACACCATGCCAGGCACTTGGGATGCATCAATAAATAAAGAAAAGGTCTGTATTCAGGTGGGACTCATTTCCTGGGGGCAGAAATGTCACAGAAGGAAAGGACAGTCATAAGTAAAAATATCACAGCATGAAATTGCATTGCCCTATTAGATGGGCATAACCGTAGAGGAAGCCAAGGCGGTGTTAGTGCACGGCTCACCCCATGCTCGTACTCACTGTGCTATCTTTGCTGCAATCACTGCCCCTTGCAAACACCCCCAAATGCCAAGCTTTGATAGAAATTCTTCACTGTAGTCTTTGAAAACAGGAGGTGAAGAATTGTTGGTGCCACTGGAGAGGGGGGTGCCAAATTCTTTCCATGTGTGCAACGCATCTGGCTTTCTGAATATGCCATCAAGAGCTTGACACCAACATTTAAAAGCAGCCCTAAGAGAGAAACAGAGCACTGAGTGGGATGTCCTCTGAGGTCAGTAATGAAAACAGCCCCCCCAAGAGGAAAAGCAAGCAGACCAGCATTCAGCCACTGCAAATATTAGGGGGTAAAACCATAGGGTGTGTTCCCAATAGTCTCTATCATGTAATAAACCAAGTGAAGAAATGCAATATTACTGTAGAACTAACATTTATGGAAGAAATCATTTTTTCCTAATTAAAAAAAAATTGAACAAACAAAAGTTTGTGTCTTTGCTAACTTCTACAGCAGTACCTTCTCTTTTCTGCAAAGATGAAGAGACTTCCAAGTGAATGCAGTGACTGAACTTTAAGGCTCCTTTGATTGCTGGCTTGGAGAACGTCTGTATTTTTAATCAAGTAAAAGAACAAATGTCAGTTCTAAGGAAAATATTTCCTCTATATTTGCAAGAATATTTTCCATAGCATTATTTCTTAACTGTGGAGACAGCAGTAAGAAAAACCCAAGTTAATAGTGTTTGCAAATGTCACACACTATATATACCCAGAGAGAGAGCAAACGAGGTTCTGTTTGAACACTGAGGAACGGGAGATTGGGTCTACGGTCCCAGAAACACAGAGGCTCCATAGAGAAAGCAAAGTGAAGCATGCTGGCTGGCAGACTTGGTTAACAAGACTTGAGGGGGTGGGGAAAAGCTACAGAGATGAGATTGGAGTGGGTGCCTGGAGTTAGACATTCTAAAGAGGATGTACTGGGACACGCAGGAGGGAAGTAGTGCCTACATTCTAGAGGTCCTGGAATGCTACTCGGAGAGGTGGTGATTACACTGTAACAGACAGGACAGTCCCGAGGGTTGGTTTTCAGCAGATCTGATAAGATCCTAGCAGATCAGATTTTTTTTCTTTCACCGATCTGGGGATTGGGGAGAGTATTTTTTTTTATCATTCATTTTCAGTTTTCTAATGAATGCACCTACAATTAGGGTTGTATAACCAAAAGAAACCAACAGACATGGCAGGAGTTTCTAATGAGCAGAGCACTCTCTCTTGGACGGCATCTCTGAGACATCAGGCAGGGTTTTGTGAATTGTCATAAAGTAGTATCACCTGGAACATTGCAGGTAGCAACCAAGGATGCAGGATGCCCTGCAGAAACCTGTCCCACAGCGATCAAGATATTGGCTCATGAAGGCCAATATCTAACTTTGTTTTGTAGGGTCTTTTAAAGGCATTTTTGTCTGATTTCTAATTGCCCTAATTTTCCATAAATATAACCATTGCAGCGTTTGGTTTTGTTCAGAACAAAACTTACAGTGCTGATAGAACTTAATTCACCAGTGCAACACACCTGTGTCATGTTTATACCCATCGCCATGGTGATTCCTCAATCGAGATGGTAGCAGCTGGCCTGATTGTACTTTCTCATTTATATATTAAACCATAGAATCTAATTAGAGTCATTTCGTATTCCTCCTTATTTTATCTTTACAGCTCCATACTGAATTTTCAGAAATCACGGATTACAAAGAACATATAAGTTACAGATTTTATTTTAGGAAATAAAGGGAGAATGATACAATGTCTGTAGCAAAGGGGACTGTCCCTGGGCATACAATATAGGCTAAAGACATATTGTTGGATTTTTAGAAAAATGACATGTAAGAGAAAGATGTGAGGGTGAGGTTATCCAGGGCAGAGCAAAAGTGCTTGCCAGTGTCACCATCCTCATAAGGAGCTTGCAGTTCCAGCAAGAGAAGAACAGGGCAGAGGGATGACCTACAATCTTACAGTGGTCACAGCCAGGTGAGAGCAGCTGGAAGCATCTCCCACCTCTAAAATGTTCTATCACAGCCTGAAAGACTGCACTCAAGTTCCTTCATCCTGCTTAATTTTTAAAAATTCACTTATTATTAGTGTTTGTATGTGGAAGGGGTGTGCACATCCCATAGGTTACAGGTCCAGGTCAGAGGACAACTTTGTGGGGTTGGTTCTCTCCTTCCACTTTTACGTGAGGATTGAACTCGGGTCTCCACTCTTGTGCAACAAGCTCTTTTACTGGCTGGACCTCGCATCTCTGCAACTTTCATCCTGCTTTTAAAGGTAACATCTCAGGACCAGAGGTAACGTCATGCTAAAACTGAAGGTCATACTGACAATTCGTAATGCGTTGGCCTTACCTATAGTTTGGTAAAAGGAAGAAATTACCAGCCCCAGCTGTGAATAGGGAAGTTTGCTTTTCTCCACGGAACTAAAAACTCTGAAGTTTTCCTGAGAAAGGTCGGGGGGTGTTGACATGTGCATCTCTTCTGTTCCCAGGCAAAACTCCACCTTCCCTGAGGAAAACTGTGTGTTGTTTGCCCCTCCTTTTTCACCTAAAGGTATGGTGAAAAAAAAAAAAAAGGAAAATGGTAAGTGGAAAAAGAGGAGAAAATGGACAGGTAGAGGAATGCCAGGCAGGAAGGAAGGACAGCTTTGTGTACAGAGGGATGCCGTTTTCTTAACCATGGGGTCCAGGGTGGATGCTGAAGGCTGCAGCTGTTCAAGTGGATGAGCTCCGCATCTTCATGTTTCAGGAAAAACACAACAGAGGGGCAGCCAGGCATGCTAAGACACCACGGAAGGACAGACAGGCAGGCTAAGACACCACGGAAGGACAGCCAGGCAGGCTAAGACACCACGGAAGGACAGACAGACAGGCTAAGACACCACGGAAGGACAGACAGGCAGGCTAAGGCAGCAGAGGGGCAGCCAGGCAGGCGAAGACACCACGGAAGGACAGACAGACAGGCTAAGACACCGCGGAAGGACAGACAGGCAGGCTAAGGCAGCAGAGGGGCAGCCAGGCAAGCTAAGACACCACGGAAGGACAGACAGACAGGCTAAGACACCACGGAAGGACAGACAGACAGGCTAAGGGCAGCCAGGCAGGCTAAGACACCACAGAAGGACAGACAGACAGGCTAAGGCAACAGAGGGGTAGCCAGGCAGGCTAAGACACCACGGAAGGACAGACAGACAGGCTAAGGCAGCAGAGGGGTAGCCAGGCAGGCTAAGGCACTATTTAAAGACAGACAGACAGGCTAAGGCAGCACAGAAGGACAGACAGACAAGCTAAGGCACTACTTAAGGACAGACAGACAGACTGAGGCAGTACAAAGGGGTAGCTAGCCATGCTAAGGCACTACAGAAAGACAGGCTAAGGCAGCACAGGACAGACAGACAGGCTAAAGCTGAACTAATATTCTGCTTCTTTTGCAAGCTGGGGGAAGTGAGAGGGTTTGAGTCTGCCTTCTTAAAAACAGTTTTCCATAATTAAGATTTTAGTTGACCTCTGGGACAGAAATCTCATGGAGAGAAGCAACATGTATGTGTAGCTCTGACCTGAAACAAGAAGAACGGAATGGAGAAAAATCTGTCTTGTTAGAAGATCGGAGAACACAGGGAAAATCTGGCCAGGGAAGCAATGGAGCCGAGGGAGAAGCTTGATGGAGGCTGAAGTCCACACCCTGAGGACTGGGGATGAACTATGAGGATGTTTCAGTACCGGGCGAGCCTCAGGGTTAGCCGGGAGAACCTTTCTGAGGAGTTAGCCTTGATTTTGTAACTCATGTCCTTAGGTACCAATAATATAGCTAGAAATTGAAGGAGGCAAATATGATACAGAGAGTAAATTATGCATGCTCCCAGGACTCACCAATTAAGGCAGGCTAGCCGGCCAGTGAGCACCAGAGAACCACTTACTCAGCTCCGCTGTGATCAGCGTGCTTTGTTTTACCTGGGTTCCAGAGATGAAACCCAGGTCCTCGTCTTTACCAGCTGAACTACCTCCCTAGCATCCACACTTTGTCTTACTCACCCCTGCTAACTAACTGCCCTCCCTTTTGTCTTTACTCACCCCTCCTAACTAACTGCCCTCCCTTTTGTCTCTATTCACCCCTCCTAACTAACTGCCCTCCCTTTTGTCTTTACTCATCCCTCCTAACTAACTGCCCTCCCTTTTGTCTTTACTCACCCCTCCTAACTGCCCTCTGCTCCTTTGCTGGTCCACTTTCTCCCCTCCAAAGCGTCCCTTCTACCTTCACGCCACAAACATCCATCTTTCTTTCTCCCTCTCCCCAGTCTCTGCAACAGAAATTTTACCAATGCCGTTTTTTAAATCCAGCTCTTTCTTTGAGACTGAAGAGTGGCGTCTGGCAAGAGGTTCTGCTTAACTTGGTATGAGTCAATCACCTCCCAATGGACAGTCATCATAGCTCTACACCTGCAAAGAAAGCTCCAAGGCCTCCAAGGCACAGAACCAACACCTCCATAGATGCCATTTTCCTTTATGGCTACTGTATTCCCGGAAGCTGGCTGGTCCAGCAGAGAGTTTGAGGCAGGACAGATGCCTTGGCTGGAATAAAGTGTATGAGACAGATGATGAAATCTGCTAGACAAGATAGGAAAAGGCTGCCGGGGAAAAGCATGTTGCCGGGAAGGGGTTGTGAGGCCAGAACGCTCTGCCGGATGGTAACCCACCGAAGCACAGATCAACGGGCAGAGAATAACCTTTACCTTGTGTCTGTGCGAGAAATAGCAAAAGCAGCTTCCTGCTGTGTCGCACTGATCTGTTGTGATACCTGGACTTTTCCAGGGTCTCTCGAAAGCATCTCAAAGTGTCGGCCACATCCACGGGCACACAGACAAGCTGTTGGGCCCTTTTGTGCTCTGAAACAGAGGAGACCATTAGGGATACAGGACAACGCAAACTGTTCTAGTATAGAGACCTTCTTGGCCTGGACCCGAAGCTGCTGAATTCAAAGGCCCCAGTCAGTAGCAGGTGTTTGACGTGTCATGAATTTTGTTTTATAGGATATTTCAAAGTTCTTTTTTTTTTGAGAGAGAGAAAAGTTTTAATTTTTTTACTAAGAAATGCAAATAGCTTTAGATAGTGCCAATTTTCCTTATGAAACCTACTTTTCATTTAAAAAATGAAGTAATCTACTCCTTTTCAACAACCTCTTCAAAGTCCAGGTGCACTGGGAAACAAAGGGAAGAAACAAAAAAGTCTTGGAGCCGGGCAGCTGGTCTCAGAAGGGGAGGGAAAGGCGGGCAGGGGGTGTGGGGGGGAGCAGGTAAGACCATGCATGGGGCTGGAGCTCTGACACGTGCCAGGAAGAGAAGCCGGTGGGAGAGTTGCCACTTGGTCTCTGGGCAGTGAGGGTGGTCCAGGAATTGGACAGCTGCAGGTGGGCTGAAAGTGAATGGACTTGCAGGATTCCACACTAAATAGCTAAGGGATTTTCTTCTTTAATAAGCTGAACAAGTAGGAGGTCCCAGTAAAAATATAACATCTTGATGATGTAGCCACTTCCTAGTTAATAGAACAACCCTAAGAGGTCAAAGGGTGTGACCTCATCCTTAAGAAGCGCCCCATCTAGCTGATGAAATAAGGCTTTCTAACATGAGAGAATTAAAGGCACATTTGCATAGAAAATGATAAAATGAGGGAAATAAAGAAGACAGAAATAAAGAGGGGCAGAAAATGGTCACTGATATCTCTCCAGCCCCGATAAGTCTAGTAATTTACTGTAAGTGATTGACTCCTAAAAACGGCCATGAGAGATATAGACCATTATTACCCTTATTTTACAGATGAGGAAAAGAAGACATGGGGGTGGGGGGCTGCCAAATCAGCATCACAATCTGGGATCCAGGGGAATGGTCCTGAGAACACACGCGTGTCTTATGCCAGCATTAGGATAGACAGACAGCAGCAATGGTAAGGAGTTTGAGACACAGTAAGCAGACTTGACTATCCTGTTGAACAAAAGGGTCCGCTCCAGTCCTGAAGCCTTCACTAAAGGTGTCGCCTTTATTTTCTCCAGTGGAGAACCAGGAATACGCTTCCAGAAGGACTGGTACATATGCGCCAGGATCTTAGAAAGGTGAGGTACCAGCTCTGTTCATGCAGGAGTGCCACAGAGAGAGGCAGTGGCTGCGAGACTGTTCACCTGATGGAGCTTTGTGCAGTGGCTACCAGGGGGCTGCTGGAGGCAACAGGAACAGTCAGTGACCTCTATGGCAAAGGAGTCATCAAGGGCGCCGCCTCTGCCTCCATTCTCTCAGGGCAGGTTGCTTACTGCCCACTCAGTGGAAAAGAAACAGTCAAAGCAAGCCAGGGAGATTTGGAAAATATTCACCCAGCCCCACATCAGTGCCCAGCTGCCCATGGAGACCTTCACTCTAGCAATTCTCAACTCCCCGCTCCTTCAAAGCATCCATTTCCTCCTCCAGAGAATCATTCCCAACAGCGTATTTTGATATTATTTCTCCCATCTTTAAAAAGGAAGAAGATCTCTCTCTTGGCTCATTTCCCCTCAGGCTAGCATCCTATTTCTCTGTTCCACTTTATACCAAAATTTCCCCCAAAAGTTGTCTGCACTCATTGTTTCCCACTCCATTTTTTTCAACTTAGGGAAGAATTTGTTTGGGCTTATGGTTCCAGAGGGAGAAGTACATTATATCAGGGAAGATTTTAAATAAGGAACACAGTGGTCCACCTGATGGCTTAAGGGGGAAAGCAAATCACAAAATTAGTAGAAGGGAAGGAAAATAGAACATGAAACGACATGCAACAGATTCAACATAATTTTGACATGACATTCCCTTTGTTTAAAAAACTAGCCCACTAGTTTTAGTTTCATCTCTCAGCAGTTAAGAGCACTGGCTGCTCTTCCAGAGAATCCAGGTTTAATTCCCAGGTCCCACATGGTAACTCACAACTGCCTGTAACTCCAGTTCTAGGGGTCTGACACCCTCACAGACACACATATAGATAAGATAGATAGATAGACAAATGATAGATAGGATAGATAGATAGATAGATAGATAGATAGATAGATAGATAGATAGATAGATAGATAGATCTCATCTCTGGAACAAAAGTCCCTCTCCCAACCCAAACCTCCTGACCTCGGGACCTCAGTCATCAGTCCTTAGATCCCATTCTTCCCTTCTTAATTTACACTCACCCCCATAAGGATCATCCCGGATCTTGTGTTCTGATCACTCCCGATTTTTATCTCTGTTTCCAATCACCTCCCAAAAAAACTTTCACTCAGCTATAAAGGTCTACATTGCTGTGAGTGCAACAACTCAATCCTAACATGTGATCCCAGCTGACTTCCTAACACACACACACACACACACACACACTCACACACTTACAAACACATTCTCTCTCTCTCTCTCTCTCTCTCTCTCTCTCTCTCTCTCTCTCTCTCTCTCTCTCTCGTATACCCCTTCCAGCCTTTCCAATCTCAGTAGAGAATGACATCATCTTTATAGATGTTCAACCAAAATGTAGAATTGTCTTTAACTCTTCTTCCAAATCAAACACATAGCAAGTCATAGAGAATGGTGGCCCTTCAGAAAACACCTAAAGTCCACCATCTCTCAAAGATTCCACTCCACTTCCACTACATCTGGGCCCTGCTGCCTCCTTCAGAATTAAAGCACCTGCACTACAAATTGGCTTCCCCCTTTCTACTCTAGCCATGCCCACTAGATGCCCCAACTCTGCAGCAATCTTTCTCAAATGTAGTAGTCTTCCCTTTGTGGGAGCGCCAGCTCCTCAATAATGACACAGAGACTTAATACTAATTATGAAAGCTTAGTCTTTATCTTAGGCCTTTTGCCATCTAGCTTTTATAACTTAATTATAAATTATAATTTTATTAATCTACATTTTGCTATATAGCTCAGTGTCCTCTCCTCTGTACCATTTGTCTGACTTGCTCCATGTCTCCATCGTGTGTCTCCTGCCTCTCTTATTCCCAGAATTCTCTCTTTCTCCACAGACATCCTGCCTATTGTCTCCTGCCTAGCTAGTGGCCATTCAGTTTTCTATAAACCAATCAAAATGACACATAACATACAGTGTAAACAAATACCTCACTACACAACTGTTTCTAGAAGATTCCTTTTAAATTGCAAATTCTCTTGTGTCACTCCTAGGCCCAAATCCTCCTCCTGCTCCCTTTGTTACCTACAGAAAACACCAAAACTCTAAAACAACCTCTCTGAACGTACAGGAACTGGCTCCCTCAACTTCTCTGCCTGCTTCCTAGGCTACCCTTCACTCCCTTCTACACCAGGCTTGCTTCCAGTCCACAGGCTTAACCCATTGGCTCACTTTGGTCTAGAACATTCTACTTTCAAATATCCTGTGCCTTGCTTCTAAATTCCTTGAGGTTATTGCTTAGCTGTTAATGTCTTGGTGAGGTCTTCATTTATCACCCTACTTAAAATGGAAGCACTTCTCCTTCCAGACTATCCCATATCCCCGTGGTCTTCTGACACACTGTATCTCACTTGCTTATTTAGATGTCTCCACTAGGACGACGTTCATAGAAGACAAAGTCTTTGTCTGTTTGGTCCAGTATTACATACATTCCTAGTACCTGTTACCTGTTATGTAACAATGAGTGCAGTCTTCAAAGCTCAGTGGCTAATCTCAATGACCTTGTCTTGGCATTCACTTCTGCATTCTCTGCAAAGCACACTCTGTGTTCCTCATACCCTACCTCTCACACCCCTACCCGTATTTACAACACCCTCACGTTTGTAGATTGCTAGTGTGATTTTTTTTCCTTGCAAGAATTCATTCGCTCCTAGTTTTATCTTCTGCTTGGAGAATGAGGCAGAGAAAGAAGATAAACAGATGCCTCAGTAGAGTCTGGCTGCTATAACAAAGAAGAACAACTTACAAAAGAAAGAAATTCACCTTTCGCAGATGTGAAGGCTGGAGGTCTAAACCAATGTGCCAACCTGCTCGGGCTTAGTGAGGGCCCTCACTTCTGACTGCTGATAGCTACCTTCAAAGGGCATCCCTTCCACATCAGAAAAAGAGGCCTAGAGTGCTCTCCTGTGCTACCATCAAAGAACGATTCCACTCATGAGAACTCTAGCCTCATGACCTACTCACCTCTGAAAGGTCCCCCTTCTAATATAACATTGGAACTAGAATTTCAGCACATGAATTTTGAAAGGCCAGAAACATTTGGCCCATAACAAGCCAAGAGAAAGGAAGAAGACTAAAAAAACTTCCACATATTAGTGAGAGACACACCCATGAAATATCAACAAAGCCTGAACAATTCCAACACTAATTAACATCCAACATGGATGGGCCTCATCCCTAGATGAAGAACTACAGAAAATGAGCAACAGTTGAGGAGGGACTGTGTCTTCCCCAGGACTAATCCCCACCCCCAGCCCTAAGGACATATAATACATAGAAGCGAAACTAAAGGGCTCAGTGGGTTGTATTCATGTATTTATTCATTTACATTTGTATGTGCATTATAACAATAATAAAGAGAAAGATGAGATATGCTTAAAAGAGGGAGATAGAGGAGTTAGAGGGATAGGAAATGATGCAACATTTTAATTTTTAAAATAAACAAAATAATGTGAGAGGTAGCTACTTTCTCTAGGCTTAGTTTTTAAAATATCCATTAAAATTTGTTGATAACGTTCACCTCCGAGAGTTACTGTTTTAGCTTGTGTGTCATGTGTCTGGGAAATATTTGTTGTAGGGTAAACATTTGTCATATGGAGACTTGCATCACCACTGCTGCTTACACGTTTGTTTGTTTTTTAAACAGGCCTGTACCACATCACAACACTTTCCCACGTGATGGTGGTCCCACAGGCCTACATTACCCAGTGACACTGGGCATCTTTGTTTTCCTGTTGGCACAATAATGAAACTGCCCAGCCACTTCCCTTCCCATGGTGAATCCCTGTCATGAAGAGTCATGCTGCTGAACGTGGAGCACATGTGTACTGGGCATCACGTCAGGCACTGGAAATACAAGTGAACAGAACATGCAACCGACTCTCATACAACTGACAAACAAAGCTAAACCTTGAAAATGGGATTACAATAAACCACCGTAATGCTCATGTGTCTTTATGGAAACCTCTACTTTTTTTTTTTTTTTGATACAGAATTTCTCTGTAGCTTTGGAGCCTGGTCACTCTATAGATCAGACTGTCCTCGAACTCACAGAGATCTGTCAGCCTCTGCCTTTGCCTTCCAAGTGCTGGGATTAAAAGCCTGCACCACCAACACCCGGCAGAACCTCTATGGATAGCTGACACCTCTTTGTGTTTTCCTAAACCGTTTTTTTTTTCCTTTTCCTTTTTCCTTTTTAAGAGTTTTAGCACACCTTTTTCCTTGTAACCTAATTAGGGTTCTGGCAGTGGTCTGTAGCTGTCTCTGTCTCCAGAAGATACAACAATCCAAGATGAATGCACTCAGAAATTTTCCATGGATAATTCCAGGAAGCATTTCAAAGTCAGTAATAGTATTTCAATAGTTTGAAGTCAATAAGGAAGAAGCGTCTGGTACAAGGTGGGATACTATGCATCTCATGGTACTCACGTAGAAGGAAATGCTAATCACAGCCAAGTGTTGGATCTACCAAGGAAGGAACCTAGAGAGGAAGATGAGTCTGCTTTCTGCACAGCTGACCACATCCACCCCAGTGCCCAGAGGCACTCATGAAACATACCCACCAAAGGGTGGGAATTCTAGCACACCTGAGGAACTTAAGTATCCAATCAGATCGAGACTCAAGACAGAGGTCCTGGACAGGATATAATAAGACTTTCTATAAAAGGCACACAGCTAAGGTTATCTCCCAGATGGAGCTTAATGAGCAGGCAAGCTACCCATCCATGCAAAAACAACCTAAAAAAGGAGTTAGTCTCACTTCTTCAAATCTACCCCATGCCTCTCTTTGGCTATCCAGGCAAAGTCAGGAATACAACAGCACCCATTTACTCTGACCTCAGCCTCCTTTGGTTGGTTTCCTGTGTGGGTGAAGACATCATTATCCACTTGATGCAAACCCCATGACAATGAGAGTTCCTTCCATCCTCATCTGGCCCGCACCATGCATAGTCAGAACAGAATGAAGTCCTGTGACCTTCCTTTCCCCTTCTTTCCTGTCTGTTCCCTCTCTACTGTAACTGCTCAGCTGCAGGCCTCCATTTATATACAAGCCAGGAGCAGCAAGTCTCTGGTTTCCACATGGGTTCTTTTGAACCTATTTCCCACATTGCAGTAGAAGACTTTGAAGAGAGTGAACAGGATCATTTGACCCTTTCCTCCTTGCATTGTTTTGCCTGGCTCCCCTCTGCTCTCCAAATAAACCTGAGCCCCTTCATCTTACTCACTGAAGTATTTTACTGCCTACTTCCTGCCAACCTTACTGACTTTTTGCCTCCTACAGTCCCTCAAAGATGATCACTAGCTGTACACCATTGCAGTTCATAGCAACAGTGATAGTATTAATCAGTTACAATGCCCACTTTATTTGTCTCCTTCAACAGACCATAAACTCCTCTCTGACAAATCAGTGATCTCATTTGCCTTTGTATTCTCCGAACCTTATGACAGCATTTATAATTTAGCAGACACTCAGTAAGTTTTTGCAGAATGACATGATGGCTGAGGGACTAACAACATATCTACACATATCTACAGGAATATAGGAGATAAATAATAAGTGAAAGAATTGTAACGTCCCAATTATTACACTCCTGTCCTGTCTGAGAAACATGGTCTCAGGAGAAGCACAGCACAGTACAGTCTCTACCTCCAGTCTCGTCTTTTTCTTTAAAGAACTGTCTGTTTAATCATGATAATACAATTAGATCTGTTTGGGCTTAGATTTATTTTATTTTTATCTGCATGCACGTGTATATGTCTACGTGAGTCTATGCCACATATGTACAGACACCCACACAGTATTGTGTTGGAGTAGGACTGCCCGCAGCTAGAGTCACAGGCGGTTATGAGTGACACAATGTGGGTGCTGGGAACCAATCCCTTGGCCTCTGGAACCACAGCAAGCTCACTACACTGATGAGCGATCTCTGCAGCCCCTCTAGTTTCACCTCATCCTGTTGCCTTATTTCTAACAGCTGTACTGGCAGAAACATTCTGGAAGTCTTTGCAGCTATGTAAATCAAGGTAGGAGAGAGCCCTCGCCTGTTCTCTGGTTCTATTGCCAACAACTTACCATGTCACAGTTAGTAGGAGCCTGTACACTGAACAAAGAAATAGAAGCTACTGTCAGGATCAGATCAGTAAAACAAACAAACAAAAAAGTTAAAATTTAAAAAACAATGAGTTCCAAGAAGAGAAAAAGAGAAATGCAAAAAGAAAGTTAAAATAAAAAAAATGAGTTCCAAGAAGGGAAAAAGAGAAAAATGCGCAAAGTAGATTTCTCTCATCAATTCTCCTTTTCATTTCCTTACATTTCCCTTCAATTAATAAAAAGATTTTAAAACTGAAAAAGTGTCTATCGTCTTTGTAGGACATTTACAGCAATATAAAATGTAAGTATCAAGTGGTTTATTTTCAAGTAAACCTGAAAAAATTGAGTTTGCTCACATCATGGGAGCGTTGACATGTAGAACTCAACGACAAACCTTAAATTAGGAAACTGAGATTCCAGTTGAAACTGGATCTAACCTGAGAGGATAAGTGACTTCAGCAGATCACTGCTTCCTTCTATTTCTGCCAGCGTCTTGGGTGAGGAAGGATCAATCGTGAGTTGCTTCCCAATGAAGTTCCGGCAGGTTATCTTAAAAAGATGAGAGCAGGCTGCACTTAGGCATATGTAGTTTAAAGTGTGGATCACTTGAAATGTTTGTCTCCATCTCTGTCAAAGCAGATGTGAAACAGTACTACGAGTAAAAGCTGGTGGAACAACACTCAGTCAGGAGGACTCTGGGGAAACTCGGCTATAGAATTTTTTCATATTTCTCTTGTACACTGCACAGCTGGGAGAACATTGGGGAAATTACATGCAGCAATTAGAATATGATTTTCTGATATTCTAAGACTTCGCTGATCTAAATATATATTCCATTATGTGAGATGAAGCACATTCCAAATACAGTCTTCTTTTCCAAAGGCAGATTCGGTTCCAGCCTACTCATAATTAATGTGATTTTTAACTTCCCTGATGAAGTTTTTCAAAACTAATTGCTTCTATATTATTTTGACAATTTCTTGAACAGATGTTTGAGTCCTCAAATTGTAAAATATGTGAAAACAGAAAAGTGTTTAGATGAAAGGAAATTCCCTTAAAGAGTCCAAGACCCTGTTCCGTCTCCATCTCTACTCATATCCCTTGGTCTAACCCAAACCAATCAATCAAGATGCAGCTGCCTCTCAGCCCAGTGTGGTGAAAATGCTTCTTCACCATCCCTTGAGGACTTTCCATAATGAGATGGAAACAGTCTGATAAGATGCCAACTCCTTCCTGCAGTTTAATAAAATACACCAGGATGGTCCATCCTTTCCCCAGCTTCTTTAAATAAATCTTTATTGAATGCCAGAGTGTTATGCACTGCTGCATACTAAAAGGATGACGTAGCAGCAGTGAACAAAATAAACAAAAAATGTCCATTCTGAAGGAATGTACCTCAGGGGCTTCTAAGAAAACACAATACTAAAATACATAGTGCAGCACGTTGAAGAGTTTTAGCTGCTATGGAGGGACGGTGCAAATGGACATGCAGTGTTAAATATGAGAGAAAGGAAGAGGCTCAGCCCAGAGTACAAAAGGTGAGGGGGAGGTCAGTGTGGGCATGTGGAGGGAAGCATACTCCAAGCAAAAGGATAACAATTGCAGTGATCCCGAGGTGAGAAGTCCTAAGGATAATGTAGCTCAAACCTGCAGCTACCGATGGGTATGGTCTGGGCCGCCTGTACTCTCAACACTCAAGAGGCAGACACTGGAGGACTGCTGTTAAGTTGAAGGCCAACCTAGTCTGCACAATGAGTTTTGAGACCCTATCTCAAAAATATCCAAATGAAAATACAGTTTAAAAACTTGGAGGAGAGCTGAGTGTGGTGGCACATGCCTGCAATCCCAGGACTCAGGAGTTCAAGCTCATCCTCTACTACATTGTAAGCTATGGGTCATTCTTGAGCTATAGGAGATCTTGTTCGAAAGAAACAACAAAACACTTATTGGGAAGTACGAGGTGCTAGCCAAGAATGAAAGCAAACATTAAACAGGCCCCTGAAAACTACTTTGGGGTTGAGGTATTGTCCCCAGTGCTTCTAAGGAATGTGTCAGCCCTGACCTGGACACTCGTTTCTTGTGGAGAAGACCTTAACTTCTTAATTCTTATATCTAGAAAGTGCTGAGCAAGAGCAAACTGTCAGTAACATCCGAGGATCTGGACAGAGAACACCCAAGTGAAAATACTGCTTATCTGGCTTCTAAATCCTTCCCTTTTATATGTGTGGTAACCGGAAGCCACAGCCGCTTGAGAAACGGTACAGATTACCTTCTGTCCATTGTCAGCCTCATATCTTTCACAAGCCTGTTGAGCAACATCGGGGCCATTGAACTTCTGTATCCTCAGAAGCAACTGGCGCTGTGCATACACCAACAGCGGGGTCACTTGCTCTGTATAGCGCTCACTGGGTCATGGTAAAGAGTATATTGAAAAATTAACTTGCGCTAAAATACCATTTCTCCCCTCCCCCCAAATCTGTTACTTGTAGTTGCCTTTGGGGCTGGACATACTGTGAAATGATGTTAAACTGAATGGCGAGAGACACCAGCGTCTCCCACTTCTCCACTTGGTATAGAACCTCCAGAGACTTCAACACAAAGTCACAGATCCATTTCAAATCGACCACGTTGACGTCATCCAAAGGATGCTCGAAAGTCAGGCTGGAACCCCCGTTATCGTATTTGATGTTCCCATAGCAGCTGGGGACGCTGAAGTCGCCTTTCTCTTCGATTTGCTGCAGGAAGCACATGGAGATAAGATGCCCAACTTAAGGTCGTACTGCATATTCTGGTAAATAAGTGTGATAATGCAACGTGAGAAGGAGGCGAACCCAAAGGAAAATTAATGCTATGTGAGTCACAGCTCTGTGATGGGAGATGGTGCTGTGCAGCAAAATCTTCAGTGATGATAAAAATGTGCTAGATTTGTATGCACGGTCATTTAACACAGCCACCAGACGTGTGGCTCTGATTATCTGAAATGTGATGGTACAACTGAGTTTTTAATTTTGCTTGATTTTAACTATTTCACATTTTAACTTATTTAATGACAGCTAATATTTATTAGACAGCTTGGCATGTATTCACTGTTGATTTAAGTAATGACATTAAACCGGTAAGATGCAGCTTTTAGGAAAAACATTTTTATAATAATAATCTTCTCTGGTATTTGGGCACATTAACTAGCATATAGAATAGTACACCCAATTCCTTAATATAAAGGTCAATTTTATGGAGGTGTCTTAGTTGGGGTTATTATTGTTGGGATGAAGCACCATAACCAAAAGCAACTTGGGGAGGAAAGGGTTAATGTGGCTTATGTTTCCACATCACTGTTCATCACTGAAGGAGGTCAGGACAGGAACTCAGACAGGACAGGAACCTGGAGGCAGGAGCTGATACAGAGTCCAAGGATACTTCTGCTTATTAGCTTGCTCGGCGTGGCTTGTTCAGTCTGCTTTCTTTTAGAACCCAGGACCATCAGCCAAGATGGCCCCACCCACAATGGACTGGTCAATAATTGAGAAAACGCCCTGTAGGCTTCCCTACAGCCTAGTCTTATGAAAGTATTTTCTCAATTGAGGTTCCTTTTCTCAGATGATAACAGTGTGTGTCAAGGTGACATAAAACTAGCCAGCATAACTGACTCCTTGTCAACTTGACACACAAATACATCACTGATAAGGCACAGCCTTTCCTTTCTTATTCATCCCCAATATCATGTATTAATTTCAACATCATAATATAAACACTCAAATTCAAAAAGTTCCACCACCAGTCTTACAAATATAAGCATTTTAAAATTTCAGTCTCTTTTATAAAATATAAACTCTATAATTGTGCATGCCTATAAAAACAAAAATAAATTAAATACTTTCTTACTTCAAGAGGGAAGAACCAGGGCACAGTCACAAGCTAAACAAACCAAAAACAAGCTCCAACTATGAAAATAACTCAGTGTCCAATGCTTGGGATCTACTCATAATCTTCTGGGCTCCTCCAAGGGGCTTGGACAGCCATTCATAGCACAGGAAGCTCATCTCCTAGACTCAGGATGGCTCCACTCAACTACTGCTTTTATCCTTGGTGCTCTTCCTCAGGTACCACTGGGATCTCCAAAATACTGCACTCTCACCAATAACCTCTCCTGGGCTCCCTTCAAGATGCCAAGCCTCAACTTCTCTGCCTGACCCCTTTAGTACTGGGCCTTCAACTTTTAATGAGTTTGCATCATCTCCAATGGCCTCTGCTTGTCTCTCACGGTTCCAAGTCTCAGCTGCTCTTCATGCCTTCAAACTCAGTACCACCTGGGAGATGCTCATCCATGACCAAGTTCAGCTTCCAGCATGAAGTACAACCTTGGCCCCTAGAACACAGCTTCTGTGTGGTGACTCTGAGGAAATACTTCTCAGATTTCACCTCCAGGATGCTGGTCTCTTGATCACTTACCTCTGGAACTTCATAAACCAGGCCTCCATTGTTTGCTTTTCTCTCAATGTTCTTATCTTCTAAACTTCCACAGAACAAAACTCACCAAGCTTTGAACACTCAATGACTTTTCTATACAAGAGTTCCAAAGTCTTTCTACAATCTTCCCAAAAGCAACATGGTCAGGTTTGTCACAGCAACAGCCCACTTCTGGAACCAGTTTCTGTCTTAGTTGGGATTACTGTTGCTATGACCAAACATCCATATCACTGTTCATCATCAAGGCAGGGAGGGCAGGAACTTACACAGGGCAGGTGTTCTGCAATATTATTTTTACTAGGTAAAGATGTGTTACATCTGCTCATGCTGCAGAATATTGCTTTAACTCTGTAAAGGTGTGTTACTTTTATTCATTCTGTATTTGTTTAATTATGTGAAGATAAGCTGTATTGGTTTCACCTTGCCTGCCTAATGCACCCAATTGGTCTAATAAAGAGCTGAACAGCCAATAGCTAGATAGATAGAGGATAGGTGGGACTGGAGGTCAGAGAGAATAAAAAAGAGGAGAAATCTATGCTGAAGAAAAGAAAAAATGAGAGAAGGAAGAGAGAAGGAGGGACATACCCCAGGCAAGAGGGCAGCCACTAGACAGATAGACATGGAGAAGCAGTGAAAGGAAGATATGCAAACATAAAAAAGGTAATAAGTCCTGAGACAAAAGACAGATGAAGATAACATGATAATTTAAGTTAAAAGAGCTAGCCAGAAACATGCCTTAGTGAGCATTCAAAAACTAATAATAAGTCTCTGGGTCATGATTTGGGAGCTGGTTGGTGGCCAAAAAGAAAAAGTCTGGAACAGGCAGGAACCTGGAGGCAGGAGCTGATGCAGAGGTCATGGAAGAGAGCTGCTTCCTGGGTTGCCTCTCATGACCTGTTCAACCTGCTTTCTTATAGAACCCAGCACCATCAGCCCACGGGTGGCACCACCCACAGTGGACTTAGTCGTCCCACATCAGTCACTAAGAAAATGCCCTGCCTGTTTGCCTGGTCTTACGGAGGCATTTTCTCAATTGAGGTTCCCTCCTGCCAGACGATTATAGCCTGTGTCAAGTTGACATAAAAGTAGCCAGCACAGGAGATTTTTCTCTAGAGGCCTGACTTTTGTACAGATTTTTGTACCGAAAAGTTACTATTTTAACTACAGTTGTGCTCGCTTCCCATGAAACCTGATGCATTGTGTATTCCTCTGAAAATATACAAAGCAAAATGTATATGGGCCATCTAAGGGCCAGGCTGTAGCTCAAAACAGCCAAACGGGGTCACCCATTCTGCCCTGGTGACTCATTAGGGGTAACCATGTGCCACAGAGGAAAAGTATTAACAAAGATGAAGGCTGAGCAAGGTCCACTCCTTCAAGCTAGAAAATCATGGCTGCCATCTGGCTACAGAGGTTCAAAGAATGAAGAGGTGCCATAGCACGTACTGTCCATGTGAGGTTTACACCTCACATTGTGTCAGCGCATGGGACATGCTCAAGGAAGCCATGTAGTGAGTTATGAGCCCAGGTCCCAATCCACTGAGTCTGTGGTGTCACATGTGTGTAAGGGACGAGCTCCAGTTCCTGTCTCTTTGATCAACAAGCGGAGGCCTCAGCACACGCCCTGCTCTCGTTGACCTGTCCCACTCAGCACTTTCTGGCTTGCCATGCTCACATGCTATGGCAGGAACTGGGTTCATTTCTAGGGTCTCTCCATTGACTCCAACCTGGTGGGCAAGGGCAGGGGGAGCATGATATGTTTCCAGACAATACTAAGTAAGAAGCAAGCAGAGTCGACACCTCAGGACTGAAATAGCTTTTATGAGGTAGAGGTTTGGGTGTGGTCACAGCCTAAAGTTTTCAAGATTAGTATGTGCCATGTGCAATTCGTTAAGAAGCTTTATTAAGCTTTTGCACCAAAAACAGTAGGGAAAGTAATAATAAGACCCGTGTACCTTCTACAAGCTTCAATAGCTTTCAAATTTTAAAGTACACTCAGTTAGCTCATTATTTTTAATTATATCCCAGAAATTACACCAATCAATCTATAAATATTTCAACATGATCTCTAAAGAGTGAAGAACTCATTTTATAAAAGCACAACCATAATATTATAACCCAACCTTAAAAACAGACAAAATGAAGGGCTGAGGCGATGATGCAGTGGCCAAAAGTGCCCGCCACCCAAGAGTGCCGACATGAGTCTGAATCCCCAGGCAGGATGGGACCCATAGAAACACCAGGGACACACACACAGCAGCGTCTGTGCTCCAGGGCACGATGGGAGGTCGGCATGGAGGCTTGAGGGCCAGCTAGCCTGGCTTACGCAGCCCAACAGTGAAACAACAAGGGGCCTTGGCTCAAAGAAGGCAGAAACAAGGATTAGCATGTGAGGGAGGTTGTGCTGTGGCACTCACACACCTGCAAATACATATACACATATACATACTACATACAGAAATACAACCACACACACACACACACACACACACACACACACACACACGAGCAAATCCCTTAAAATCACTCGTCGATAACCATACTGAAAATGTTTCCATTTCCTGAAAGATCTGCACAAGGCCCAAACCCTGCAATTTGGGTGTGGCACAAGTCCTTTCTAATCGATGATTTCATCTCCCTTTTTAAAATTTCATTTTGTTGTTGAAGAAACCATGTTGCTTCCTGGAGCACTCCTGAGGGATTGACTCTGTTGATTGCATTCCTAAGACTTTCTGTGAAATGTTCCTCTGCCAACTACGTTTGTGTCAACAGTGAGGTCTGAATGCTTGATCTGATTAGTTTGGGTTTGTTTCTGACTGGTGTACTTCAAGCTGCTCTTCCTCCACTTAATTCATTCACGAAGAACTGACAAATCTTCATGCTGCAAATCTAACGCCTTTCTTCATTTCCTACCTGAATGTTTGCATTCAAGTTTCCCTCACAGCCATTAGAGGCAGGATAACCCCGCATGGCCCTGGTCCCTTTAGTGAAATGCAGAGTTTAATGCCACATTCTAGTGCTAGCTGTTACCACTTCCTTTGGGTGCCCTTTAACTTCATCTCCTGTATATTTGAGTTTGCAATGTAGACATTCTACTCCAGTTAGCAGGCAATTGGTGGCTTCCGCTTCCTCCAATTTTGCCACTTTTGGCTTTTGCCTCTCAGCTGTTGTGAGCAGAACAGCAATAAATATGGGTGTGCAGGATCCCTTAACTGTTTTCTATATATAAGCTCTCTGGGAGAACTTCAAGACCGCACTGGAGTTAGCTTTTGAGGACCCTCTGTACCATTTCCCCAATGGCTTCACCAACTTCCAGTTGCCCAGTTGCATCAACAATGAGTTCCCACTCCCTCTTCTCCACAACATCATCACCAATTGTTATCTTTTGTCAATTTTAAGTCACCATCACCCCCAACTGGGAGAGGCGGCAACTTAGGGTAATTCTGACTTGCATCTCCCTGCTGAACAATGATGGTGAGCATTTTCAAATTACCTTCGGGATATTTGCATGTCGCTTTCCATTTATTTATATATGTATCTATTGCTGAATGTGTGTATGTGGACATGCTGTGTGGGAATCAGGCTTGTGTGCTTGCCATGGCATACACACGTGGGTCAGAGCACAGTTTTGTGGAGTCAATTCTCTCCTTCCACCTTTGTGTGAGTCCGATCTCACCATCTGTCGATGTCCTATTTTGAAAAATGTCTATATAGATACGCTGCTCGTTCTCAATCAGCATATTGAGATTTATTCTTTTGTGATTTAGCTGAGTTCCAAACACTCTTTAATATTGATCTTTCATCACATGTATAGCTTGCAAATATTTTCGCTAAAGTTCTTTTTTAAAAAGAAGTGGTGTACACATATATGTGTATGTTCACGTGCATAAGTGTGTGTGTGTGTGTGTGTGTGTGCTAGTCGTGCATGTTTGTGCATGTATATGCACAGGTTGAAACTGAGTACTCTCCTCAGTCTCTCTTTACATTATACACTAAGTCAGAGCTTGTCATTTCAGCTAGTCCAGACACATGGCTTTGTCCAGGGAGCCCATTTTCCACTTCTTATGCAGTAGGAGTACAGAGAGACCACCACGCCTACTTGGCTTTTCCATGGGCCCTGGGGATCCTAACTCCAGTCTTCACACTTTCTTGACAAGCACTTTGCCCACTGAGTCATCTTTCTAGCCATAAGCTATCTCTTAATTCTGATGATTGTTTTATTTGCTACTAAGAACCTTTCGAGTTTGATGTAAGCCTATTGACTACAGTTTTACTAAGCCTTGAAATATTGTAAAATTACATATTTCTACTTTTGATTCCTTTCCCATTTCAATGCCATAATGTTTCCAATGTGATTTAGTCCACCCTTTCATGTTTGGAATTTTGGATAATATATCTGTTCCCCCATATATATATATAGCTGTTCCCATGTTTTTTCTTTTTCTTTTTTTGTTTCAGTCATTATTAGTGTTATGAGCACCTGAATCTTCATTGGATATTTTTCCCTTTTATTGAAAATAGATTTTTTTCTCACATAATATATCCTGATTATTGTTTCCCCTCCCTCAACTCCTCGAAGTTCCTCCCCAACCCCCTCCCATCCAGACCCACCCTTTTTATGTCTCTCATTTTTTAAAAAAAGGTTTCTAAAGGATAATAAGAAAACAAAACATAATGCATTAAAATGAAAACTAACACAATGGAGTTGGACAAAACAAACAGAAAGGAAAAAGTCCAAAAGAAGGCACAAGAAACAGAGATCCACTGATTTGAACACTCAGGAATCCCATAAAAACACTAAACTAAAAGTCATGATACATGCTCAAAGGACCTGTGGTGCTAAAAGAGAGAGAATAAAATATGTATGTATTATTATGTGTAATACATACAATATAGTAAAATTTTTAAAAATAAAGTAAAATTTAAAAAATGAAAAGTCCTGACATGATATTGTGAAATAAGGAGCCTCCAAAGATATCACTGAGTCTGTTTCTTGTTGGTTATCTAGTGCTAGGCATGAAGCTTGCCTACCCTTAAGAGTAGTTTGCTTCCCCTTTGAGACTTCCTTGGAGGAAACTAAATTTTTGTCGGCAACTATTATATGATTTGGAGATTGCATCTGGATTAAGGATGAGGGCAAGTCCCTTTACCTTTCAGCTCTAGGACCCCATCTGGTGCAAATCTGCCCAGGCCTTGTAGATGCTGCCTCAGTCTCTGTGTGTTATGCTTCTTAATGTTCATAATGTTTCTCTTATGAAGAACAGGTGTGTCTTTTTCCATCCAGGCAAACAATCCGTGCCCTTTAATTACTCTGTTTAGACAACTTACCTTTAATACAGTTATAGATAAAAGTGAGTTAATTTTAACAGCTGCCTTAGTCAACGCTCTATTGCTGTGAAGAAACAACTGTGTGACTCACACAAAAGAAGCACTTGCCTGAGGCTTGCTTACAGTTGGAGAGGTCTAGCTCTTTATCAGCATGGCAGAGGTGGGGCTGGAGAAGGAGCTGAGACTTCTATACCCAGATCTTCAGGCAGCAGGAAAAGCAAAACTCTAGGCTTGGAATGGGCTTTTTCCAACAATCCCATACCTCCTAATTCATTCAAATAGTACCACTCCCAATGAACTCATTGGGTCCATGTTCCTTCAAACGACCACAATACTTGATATTTGCTTTCCAATATGTGCTTTGCATGTTTTGTCCCTCTACTCTTTCTCTCCTTCTTTTAAGTTAATTATTATTTAGTCTTACTTTATTAGCATTTTCGTTATCGCTTTTTATTGCTATCATCCACTCCATGGATTATGGCATACATCCTTAAATGACCATATCTCACTTAAAATTAATATTATAACAGTCAGCATAAATAGTTTAACTTTATTTACATACTTTGTCTTTCATGATATTGTTACTAGATACTTTCCTTCAGAAATGTTATAGTGTTATATCTCAATGTGTTTGTGATTTTGCTAATTTTCAATGTTTTTGTATTATTTCAATATGTGTTGTATTGTTTCTATCTTATTTCCATAACCTAAGACACAGTGTGATAGATTTTCAACAGCTATAAGTCTTAGTGCCTGGAGCAAAAGCATAGGGCTACACAGACCAGAGATAGAGGTAACCGGCAGCTCGGCTTCCATATGGGTTAAATGCACTAAGGTCAATCATACAAGAGATGAAACTCAGTAAGGGTTTCCTTCTCTTTCCTTCAAACAAACTGGATTTTCAGGCTAAGATATTTTTAATTAACATTAATGCAAGTTATGTGCTGTGAACAAAATTATAATGAGAAGCAAATGAAAAACAGAAAAGCCAAATGGGAACACAAGAAAAATATCAATTTCTACTTATTCCAAGCTTCATGATAAAAGGTATTTTTTAATTGGGTACAATAAAAATAATTACCCAAATGCCCTTACCTTGATAGAATTGGTGCTCTGCAGCTTTATTAACATGTCAATAAGTAGTTCCGTGCCCAAGTAGAATGGTAATACACAGGCACAGAGAAAGCCGTCCTGGCTAATAGGAAAAGCCTTGTAAGTCTCCATAGTCTGCTTCAATAGTATCTGCAGCTCATGGGCAAAGTTCCAGAATGCCCTGCAGCAGTTTTGCAGTAAAGTCCAATAGCCACCACGGTAAGCAAGAACCTAAGATAAGCATCACATTCAGTACTACAAAGCTCCAAAAGTTATGGACATCTGAAAAACTTAACTTTTTTCTGCAAACATATATATCAATGATTTAAAAAATAACTAAAACCATTTGTTATGTGCCACTTCTATTCTCAGCACTGTGACATATTTACATACATTAGCTGGTTTGAGCCCATCATGAGAAGCATACATACTCTAGCACTCTAGAATGAGAAAATGAAGCCTCAACCCACTGAGTGAAAAAATAAGATTTGCATATGTATAGCCAGAATCACCAAATGCCATTTTTATAGGTGTTGGGGATATAGCAGTGAGTAAGGGCAACTGGTCTACCTTCCTGCTGCTTAAGTTTACAAGAGAAGACCAACAATAGTAAGGTATACAAACAGGGGATTTCAGGGGGAAATGTATTTTATTTTAAATAAAACAAGAGCTGGAGAAATGACTCAGCAGTTAATAGCACATAATGTTTTTCCAGAAGACCTGAGTAGGTTCCTAGCACCACATCAAGTGGCTCACAGCCACCTGCGGCTCCAGCTGCATGAAATCTAATGCCTCTGGCCTTCTTGAGCAGAACAAAGCAGAAGTAAGTTAGAACTGGCAAGAAATGAGAGGATATGTTAGCTTGGGTCCAGGAAAGTACCCTTTCTGAGGGGGAAGGGAGCATGCAGGTCATGAGACAGTTTGGGGAAGGAGAGGAACATAAAGCATGGAGAGCTGGGGAGGAAGCAGATTCAGTGCCTTTTCAATAGGAGTGGGAGGAGGAATGGGAGCATGGAGAGCTGAGCTCCACACAGTAAGGAGGGCTTAGCTCCTCCAGCACCCTGAAGCTAATAGAAAGGAGCATAAAACTGAATTTTCATGATCAAGGGGATGGGCAGGGTTTACTTGAACTTTCATGAACGGACAAGTGATTAACCTACCCTACAAGTGCGGGGGGGGGGCGTCATTGACATAAATGGACATAAGTTGCTGGTAGACTTAGGAGGTTAACATAAGGGTAGAGCTTTCATGGCCTGCATCATAAATCATCCCTTGTGCTAGAGGAAAGAAAGAAGGTTATGGTACCCCAGTAGGCATAGCAACAATGGAGCCGCACACAATATTATCACAAAAGAATCATTTCCACTTGTGCAGGAAGGCTGTCAAGGCACCCACATCATCACAGGATCTTCATGGCAACAAAGGCCACCAAGGAGGCTCTGGGCACAAGGATGACAGCTAAATAAGAATATGTCTTCTACCTACACAATCAGACAATGCATCTTTAGTATCACAGCAGGCAAACCTCAGAGTTGGCTGACATAAAACCTAGCAAGATGAAGTCTCTATGCAATAAGGGTGCATATCTTACACACCCGAGTTTATGGATGAGGCTCATGTCTGGTCTACTGCATGGGCAAAAGGAAAGGATTGTGTTACCATTGCTTTCCTGCAACATGAGAAGATTTTTATAAAATGATCCAGTCCCCAGTTTAATACTCGATCCTTCTCTCTGGCATTAATACCAACGCCTATTTGAGACTCCGATTCATAAATTATCTGTGTTTTTATCTTGGAAACACTATCTTCACTTTTGGAATTCCAAAACGAATTAAAATCTTCAGTATCTGCATTCCAAAAATAAATCACAACATTGTCAAGAACATTACTCAAAAATAAAAGATATTAAGCACAAAAACTATCAAAAACATGCATTTACATTCCAACAAAGATGGCATATATTGTGTAATGGTAACACATGTCCACATCACATAAACTTGGAGAAGGAACGGGACAATCAGAGACACAGAGAAAAGGAGCACTTACAAGCTAGAGGACAGCAGGTATGACTAGCCCCATGGGGAGATATAGAGAAGAGCACTTCAGGCTAAGGTGAGGGAAAAAAGAGCAATGTGGCAAAAGGAATGAACAGGTGTTGGGGTGTCGATGACAGAATTCAATGTCCTTTAATCTCCCCAAACAGTCATTCCCAGGACCTGCGCACTCTTGAGTGAGTAGCACCCTGGCCACTCATTCCTCTGCTAAGGTGGCATCAGTCCAGAAGTGTTTTGCCTGCCACACATCTCCTCTCCCATATGTTCCCTAAAGAGTTTCGATGTCCTGTCTTCAATATGATAATGGGTTGAAGCTAGAGACAATCTACATATGTCAATCAACTTACAAAAAAAATCAGACTTCTTTTTGTCTATGGAATTTCTCTTCAGTGATGTGTATATATGAGCACCAACCTACACCTAGAAGAACCAAAAGCATGTCAAATACCTCACTAGGAACTAACACTATCAAGAAATTTTAGCTAGCTTCTGAGAACCCTGATGAGCAAGAAAGTCCAAGGTGCTTAAATGCCAGTACTAAGCAATTTGAGAGAGGGTCAAGAGCACTAACTGGTCTACCAGAGAACCTGGTCTTAAGTCTCAGTACCTACATGAGGGTTACAATCACCTACCACTCCATACATTTTTATTTGTCATATGGGTTGTAGTCAAGATGGAAAAACCTGTTGGTTAAAAATAGTATTCCAGGTTCTATCATCTTTACAGGCAAGGATTAAAACTCAACCAAATTTGACAGACAAAAGTCAGTGCAGCACCCAGGTAGGAAGGCCTCTGTGCCTGTTATGTTTCCCCCATACAGAGACTGTGGAAACCACACCATGTAACAGATCTTCGTGTCCTGCAAACAGGATATTATTTCATTCACTTGAAGTAGATTTTCACAGAAGGTACAAATTGGATACTGTAGGGTAACAGTGGACTGCCTCAAGTTCAAAATCAGCTATCTTGGCTGAATTTATGCCTATATCAGTACATTGATGAAGTCTATTTGAAAAGTGACTTCCACTAAGATATCACACCTGCTAGTAAGTCTTCCCCTAGCTTGAACAGCCAGAGGCTGCCAATACTTAGCAAAGGAGAATTATATTTGCAGAGCACTCAAAATGATTTATGGTGGAACATTAAATACTTAACAGTTAAAGTTCAGAAAAGTGATTACCAAAGTTCACTAACACAACTAAATTGCTGGGCTTTTGAAAATGGCATGCATATTTGTCTATCAACAAGCACACATGTGTAATTGTGTGTAGGTGATAGTCTATGCTTGTGTTAGTGAACAAAAATTTAGAGGCAATTAATCCACTTGTCAATGAGCACATTCCTTTTACCTGTGGGTTGGTTGGGCTTCTTTTTTTTAGAGGCCATAAGAATATCCAGCGTTGCTTGGTAGTTGTCAATAGTCAGTTTTGCTGTTGGCAACAATGTTCCAGAATGGTATAATGAGAAGAAATTAGGGTCACATGACCGGAAACTGAAAAGGGGGTCAAAAATTAATTAATTATATATATATATATATGTGATACATAAATATATACAATATAACATATAAATAATACATAATTTATAAATCATATATATATATATATACATCAGATGAAACAACAACAAACACCTAAACAAAACTGAACTGTCTTAAGTACAGCCAATTTTTATTTTTAAAACATTTGTAGTTGTGATTTTAGACCATAAATTCTCTTGGCAGGTAATCTGCCCCTAGCACCTTACCTTGAACTTTTCAGATTATACAATGCAACTCTACTATTAGGAGATTACTGTATCTTTCCCTAAAAGGATCCTAGAAGATGGGAACGAAGCTCTCTAATTGTTCTGAGTTCTACAGAAATAATTTATGTTGGCCTGGAGAGCCAGTTCTGTGGTAGACCAGTTGCCTAGCAAGGGTCTTGGCTTTAATCCCTACTAGTGAAATAAATAAAATCACATGATTTAAGTACAATTGGGTGAAGTTCCCTCTTGTTTAGAATATGTCCATAACCATGTTTCTTTTTAAAAATAAAGTCTGAGCACTAAGCGATCTTACAAATAAAAAGTCCAAGCACACACTAATAATTGTAATAAAATCAAAGTCCACAGCAAATTACCCCTGACCTATCTTAGACCACTGGTTGCTTTATTGTGCTATCTCAGGCAGAGTTGGTGACACATGACAATAAAACTTGAAGAAGACTTCCTTGGTGCCCAGAGGAGACCAAGGAAGCCTGTGTCTTAGCTTCCATAGGCCACACTGCTAAGCGAACTATTGCCTCTTTGGCCCTGGACTCTCTGTGGTCTAGGCTATTGCCATGTTCCCATCCCAGCCTCAGCACTACACTTGTAACCATTGTGCCCAGCTGGCTAGCCACTTGAATGCAGATCTGTGAGGATTTGTTTTGCAAAGGTTAGTCTTCTAAGGGTTCTAACCAAACTTCTGGAAAAATAGCAGTGGGGGCTAAATTCATTTTGGATTTGAACCTGCATTTCTTTGCCTCAGTGGATTACTGAATAAATACCCTCTCGTTTCACATTCCTTTCTTCAGTCTTTCCTCCAGCCAACCCATTTTGTATGTTCCTGCCAAGGACACTCCTTATCAAAAATCCTTAATAATCTCCTGCCATATCAAACAAAAAGCTCAGATGTAACTCAAACTGAAGACCCTTCACGGCTTGGTGCTGACTGACTTTCATATGCCCTAGATTTTCATCAGACTATTTGGGATTCTCATCCTCTTTCCTACCTGGACACTTGATTTATATGATTCCACCTACCAAGAATGCCTGCTTCTCTGGCTTGACATTTCTAAATCTTACCAACCATCAACACCCAGGAGTACCATCTCCATGAACCCATTCATATAAGAACACAGCCACAAAGTTGTAGCAAATAATTTGTAAGTGCTTGACCATCTACCAATAAACAGAGTTATAACTGGGTGATCATGATACCTACCAGGCTCCAATATGTATATCTTGTCCATCTTTGCATACTTATGGCATCTAGCTCACTGCCATGTATGTTAAGAGTTCTTTGGAAAATATCTTTTTGATGGGAGACTTTATACCACCATTGCAACAGATACCTAACATCCCTTAATATTGTGGTCTATTTTTATCTATCAGTACTTAACCAAAGGTACAGAATAAAATCTCAAATTGCCTATGGAATTCATGGCATACCACATCAGAAAACCTAACCTCTGTTTTTACAGGCATCAAATATACCTTTGAATGAAAGTGATGGTGACATGATGTCTGCTAATATCAACAGTAATTATGGAGTTACCCTTTCACTACAAGCTATACTGACAAACTTACTCAAAAGGCTTGCAAATTAGCACCACATGAGACATTATTGAGCATTTATTTGGGAAAGAAACCAATATAGCAAAATGGAAAACACAGTAATGGCCAGTGTAATGCAGACATTCTGGAAATGTTGCTACAATGAGGTCTCAAACATTCCAGTGTGCAGTCCATGTCCACGAGATGGATAGATATGACTTACCAGTATCATTCCATACCTGACATTAGAATGGGAAGAGCTGAACCTCATCTTTGTGCGCTCAGACAGCTTTAGTAAAAACAAGTGGAAGTGTGCACTCGCCAGATACAAGTTCATCTGAGCTCTCCAAGGGAGCTCTTCAAGAAGTATTTGATGAAACCTCTTTCTTTTGACATAGTTTAATATTATGGGATTCAAGTTATCTGCCAGGCTTCGGTAAGCCATTTTCCTCACATCAGCTCTCTTATTTCTGCCAAGGGGAAAAGATGTTTTGAGGTTAAATAAACATTAGATAAAGAAAAATTATTCCAGCTTGGCAGTGGTAGTGCACACCTTTAATCCTAGCACTCAGGATGCAGAGACAGGTGGATCTCCGAGTTCAAGACCAGCCTGGTATACAGAGTGAGTTCTGGGACAGCCAGAGCTGTTATACAGAGAAACCCTGTCTCAAAAACAATAAAAGAATAGGAGGAGAAGGAGGAGGAGGAAGAGGAAGAAGAAGAAAAAGAAGAATGAGTTCAATTTGCACAGAATATATCATGAAGTCACCTGACTATTCTTATGCAAATTTCTGGGTCATTTATCATTTCCTCAGTTCTCAAAATGTAAAATAGTGTGGTGGAAGAGAGCTGCAAGTAAGGCATGGAGGACAAAGACACGACTTAATTGCCTTCAAGAATCTCCTATGTTTCAGTTCAAACAGAGCTTTGCTTTTCTGTAATCAAAAGGTCACTGGGATTACACAAGCTATGCAATGTTCATATTAATCAGCTTTTTCAATATTAAACAACAACTTCATTTGTCTATATTGGTCCTTTAGGAAAAAAAACAATGAAACAAAATTTTGCCTAACATTAGATAGACTCTACAGGAAATAGAATTTCAATCAAATATAGATGAAATAACTTCAAAAATGAACACATTCAATACACCACGAGTGGAAAACATTCAACTTTTATTTAATAGTTCCCATTTGAGTCTGATTTTGCTTTCAGAGAGTGGATCTCATTATGTAGCCCGGGCTAGCCTCACCTCTCCCTTTTCCTGCCTCAGCCTTCAAAGCACTATGATAGTTCAATTTTTAAAAATTTATTTGTTTTTATTTTTATGTGCATTGGTGTTTTGCTATGGATGTCAGGTCACCTTGAACTAGAGTTACATACATTTGTGAGCTGCCATTTGGGTGCTGGGACTTGAACCCTGATCTTATGGAAGAGCAGCCAGTGCTCCTAACTGCTAAGCCATCTCTCTAACCCAGTAGCTCAAATTTTTAAGAGATAACAGACACTTAATCTTTCAAATGGTCATTCCTATAGATCACCTAGTAAACTGTTTGCTCTGCAATCATGAAGATATGAGTTTGGATTCACAGAACCCACATATTAGATGTGATGGTGCACACCTATAATTCCATCACGGGAGGTGGAAGACCTCTGGTGTTTGCTGGCCAGCCAGTCTGGCTAATCAGCAAGCTCCACACTCAGTGAGTGACCTTGACCCAAAAACTGAAATAAAGAACAATTGAAGAAAACCCTCAATGTCAACCTCTGACCTCTTAATGATCAAATCAGAATACCTCATGTACACACACCAAAAAAATGTAATCAAAATAGTTTAACTATATTTATATCTAGTTGTTCATGGGAATCATTTTGTTTCTTCAAAATTGTCTATTTATTTTGTACAACATGAAATGACATTGTCACATTGGTCAGCACAATTCTTTGTGACTTACACTGTAAAAAGTTAACAAGTACATACACACATATGCACACATACACATGCACACATGCTGGATGATAGATAGATAGATAGATAGATAGATAGATAGATAGATAGATACATCAGGTATAAACAGGCGAGTTAAAAAATCCTGCCCCATAACAGCCCCTCTCATCAGGACCAACAGGGTTACTATCACCTGTGAATTTGTTAGAAATTATTGTTGTCTATCTGCACCAGCTTTAATGCCTAGGAGTCAGCCAGACCCAATGGTCTCTGTTCATCAAGGTCTCCAGGCTACCCTGTTTCATGGTGCAATGTTGAGAATGAAAAGCCTGTGCTCTCTAGGATATGTTTTGAATCTGAATCACCATGCACAAATAATAGGGGAAGGGGAAGAAGACAGAGGGAGTACGGCAGATATTAGGGTTAGCAGACATCTGCAGACTAAAGGAAGAACAAACACATTTTTTAAATTACTTTTAAATTAGAACAATGGGTTTCCTTACACATTTTTATGCATACTTGGTTTTGGCTGCCATCTCACACCTGCCCCTCTCCCCAGTCTCCATCCCACACCCGCATTGAACCCTTCCACCCCCAGTATTTCCCCTTTCTACTTTTATATTGTGTGTGCCCAATTGCCCTCCCCACCCCCTCCTATAAGCCCCCCACATCTCCTCTCCTGGCCCCCTTTCTAGTTACATGACCTCTACCTATACTTCTCTCTGATGCACACTCCTGACATTATTGTTCAGTTCTGAATGTGTTAAATTTGGTTGACAAAAATTGTTGTAATAGGCTGAACCTCTTAAGAGAAAGTGGGAAGTACCCTTGAACAACTTGGTACAGGAGACAGTGAGGTCAACAATTAATACATGGGACCTCCTGAAACTGAGAAGCTTCTGCAAGGCAAAGGACACAGTCAACAAGACAAAAGGACAACCCACAGAATGGGAAAAGATATTCACTAACCCCACACCTGACAGAGGGCTGATCTCCAAAATTCACAAAGAACTAAAGAAGCAAGTCTCCAAAATACCAAAGGATCCAATTAAAAAGTGGGCTACAGAACTACATAGAGAATTCTCAGTAGAGGAATCTAAAATGGCTGAAAGACACTTGAGAAAGTGCTCAACATCCCTAGCCATACAGGAAATGCAAATCAAAACAACTCTGAGATACCATCTTACTCCTGTCAGAATGGATAAAAATAAAAAAAAAAAAACACCAACAACAGTTTATGCTGGAGAGTATGTGGAGAAAGGGGAACACTCCTCCACTGCTGGTGGGAGTGCCAACTCATACAGCCACTTTGGAAATCAGTATGGAGATTCCTCAGAAAAAATGGGAATCAGCCTACCACAAGACCCAGAAATTCTACTCTTAGGCATATATCCAAAAGATGCACATTCATACAACAAGGACATCTGTTCCACTATGTTCATAGCAGCATTATTCGTAATAGCCAGAACTTGGAAGCAACCTAGATGCCCCTCAACCGAAGAGTGGATAGAGAAAATATGGTACATTTACACAATGGAGTACTATTCAGCAGAAAAAAAAATGGAATCCTGAAATTTGCAAGGAAATGGATGGCACTAGAAGAAACCATCCTGATTGAGGTAACCCAGTCACAAAAAGACAAACATGGTATGTACTCTCTCATATATGGATTTTAGACATAGATCTGGGGAGTGCCAGCCTACAATCCCACAGCCAGAGAGTCTGGGAAACAGAACCTTCATCCAATGACTGACGGAAGCAGAGGCAGACACCCATAGACAAACACTGAGCTGAACTCAAGGAACCCAGTGACAGAGAGGGAGGACTGATGAGCAAAGGGGTTAAGACTGGGCTGGTTTAACCCCCAGAAACAGCTGACCTGATAAGGGTTAGGTACTGAATCCCAGATTGATGGCTGGGAATCCAGCACGGGACTGATCAAGACCCCCTAAATGTGGGTGTCAGTGAAGAGGCCTAGGCAATCTATGGGGCCTTGGGTAGTAGATTTATCCCTGGCATACAAATGAACTTTGGGTGCCCATCCAACAATGTGAGATGCACTCTCACCCTGGACTCTTGTGGGAGGGTCTAGACCCTGCCCTGGATGAAATGACAGACTATGGACACCCCCATGGAGGGCCTCACCCTGCCTGGGGAAAGGAGGGTGTATTGTGAGTGGGGGTTGGTGGGAGGGCATGGGAGGAGGGGAGGGAAATGGAGAGGGACCTGGGATTGACATGTGAAGCAAACTTGTTTCTAATTTAAATTTAAAAATTAAAATTAAAAAAATTGTTGTAATAGGTTAGATTTTCTACCAAAACTATTGATCTTTTAAATGATTATTCTGAAAATTGAAATTGTTGCCAAAACAAAATCAGTCTTGTCCTTGTGCAGGGAGGCTAATTCTCAAGAGGTGAAGAAGAGCCCATGCTTCCATCCTTCACTCCTTCCCCCCAGAAAACAGAAAAGAGTCCAGGAAGTGAGCAGGAGGACAGGCCTCATCCTGTAGTGCAGACAGGTGACCACACTCTTCACACACAGTGGCACAAAGTAGAGAATGCTCTACCACCAGACAGGATTCCAGTGTTTAATTGTACCCTAACAACAGGAGCTATCACCATGGTGGGATGGCCACATATATCCTAAAGTTTGCAATGAACTAAACACATATACAGAGAGACACATGTATAAATTCACATAAACATGCCATACTCTGAATAAAGTCGTTGGACTGCATTACTGTCAACATCTTGGTTTGTGATGTTGTGGAAAATTGCAGAGTCCCTTGGAAACTATCTCTCATAAGTATACATAAATCTTCAATTATCTAAAAACAAAAGTATTTTAAGAGACACATTGCAAGTATGTCCACATCACAGGATTTTTGGAATTATAGGTCTTAGCCTGTAAGTTACGAGAAAAAGAAATGAGAGGCAGACCCCAGCTTCAGAAGACCCATCCACACAGGAAAGGCATCAGCCCTTCCAGTCCCCAACCTCCAGAGACCCTAGCTTCAGGTGAGCTAGGGTCTCCCTGGGGCCACTTCCCATCCCCCACCCATCACCCATCCCCTCAATCTTCCTGGGGCCTGCTCCTGGCACCCAGAGGACCCGCCCACACAGGAAAGGCATCAGCCCTTCCAGGCCCCAACCTCTGGCGACCCCAGTTTTAGGAAAGGCAGCAGCCTTCCCAGGCCCCAACCTCCGGTGATCCCAGCTTCAGAGGACCCGCCCACACAGTAAAGACATCAGTCCTCCCAGACCCCAACCTCCGGTGACCCCAGCTTCAGCTTCAGAGTCCCCAGCTTCAGCTTCAGGAAAGAAGGAGACCAGTGGAGACAGAAAGACCCCACCTGCATCCACTGGAATAAGAGATGGGAAGAAGTCAGAATAAAACTCAGCAATAGAAAGACCAACATGACTCCACCAGAATCTAGAAACCCAACGCCAGCAAGACCTGAAAAGCACTACATAGGCAAATCAGGAGAGACAGACCTTAAAAATTATTTTATGAAGATGATAGGGACCAGGAAACAAGGAAATCCCTTAAAGAAATAGAAGAAAAAACAAACAAAAAAACCCATGAAAGGGAGGAAAAGGTGAACCAAAAAATTCAAGAAATAAACAAATCTCTCAAAGAATCTAAAGAGTACCAAGAAAAAAAAACAACCAAACAAATGAAGGAAACACCTCAAACAGTTGAAGGATTGAAAGCTGAAATAGAAACAATAAAGAAAACACAGAATGAGGGGATGCTGGAAATAGAAAAGCTTGGTAAACGATCAGGAACTATAGATGCAAGTATCATCAATAGAATACAAGAGATAGAAGAGAGAATCTCAGGTGTTGAAGACTCATTTTCTTTGGTTGTCAACCAAAGAAAATCTCAAAACCAACAAATCCCTAACACAAAATATCCAGGAAATATGGGACACCGTGAAGAAGCCAAACCTGAGAATAATAGGTATAGAAGAAGGTGAAGAAATACAGCTCAAAGGTACAGAAAACATATTCAACAAAATCATAGAAGAAAACTTCCCTAACCTAAAGAAGGATATGCCTATGAAAATATAAGAATCTTACAGAACACCAAATAGGCTGGACCAGAAAAAGAAGTCACCTCGCCATATAATAATCAAAACATCAAACCTACAGAATAAAGAGAAAATATTAAGAGCAGCTAAAGAAAAAGGCCAAGTTACATATAAGGGCAGACCTATCCGAATTACACCTGTGACTTCTCAATAGAAACTTTGAAAGCCAGAAGATCCTGGACAGATGTCCTACAAACGCTAAGGGAACAAGGATGCCAGCCCAGACTACTATATCTAGCAAAGCTTTCAATTACGACAGATAGAGAAAGCAAAATATTCCAAGGCAAAGTGAGATTTAAACAATACATATCCATGAATCCAGCTCTACAGAAAGTGCTGAAAAGAAAACCTAAACACAATGAAGATAAGTACACTCACAAAGACACCGGCAATAGATAATCCCACTTTACCAAACACCAAAAGAAAAAGGGAGGAGAACCTACACACAATAACTCCACTACCAATAAATCAAGCACAAACAAGAATCATCAATCAATGGTCAATATCCTTCAATGTCAATGGTCTCAACATGCCTATAAAAAGACACAGACTAGCAGAATGGATACGAAGACAGAACCCATCCTTCTGCTGCATACAAGAAACACATCTCAACGTCAAAGACAGACGTTACCTCAGAGTAAAGGGTTGGGAAAAGATTTTCCAATCAAACGGACCCAAGAAACAAGCAGGTGTAGCAATCCTAATATCTAACAAACTAGACTTTAAATTAAAATCAATCAAAAGAGATGAAGAAGGACATTTCATATTCATCAAAGTCCATCAAGATGAAGTCTCAATTTTGAATATCTACGCCCCAAATATAAAGGCACCCACATTAGTGAAGGAAACATTACTAAACATTACTAAAGCTCAAATCGCACATAAAATCTCACACACTAGTAGGAGACTTCAACACTCCACTCTGACCTCCAGACAGAAACTTAACAAAGAAACAAAAAAAGTAATAGAATTATGACCCAACTGGGTTTAACAGATATCTATAGAACATTCCACCCAAACACAAAGGGATATACCTTCTTCTCAGTGCCACATGGAACCTTCTCTAAAATTGACCACATAATAGGAAACATAGCAAACCTCCACAAATACAAAAAAAATTGGAATAACCACCTGTATCTTATCAGACCACCATGTATTAAAATTAGAATTCAACAATAACACAAATCGCAGAAACCCTACAAACTCATGGAAACTAAACAATGCACAATTGCACCATCCCTGGGTAAAGGAAGAAAAAAAAAGAAATCTGATTTTAGACATGGATCAGGATAGTGCCAGTCTGCACTTCCACTGACAGAGAGTCTGGGAAACAGGAAAGAACCTAAGAGAGATATGCATTGTATCCCAGAGAAGAGCAATTAGGCAAGATCTTCTAAACAGATGGGGAACATGGTGAGGGGTGGGCAGCAGGTGGAAGCTGGGAAGAAGAGAGGGGGAGAAGAAGAAGAGAGAGTAGGTCATGGGGGAACAGGAAGGTTGAGTGGGGGTTGAATAGGGAGAAGAGGGAGTCATAGGTTAGAAGACAGATCTGGCACCAGTGAGACCTCTAGTGATCTAAAGGGATGACACCAACTGGCAAGCTAAGCAATAGTGGAGAGACCACCTTAAATGTCCATTCCTGATAAAGAACTTGATGTCTATAACCATCCTGGAGCCTTCATCCAGTGACTGATGGAAGCAGAGGCAAACACCCACAGTTAAACACTGAACCCATGGAAACCAGTGACAGAGAGAGAGGAGCGATGAGCAAATTGGCAAAGAATGGGCTGGCAAAACCAGCAGAGATAGCTGATCTGAACAAGGGGGAGTGCTTGGACCCCAGACTGACAGCTGGGAGGCCAGCATGGGACTGATCCAGACCCCCTGAGTGTGAGAGTCAGTGAGGAGGCCTGAGCAACCTATGGGGCCCTGGGCAGGATCAATGTTTATCCCTGGCATGCAAACAGACTTCATGTGTCCATAACACAAAGAGGGATGCTCTCTCAGCCTGGACTCTTAGGGGAGTGCCTGGACCCTTCCCTGTGTGAAATGACAGACTCTAGATATCCCCTATGTGGAAGGAAGTGGGGATAGGGTGGAAGGCTGGGGGGGATGGTGGGGGGAAGCAGGAGGAGGGGAGGGGGAGGGAACTGGGATTGACATGTGAAGCAAGGTATTTAAAATTAAAGTAATGCAAACGCATCAAAAAAAAAAAAGAAATGAGAGGCTTGAACATTGAAAAAGAGTAAAGTACACCTTCATCCCCTGTACATGCTCTGACCATCCACACAGTCAGGCTTAAGTAAGTTATAAAGTCATGCAGACAATCTACATACCAAGATTCTAGTATATATCTATTCAAAGAACAGAAGAATTCATAAATGTGATTTTGAAGTCCACACAAAAATATTGCTTTATATAGTTAACAAAAGATAAGTAATACATTGAGGGAGAAGCCACACAATGTAGGGAGAAACCACACAATGTATCAAAAAATGTTACAAGATCTTAAGATGCAGTCTGTATTCTACAACAAAGATGTGGTGCTGCAAAGAAACAAAATAATACTTTCGGGGGGGGGGACTCAGTTCCCTTTTCAAATTCACAATAGAATGATAGAATTCTCCCCGTTACACAGCAAGCTAGTGTGAACTATTTCATACATTACTCAAGACCTGAGTGAAGAAAAACAGCATGCTGGAGGGACACTTCCATCAGACAGTAAGTTTTCCTTTAAATCAATAGCAGGTTATGAACTCAGACAACAGGTAAATAGACTCATGGGATAGAGAAGAGGTCCCAAAACTAAATCCATTAATAGCCACTAAATAAGGAAGGTGATGGTGACAACAGAATCTACTGTTAGAGAACAGATGACCCAATAAATGGTGTCATCTAAAATTGACTATCCATTACAGGGAGAGGTGGCTCATCACTGAGAGCACTGGCTGCTCTTCCAGAGGACCTGGGTTCAGTTCCCAGATGCTCCCCCAAGGCACTCACAGCCATCCTTAACTCCGGTTTTAGTGTACCCTCTTCCCACTGTCATCGGCACTGCACACGCACGGTGCACATACGTATACCAGGACAAAATGCCCATATACATGAAATAGAAATAAATATTTTTTTTAAAACTTCTGTCCTCTGAAAATGAAAAGCCATCCATAACTTGGTCTCAAAGGCTGGCTGCCACCAGTGGCTCCACAGCTAATACCCTGTAGCATATTCTATTCACAGCATTCTCTAATTTGTGTTGGTTACTGCACCACTATCATTTAAGCTCTCTGAAACCAGGGATGTGTTGTTAGACACTTTCATACATTTACATAGTGCAATTCAGTCATTCTGTCCTCCATCACCTCTCGCAGCTCCTGGTCTCCCCCACTGGAGTCCTTTTCTTCAACAACCCCCTTACCCCACACATACACACTTTCTTGTCTCCTCTGTGTGTGTAACCCGCTGAGTTTGATTATTTCATCGGATCAGGTTTTCCAGTATATTCCTAGTACCTAAATCAGGGCCCAGCAGGGAGTAACCCTCAAGTAAGCTATTGTTGACTATTCACTGATACCTTTCCTGCTCCGATAGTTCAAAAATGGATGGATTCTTGGAAAAAAATTCTTTTAGAGTTTCCTTTTTCTTCCTTCTTTTTCTTGGCAGCCAGTCTGCAGTCTTCATGGAAAAGAGAACAAATGTTATAAGTTAAAATTGGAACATAAGGATATTAGCTCCTCATAATGTAATGCTTACCTTCCAGTCTTGAAACACACTGGTTTTTCTACATCCTTTAGTTAAAATTACTATCAAGATGTTGGAGAGATTGTTCAACACTTCAGATCACATACTGATGTTCCAGAGGACCTGGGTTCGATTCCTAGCACCCACATGTCAGCTCACAACCATCTGTAAGTCCAGTCCAGGGGATCTTGGGCCCTCATCTGGCCACTGTAGGTGCACACATGGTACACAGATGTGTATGCAGGGGAAATGCCCATACACATAAAAATAAAGTAGCTATAAAAAGTAAAAAATGGGCCCTTTAGACAAAAACTCTGATTATGAGAACATCTACATGATTATTTAAGAATTTATAATTTATTATAAAATTATGCATATTGATATTTCTTTCTGTTTCATCTTCTGACAAATTATAATCAACCATCTCTGGACACATAAAATATCCATCAATTTCATCAATATATTAATAGTATATTTATTGATCTTCATTAATTTTATTAATTATTAAAACACATTTCTTTTAAAAAAATTACTCTTCCATTGGATAAAGAAAACATGGTACATTTATTTTAAAGAAAAAGACAATGGAATCTTGAAATTTACAGGCAAATGGATAGGACTAGAAGAAACCATCCTGTGTGAGGTAACCCAGTCACAAAAAGACAAACATGGTTTGTAGTCACTCACATATGAATTTTAGACTAGAGCAAAGGATTACCAGCCTACAATTCACACCACCAGAGAAACTAGGAAACAAGGAGGTCCTTGGAGAGACATATGTGGTCCCCCGGAGAAGGGAAAAGGGACAAGACCTCCTGAGCTAATTGGAGCATGGGTTGGGAGGAGAGGGAGTGAAGAGAAAGAAAAAGGGAGAAGAGGATGGGAGAGGAGGATATAGGACATCAGGGAGCAGGAAGATGAGTCAGGGGAAGACTAGAGGAGAGCAAGAAAAGAGATACCATAATAGAGGGAGCCATTATAGGTTTAAAGAGAAATCTAGCACTAGGAAAATGTCCAAAAATCTACAAGGATGATCCCAACTAACAATCTAAGCAATAGTGGAGAGAGAGGCCACCTTAAATGCCTTTCTCCAATAATGAGATTGACGACTACCTTATATGCCATCCTAGAGCCTTCATCCAGTAGCTGACAGAAGCAGAGGCAGACACCCACAGCTAAACACTGAGCTGAACTCCCGGAATCCAGTTGCAGAGAGGGAGGAGTGATGAGCAAAGGGGTCAAGACCAGGATGGAGAAACCCACAGAAATTGCTGACCTGAACAAGGGGGGGAGCTCATGGACCCCAGACTGATAGCTGGGAAATCAGCATAGGACTGTTCCAGACCCCCTGAACGTGGATGCTAGTAGTTTGGAGGTATGGGCAATCTATTGGGCCTCTGGTAGTGGATCAGTATTTATCCCTAGTATACGAATGGACATTGGGAGCCCACTCCACATAGAGGGATACTCTCTCAGCCTAGACACACGGGCAAGGTCTAGGCCCTGCACCAAATGATTTGACAGACTTTAAAGATCCTCCATGGAAGGCCTCACCCTCCCTGGGGAGCAGAAAGGGGATGGGAATTGGGGGTTGGGGGGGCAGGGGAGGAGGGGAGGGAGAGGGAACTGGGATTGACATGTAAAACAAGCTTGTTTCTAATTTAAATTTAAAAAAACTTACTCTTCCAATCTCAATAACTACAGCTTTATACTTCTTGAGAGATTTGGGTGTCTTCTTAGAAAGGACATTGTCCTTGCATTTTAACTTTTTTGTTCCAATGAGGGACTCGTTTCTCCTAATTCACACATAAAAAGAAAAAGTCAGTCAAATATGTGGAAAATCTTTGGTAACGACCTCAGAGTCAGAAACCTCTAATGAACAGTCACTGAAAGTATGCACAATGTAGGCTATCAGACTACCTGCCCCATACATCACTTAGGGGGAGGATCCCCAGATATGAAGGGCAGCTGACTTCTTAATAGTACAATGTCATTCACACTGCAAACTTGTGAAAAGGGCACGTGTCCACAGGAAAAGAGGAAGGAGACAAAAGTGTGGTGAAGGCTGGACAGCATTTGACTGAAAATTATCTATACTTACTTCCCTCCTCTATCAAGACAAAATCCGCATCTCAGTGGCCCTAGACAACTGCCTTGCTTCTTTCAGTTCCATCCTGCGGGGAGTTCCAGCCACCACTGTCATCCACTATGCCTTCTCCCCTTATCTCCCCATCACGGCTTCCTGCACGCAGACTTGTTCCCTAGACACACTTCTCTCGGTATCTTGCTATTGACAATTGTCAGCTAATTTTTCCTGATGAAATGAATACATTCATCTTCTGGAATTCCTATTTCTTGCTGGAGAGAACAAAATCCTGTTCTAACATAATGAATGGGAACCAAAACCTTGAGCAAAATGCAAAGCTATAGGGCTAATACAATGACCGGGTGAACCTAGCAACTAGTTCCTGGGTTGGAAAACACTGCATGATTAAAATTTATTTTTTTCATAGTAGTGGTTGGCATCGTACTATGGTTTTGGGTACTACAATATTTTGCTGTGTGTGTGTGTGTGTGTGTGCACGCGTTGTGTGTATACATGTGTTATGCAGGTATGTGGTGACCAGAGGGTAACATGAGATATTCTGGTCTGATCTTTCATACTCCCTCTTACTCCGCTGTGACAGGATTTCTCTCTGAACCTGGGAATGGCTATTTTGGCTCAGATGTAGTCAGAAAGTCCCAGCAATTGTGTCTCCACCATGCATGATACTAGAGTTGTGTATGTACTTGGTCACACATGGTATTTACATGGTTGCTGGAGATGGGATTCACACTCTCATGCTCATCCAGCAAGTGTTCTTACCCACTGTGCATCCCCCCAAATACGTCACTTAAGTTTTTACAAAGATGATCATGGCCTCTCTGATTGGATGGGACTCCCACACAGCTTCGGCAATTCTGAGGCTACCCTGGCTATTTAAGCAGGTATTTCATCTGGCTAAGCTATGGTGTTTGGATCACTGACTGCTGGGAACCTGGGGACTCCTTCACTTCCAAGCTACAACCTGAAACAGCACTTTCAGTCAGACAAGTCTCTTTGCTGTGTTCTCCTCTCCTGACACCAAATAATCAGTGTGGAGGTAGCCCTGTTATTGCAGAAAGAGATGGAAGGAGAGGAGGCCCAAGGCGAGCACTCACTGCCATTTGTTCCGTGCATGCACAGCCATCATCCAGCAACACGTGGAGCTCCTCCACTCCTGCAGCTCCTCACAGCTCAGTGTAGGTCTGACAGCTTTCTATATTGTTTATGGTGTGTTTTGGTAAATCATAATCTCAAATTTCTATGAACTCAACATTAACATTTATTTTTTTACTTCTACATTCTTTTGTTTACTTTTGTTAAGATCTGTCTCCAAAAAGTAAGTCCCAATGGTTCTCTGTCTAGTATTACACACACACACACACACACACACACACACACACACCAGCTCTATTATTCTTGATTTAATATTCTAAACCTCCTCTTTCATGTTCTTTTTGAAATGCCATTCATTAATCTAGTCCATCCTACAATTTATCTGAAGGAATTTGTATTGAAATTATAATAAACCAACAAAGTAATTTTAAGATAATAGAAACCTTTACAAAATTATGTCTGACTAGAAAGTGATGTACCAACTTTTCATTTTACATATAAGATATGTAAAATATATATGTGTCTTATATAAAATTATGTTTGGTCTTCTTCATGTTAGTCAATACTCCCACACAATCTCTGGGAATTTTAATCATGTACTCCATAAAAATGGTATTTTTCATTATACTTTCAAGCTCATGCAGGAAAGCTATTGATTTTGCATCTAACTATCCTTGAAATTCAACGTTTTTTTCCCAATTATCTTTAAGTTTTAAAAAAACAATTATTTTCCAGTGTCCCCATTAGCAAACATTTTTAATTCTCCATGCTGGGGTAATCATAAGAACTCTTAATTTCTTTCTATAATGGCAAGAACTTTCAGAGCAATGCTAATTGGCAGAAGGTAAAATAGGTTTCCTTGTTTGGGACTTAATGGAAAACCATCTGATTCCATTTTACAGGAAGAACCATTGAACTTACCAAATCAATTTTAGAAAACACCCAGTGGCTCCTTTGACCACCAGTGATAACTATATTCTCACATCTCTTACTCCATCTGCACTGAGAATAAAATCCTTTGGACTGGACTTACATGCTGGCATTTGTCTTGGCTCTCTGCCTTTATATATTGCTCAGTACATCTGATTCGTACTATTTTCTACTTGCTTACTCTCTGCACTGAGTTTACCGGACAGCTTTATCACTATGTGGTGAACGGCTGCATGCCAAAGGAAAAAAATATTCATTCGTTTCTTTAAAGTATGAAAGAATTGCTCTGCGCAAGCTACAATAGTTGCTACAATCTTTTCCAGATAACCACCACTTTCAACCAGATTTTTAAGCACATTTTCTTTTCTTATGACCTATCTTTGTCCTTCTATTATTATGCTTGTGGAATTTTTTATTTTATTCATATTCCTAAAGAATGATTCTTTGTGGCAACTAAACTGACTTAAAACCAACTTTTTTCCCTCTGTGTAATAGTTCTGGCTGTCCTGAAACTTTGTAGACCTGGCTGGCCTCGAACTCACTGAGATCTGCTTGCCTCTGCCTCCCAAGTACTAGGATTAAAGGCTTGTGCCATCATCACCCAATCAAAAGCCAACTTATAATTGACTCATTTTTATTTTTATCTTTGTTTTCTCATGTCTTTCTTCTATTCATATTTTTTATTTCTTGACTTTAGTGAAAACTCCTTTTGTCTCATTTTTCCTTCTCTGTAACAGAAGATGGTAAAATTAAGGACTGGTCCTCGCTGCTGCTCTAGTTGTCTCTGATACATTGGATTACTTGTTATCACTAACCTCCTAGAAGCTTTAAGGCATCTTTCTTCTCTACAGGCTGGAAACAAAAATTTATCTTATTAGTTACGTACGTCTGTATCTTTCCTCTTTAGGTTTGTCCCTATCCACCCTGACTTGGTGAAGACATCCAAAAACATGTCCTTGACCTCAGAGCTCACACAACTACCACTGTCTAACTCCACTGTGCCGCTCAGTCTCCAGGCTCAGGTATATGTGATGCTGCTATGATAATACTCATGACTCACTTCTCCTGTTTACCTTTTAGAGGACTATTATTATTATTACATATTATTGATGTTAATATTAATCACTGACTTTCATGGTCCTTGCCCAAACACTGCAAACAATTTCTGATTTTCACAAGGTTTGACTGGTTTTTAATTGAGTAGAACTTTATAATTCTGACCAGTTCTCTGATTACCATGGCTTATTATACTCCTTCATCTTTTGAAAATATTATACCCGTATATTCCACGCTTTGACTTTCATAAATGAGGTACCTATTTCAGAAAGAATGTTTCTGTGTGGATTCTCATCTCTTTTGGTGCCAGTTTTAAAATAAACCTCATGTTACTTATTGTTCATTCAAACGGGACAGGTAGGTTTACATTCTATGATGACAGACGAGCACACTTGTCAGTGAACTGAAGACAGGTTGGATGTATCTGCCATTGCTGATAATTGGCATGGGATGTTATCATTTTCTTTTGGAGTAAAGACAATCATTCCATCTTAGGAAACAGAGGGGCAGTTCAGGACTTATTACTCCTGAGCACTTCATAAGGAAACCCCCAAGGAATGACTCTGAGCATTTTGACATAATCAGGAGCACGTGATGCACGTGCCAAGCATGTGCAAAGCTGGACTGGAAACCTCCCATGAGGAACAGCTGATGACCTAGGGAGATGCTATTACTCCTACCAACCAATGGAAACAGACTGCTCTGTTTGCTGCTGGGGATGGCAACATGCTCTAGCCTGGGGTCTTAGCTCAGTTGCATCAGTATTTTTACAGTTAGTCAATAGCTACCTACACAGACACAAACCTTCTCTGTCTTTCAGCCCAGCTGTGTTTACTCCACACTTTTTCCCATCTACCTATGTAAAAGTTGTTGACATTTGCAGAACTAGTATTGCAAGTACCTTTTCAAGAAGTCATAAATGGGAGCTGCCATCTCCACCACGAGTTGAAACTTCTCATCGTTCATACATTTGAGCATAACTTGTGTAAAGAATTCCAGGAATCTTGGTCTTTGCTTAAATTTCATGACTACAGAAACAAGAAGTTCCCTAGAGAGTTAGTGTCCTCTGGAAATGGGTACCAGAAGGATTGATTGCTAGCCATCTTTAGTCACAACAGGCACAATGATTAATCTGGGATTTTCCACATATTTATTTTATTTTTAATTAAAGTATTACACTATTCCTCCCCTCCCTCTCCAAATTCTCCCTTCCCCCCTCTATTCCCTATCAAAACAATGGCCTCCTTTTTAAAATTATTATTGTTCACAGACAGACAGACACATACATGTACACACACACATGCCAATAATTTTATATAAGTATGATATAATGAGTCTGTATGATTTTAGGACTGACTATTTGGTATTGAAAATCCAATTATACCCCCCAGATGAATGTAGCTCTCACCACTTATCAAAGAAGCCTCCTTTAGCAGCAGATGGAGAACATTATGAAAAGTCACAAGTGGTCAAAACGCAAAGAACAACTGACCATAGGGTATCCAACCCAACAGATACATCTACATCAAAACCCCTATGTCAAAGGCTCAGGGAACACTGTGGCACAGAGGGTAGAATCAGTGTAAGAGCCAGAGGATCAGGAAACCTGCTGGGAGATTGTGTCTTCCAGTATGACAGAGAAGCCACACCCATGAAATCTCAACATTATCAGTCTGAACAATGACAACACCAATCACATCCAAGAAGGATGAGGGAAACCTTATGGGACCCATCCCTAGATGAAGAACCACTGGCAGTCGATGACTGCTGAGAGGGGAGGATTTCTCTTCTCCAGGGATGAGCCCCTCATCGGCTAGATTCCTCACTTACAAATAGTAAAGGAGTGCATGTTGGATGAGCTACTGCTTTCTTTCAACGGTCGCTGGTATTTTACACTGAATATTTGGTTCGTTCTATAAAAACCTCAATATTAAGAACGATTTGACGGAAGCTGCTTGTGTCGTACAGCTATCAGGAGGAAGTGCTGGTCACATCTTACATGATTTGTACCACCTGTCACTCAGAGCCAAACAAAATGCCACATCTCCTCAGAGCTGAATTGTAAAATGATGACTGCACTTTCCAGTGTCCTTCTTTTTGTCAGCTTCATAATGACACAGTTCGCTTCAAGCCACTTGGGAAGGCTCTTCCTTCCCAGACTTCAAGTCCCCTGTTAGCAGTCAAGAGTGTGCATTGTTCCTGGTGGGTGAGGACACCGAGCATACAAAAGAAGCGACCTGCGACACCGCCATTTGCCACCACTCACCTTCCTTCATGGCACCTTTCACCGACCAGTTTAAAACCACCGGGTAGAGAAAGATCGGGTCCTCTGCTCCAGAGAGTTCAGTTAAGGTGACTAAGGAAGAAACATGAGTAAATTCTAATTTCTATTTGGATCTCAACAACCAAGACATAAATCTTTTGGAGAGAGTTTTTAAAAATAGGGGAGACACTCAACAAAATACTAAAGCATGAGCCTTAAAATATCAAATATATCATATTTTGGAGTGGAAGAACAAAGATTAAGTATTTACTTTCCTTTCCCTTAAAATTTAAGGGCCCCACCATCAGATCTAGCAGTCATATTAACCCCATCTGAAGGGACTTATATTGGCACAGAACACCCCAAGTCCAAGTCCTCAGCACAAAGTAGATTTATTTGCCCCGGAGGGAACAAGGGCAAGGATAAGGGACAATGACAGGGGACAGAAGACAAAGGGAAGGGAACAAGGGATATTTGTCCCAGAGGACAAAGGACTGCCTCTGGAGACAGAGGAGACAGATGCGGCCCATAGGGAAATGGCGGTTTACAGAGGTAAAATGGGAAGCCCTTTAGGGTGAAGTTTTTAATTTTAATTGGACATGTTAATTAGGGCAGCCAAAGGGGACTTAAAACTTTGATAGCTGGACCTTGGTAGTCAGTCTCAGGAAAGAGTCTGGCATAAGAAAAGTCTCCAAAGAATGGAATGGACCTCTGTGCTAGGTTTAGGAATGGAATCCAACCATTTTCAGGAAGGCAGCAAGAGTGGGGGAGAAGGGCACGGCCTGCAGAGCCATGTCTGCCCTGCTCTGGCCTCCTGGAGTCCCCTCACCATCCTCCAGGAAGTCACTCTAAGAACCACAACGTGCAACACAGCCACCAGAGCCAGACTGTCTGTGTCAGGTTCCATTTTCTTGGTGTCAAGACAAGGGCTCTTTGTGTTGCCCAGGATGGCCTGAAATCTGTGGTCCTCCTGCCTCAGCCTCCTGAGTGCTATGACTATAGGTGTGCACCACCCTGCCCAGCTCTGCTGTAAGTTCTAACCTTGACATGTTTGGACTGTGAAATTTGGTGGCGGGGAGAACTTAGAATCTCTGCCTCAGTTTTCTCCCCTTTAAAATGGAGATAAGAGCAATTTCCTTACATGGGTGTGTGTGTGTGTGTGTGTGTGTGTGTGTGTGTGTGTTTTAATATAATGTATTTAAAATAGTGTCTCACACATAGTAGACACTTCACAAAATCATTTTAATTGTTACTGAATTTACTGTGTAGCTAGTAATACATTTTATTTCTTAATAAAAATTTTGTTGATATGAGAAAAACAATTCATATTTCTAGACCACTTTAAATTTTAAGAAATTATACTTTATATGTGATGGGATAATTACAGTTTTTCCTAAACTAGGTTTACTAATTAAGAGAACAAAGTATCAGGCTCAGTTCAAAACTTCCACCTAAAACAGGCAAGAAATATGCTGAAAATGAGAGAAAGCCAACCGCATAGCCGAGGCACATTGTCAAGGGATGAGGCGGGACATAGCATTCTCCCAATCGGGTGCCAAAACCTCGGGGCTACCACTTGGGAGAACCATGGGTAGACTCTTTTTCTTCTGCAATCCTTATTTAGTGAGCTTTAAAAAAAACTCTAACAAATATCAAAAAAGCAAAGCAAATTCCCAGGTAGCTGTGCAAACTGCAAACTCCAAAATATTAAGCATTGCATTGACTTATCAGTCCATCACGGAGTTACTATAGGATGATGACCTAAAATTAAGCTTGTATCCCAAACTCCTCAGTACTCCTATAGGCCAAGGTTCAGATCACTTCCTCAGAGCCCCATCACACAATCCTGGGATTTCTCCCTTGCATCATTGCCTTTAGGGCAGCAACTCCCTATTTGAGGCCACCTACAACCCTCTCACACACGGCCACCAATATGTTTGCTTCCCAGTCAGTTGCCTCCATCTAATGGATCGTGTGTTCTGCTCCTGCGAGCAGTGCCCAGGGATGCTTTTCCGCATCCTTCAGTGCCTGGGACAGAGACACCCCTACTGTGCTGGATGCTCTCGTGTCAACTTGACACAAGCTAGTCTCATCTAGAAGAAGGGCCTCTCAGTTGAGAAAAATGCCTTCATAAGATCTAGCTGGAAGGCATTTCCTTAATCAGTGATTGATGGGGGAAGGTCTAGCCCAGTGTAGGTGGTGCCATCCCTGGGCTAGAGCTCCTAGGTTCTATAAGAAGACAGGTTAAGCCATTATATCACCTTTCCATGGCCTCTGCATCAGTTCCTGCCTCTGGGTTCCTGCCCTTTTTGAGTTCCTGTCCTGACTTCCTTTGATGATGAACGCCAATATGGAAGGGGAAACCAAATGAAGCCCCCTCCACAACTTGCTTTTGGGCCACAGTGTTTCATCACATTGATAATAACCCAAACCGAGACACCTAAAAGAATTATCTCAGCCAAAATAAGAATAGTGCCAAGGTTGTGAAAATCTGCTCTAAAGCTGGAAGCCCAAGCTAGCCATGAAAGCCTAAATAAATTCCTTATCATTATGAAGTACACCTGTAAAAGCAGTAAGCAATCTCTTGTTAACAAAGTGTTGTTAGGATTAATGGCATATGTAAACATTCTGTATAATCCTTAAAGGGTTTACCAAATACTAATCCCATCTTAATTCTTCCAGCAAAATAGTTTCTCATTTTAAGAAACAATGCTAAACAGACGCAAGAGGGAAAAAATTACATTGCTTTGTCAATTTGAGTAGATGTGACTCCAACAAGGCCAGCTGTTCGTTTATCTTCTCAGGGAGCAGCACCTGCTGTGGCTTCTTAGTTCTTGAAGTTTTCTTAGAACAAGTACCCTAGAAACATTGGAAAATGTCAAAATGTATTGTAACATGTTAGGGAAATTGTCATTTTTGGAAAACACGCATTATGTTCTTCTCCTCTCTTTCCTATTTAGTAGGTAAAACTAAGATCTGCAGTTAGCCAAGAATAATTAGAGATTTGTAGTAACTGATACTGCCAGAACATGTATTCTTCTTTTATTAGTGGTGGTGGCAGCAGCTGTGTGCGTGTGTGTGTGTGTGTGTGTGTGTGTGTGTGTGTATGAGACAGAGAGTGTGTGTGTGTGAGAGAGAGAGAGAGAGAGAGAGAGAGAGAGAGCCTTCCTACCACAGTAGGCAATGTGTCAGTCTCATAACCTGCAAAGGCGTCTTCTGTAACCCAGGCTGACCTCCAACCACTAAGTAGCCAAGGATGACTTTGAACTCCTACTCTTCCTCCACCTCTCCAGTGCTGGGATTATGTGCATGCTCCCCCACAGCCAGTTTGTCACATGCTAGGGATCAAACTCAGGACTTCCAGCATGCCAGGCCAGCACTCTGCCTATGGTGCTATACCTCCAGGCCCGAATGCTTCCTAGCATAGAGTCATTTCCAAGAATCCTCAAAAGAAAGTTCCCAGCCAGCCCCCAGGCAGGGGATCCTTTTATTCCTTTATGTTCTTATTTCCCCAGGAGGTCCTTCACAAACCAGCTAACTGCTTCTACCACTCTGCCTTTCACTAGAACCTAACAGGATCAGTAAGTAGCAGATTAAGGACTGGCCTGTGTGTGCCCAGGCTCCCACCATGTTTTCTCTGTCTGAGACTGAGAACTGACCTGCACTGTCTCCTTTTATCATAACTAAAACCTTCTAAGTCCCTTTATTCTTAAATGAGGTCTCTAGTGGCTCCAGTGACTTCTGTCTCTAACAAATTAGCAGATCCTACAACCTTAGTCAGTGGGAAGTGTAACAACCCCTGCTGGACCAGAGGCTCCAAGGAGAGAGGTGTGAGACCCACCTGCAACACTGTGAGGGCACAGAGCCTTGAGTCAAGGCCTGGATGACACAAGGGGCTAGTGTTTGAAAACAACAAATTTAGATCACCTCCAGTATAATCCAAAAGTCCTCTAGGCAAAGCAAGCCCCACATGCTACCCTCCCCACCCCATCCCCCCCCAAAATGTTACAGCTTAAAAATCCTTTAGCCAGGATGATTTGGAAACCTTACCAGCCAACAAATTGTCTTGCTTTCTATCTCAGAAAAGACAAATAGCCAATCTAACCCAATCCCAATGTGAGTGGTAAGGGGCCAAAGGTCCTTCCTTCCTGGCATGCCTCAGAAACCCAGTAAGTCAAGAAACATCTCAGAACCTGACCTACAAACACATTTAGCCCACATCATTTCAACAAAAAAAAAGCATGAAAGCCTAAGTCCCTCTAAGACCCCTGCTTATGAAGCACATATTGAAGATTAGTCTCAAAATTAGCAGCCTCATACAGATGGGAGTCTAGGTATCACCGATGTTGAGAAATCAACTATGAACATGAGATTAGAAAGCTCAACTATGTATTCAATACCTTCAGTGATGCACTCAGAACTGTTAGACACCAAGTTAACATGTAAACCCCACCTGCCCAAGGACTAGGTTACATCCTAGGACTCTGGGAAGTGTAGTTCCTAGAAAATAATAACCAAGCCTCATGGGAAAGTACAGTGGCCTATGGGTTTTGTCCTCATAAGCCCCTGTCAACACGTGTCTGGGGCCATTCAGCTGGGAAAGTTTCCAAGTGGAGGTCATGACCAAATTGCATCTCAGTCAGTATTTAACATTTTAATGAAAGTTTGCTTTAATTTGGCCAAAATGGTAGAACTGGTTTTTCTGGTGAACTTAAGGACTAACAAGAACAAAGTATCTACTGAATGTAGACAGGTCTATCCTTGCAGTCAGAACCAAAAATGTGGACTATTAAATGTGCTAGTTCTTGGCTATATCTTAAAAATATTTTTTTAAATTAAAGTTCTTAATGAAATTACTTTCCATAATGTAAAGATGACAAATTGATCAATCTCTAATGTGTTTGATGACACTATGAAACAGCTAAGTGAATAAAGGGAAGAAAGGAACAAAACAATAAAACGAATTACCTCCTCTCCAGTGTCATCTTGGTCATTACCAAATAGAGATTTGCATGCTGATGTGATGTCCAACGTCTTTTTCCCATAATTTATGATAGTTATTGCCAGGTCATATTCCTTCCAGGAACGTAGAATCTAATTAAAAGTAAGTATTAATTATCTCTGTTGGATGCCTCTCTGTTTCCAAAAGCAATGCATAATCTTTCATAAATTCAAATTCCCCTAAGTCTCGTGGGTCTAACACCACCTCACAATTGTTGAGGAAACTAGAAACTAACCTCTGGATCATATTTCTCTAGAATTAAAGTTATATGACTCTACTATTCTTTAAATAGGGGACTAATAAGAGCTTCTTATCAATAATGCATTTCCTATTCCTCTGGATCGTATAGCTTTCTGCTTTGTGATACAGTACTCTACTATTAAGAAACTACTTCTACTTTTAAAATTCATATTAGAACAATTGTTCCTTAAGGTCATATACATAGCACCTTTTATTTTGTTGCTTGTTTGTGTTTTGTTTTGCTTTGCTTGCTTGGATTTTGAGACAGGGTCTCATCTAGTGGGGGCTGGCATCAAACTCACTATGTATCTAAGGATGGTCTAGAACCACAAAATGCTGGGATTATAGATTACCATATGGCATCTACTACCATGTCCACCTTATTTCAGGTTGCTTTCTATGGAAAATGGCACAATTCCTGGCCACATGGTCTTGAGTGTGGAGGGGAGCACTTAGTGATTCTCAAGACATTGTAGAGGGTTGGGCAGATTCTCAGAAAACCTGAGAAGCAGCATACACTGACTCAAAGTGAAAGGCAATCCTGTCCTCCTCCTTCCCCCTGCCCAGTGCCAGCGGTGACTCCGCCCTTTCCAGTTGGCCCTTGTCCAGTTTTCAAGAGTGATCTCCCACCGTCACGTCTTTGTCAAGCCAGTCATAATCTGGATACCCAATGGTTCAGAACTGGAACCTCATGTCTCTCCATGGCTAAGGAGGTTTCTAATGTGCCTGCCATCCCTTACTTGTACAGCTCTGTCCACTCATCATTAAAATCCTGGTTCTAGCATCGCCTTCCCTGGCCAGTTATCTGATTTGCATATTTCCCACAGCAGTGACTTAAGTGAAGGGAACACATTCATGGTTAGCCCCAGGGGGATAACTAAAAATATAAATACATTTGTGTGAATGTGCTATATGTAGACACATTCTGTTAACATGTTTTTTTTTCAGACATGTAATCACTGCCACTTCATATGTGGGAAAGGGCTAAAAGGAAGGGACTTAGAAACAGTGAATGGTTATCTAGAACTACTAGGAGAAACCCATTTCAAGGAATAGAAAGGTTTCTGTGGAGCCAGGACAGTATATTCCAAAAAAATAATGCATTGTGAGGAGCATAATGTAGAAAAAAAAATGGTGACAGGGTGAGGCTCTGCAGGGTGTTGAGTGTGTGACGTAGCAGTCCACTCTCATGACAAAATGTTTATGAGAGCCTTGGTCACAAGCCACCTTTACTGGATAAGTGTAGCTGGACACAGTGCAAAGATCAACAGATTGTGAGGAATCCGACCCCCATGGAAACATCTATGCCATGGCTCCTACGTCTACGGCTCAGGGAACATCGAGGATGAGGAGGCAGAAAGAGTATAAGAGCCAGAACGCTAGGAAGTCTGCTGTGAAACGGTCTCTCCTAGAAACGGCTGAATAAACAAGGACGGAACAATGGTTATCTCGATAGACACGCTAACATGGAAGGGCATCTCACAGGCTCCCACCCCTAGACAAAGAACTACAGACAACCAATGAATGATCGCTGAGGGAGAGCTAGCCTCGCCTGGGGGTGAGCCCCTTCTTGGTTGTCCAATACAAAGTGGTCAGCCCTGAAACCATATACACACAAACAACAAAAACCAGCTCAGCAGGTTGCATTTATGCACATATATACACATATGTATAACAATGATATTTAAAGAAAAAGAGGCGTCAACTTGAGAGTTGGAAGGACATGGAAGGAGCTGGAAGGAGGGGGCCTGGGAGGGGCTGGAGAGGGAAAGGGGGGAAGACAGAGACTAAGGCAGTTGTGTTTTATTTAGAATGTATAAACACGTGTGTGAGTGGGGCACACGCTGCCATCTGAAAGCAGACGAGGGCTCTGCGCTCTACTCTGGTTGCTTGCCAGTGTGCATTCACTTGGCTTAGATGGAGCCGTGCAACCTTCTCCCTCTTGTCTAAATATATTATGAGAAAACAATAAATGAAGAGAATTGATTTTTCTAATAAAGAGAAAAACAAAGGGCTGGTTCTATTCAACACACCAAATAATGGGCAGAGATGAAGAGTATGACAAATGTGTAGCATTGACAACTGTAACACAATGGAAAAAATAGCAAATTATATGAAATGACAAATCCCCGAACTGCAGTGACTTGGAGGGGGGGAAATACTGTAGCTTAAATAAAAAGATGAGCTCTCTGAAGGGATTTCTTTTCAGAAATAAAAACGCTTGCTTGATTGAGTTCCACATGTTCTAGAGAAAATCTAGAACAGTTTGTATCAAATGAATACCTGACACCTGGGAATCAGAGACAGCCCGTGATTCAGGAACTACAGATTGAGCTAAAAGAAACTTCTAGAATGGCAATGCCCACCATTCCAGCTGTGGAAAAACCCAGTTCAGGTATCAGTTCTTTTTCCTGGTCAGAATACATTCAAGGACACTTCTGCTGTGGCAGAGCTTAGTCCCGATTCCTCAAGTGAGGGAACCAGGGTGGGGACATGACTGGCAAGCCAGGAAGTACTCGGAGCAAACCCAGGGCCACTGTGTACCAAGGGCTGGGGTGACAGCATGGGGATTCAAGGACATCAGCCTCCACTGGTTCTGACTACCTGGAACCAGTGTTCTTCCATAGCTGCTGTCTCTGGAACTCACTGGTATTTCTACTCATTGCCAGCAGGGTACCTGCAGGGGTCTTGCGCCCCCACCCCACCCCGTCTACATCTTCATCCTCGCCCCTGCCAACTCCTCCTACCTTGAATCTCAATGTTTTGGCTACACAGAGAAGCAGGATTTACTGTGCCTGTTCTCAACAGAAAAGCTTGCTATTGGGAAGTCATCAAGATAGCTTGGAATATAGTGTCTTTGTTGGGGTGGAACCATCATTTAAACAGGGTGCTTGGCTGAGTTCAGTGCTCTGAATTAGAGTGCAAGCTGCCCCTCCTCTGATCTGGAAAGGACACACCTCCCCAGAAATAGCCTTCTTCCATGGATGCAGAGGAACAGTCTCTAAAGAAACTGTTCAATGGTGGAAAGCACTTCTTCCACAGGTCTGGGTTCAGTTCCCATCACCCAAATGGTGGCTGACAGCCATCTGTAACTCCAGCTCTAGGGAATTCAACACCCTCTTCTGATTTCCAAGGGCACCAGGTACACACATTGTGTATATACATGCAGGCAAAGCACCCAGACACATAAAATAGAATTTAAAAATAAAAAGTAGTAAAATAATAGTTAGTAATAATAATAAAAGAAAGGCAGCAAGGGCACTCTAGGCCCAGCATAGCACTAATGAGTTTGGCAGCGCAAGAAAAGAGCAGGTGTTGCCAGGAGTTACAGCAAGTGACTGCATCAGGACCAATACTGCAGAAATGACAGGCAGGTGGTTTCATCAGACTTCCCCTCCCCCAACTAGAGTTCAGAAGCAGGGGCTGCTCCCTGGATTAAGTGCACCTTTGGGACTCTCCTGCACCTTCGGGGGCTCTGCTGCACCTTTGGGGCTCTGCTGCACCTTTGGGGCTCTCCAGTAACTCCTTTCCCATCTCTCTCAGCAGCCTGTCTTCACCACTGTAGTTACACGTAATTCTCCTCCCCTGAACCCGTGGTCTACAGGACGGTTTGAGGGCCGCGTCTTTGGATATTCTGCAAACTCAGAATTGAATCTTCCCAAAACACATCATTTTCTCCTTCACTACACGAAAATACCCCTCCTCTGGGGTCAATTAAAATTATTGCACTTGTCCAGATGTCCAGAAAACACAGCTAGATATTGACACAGGCCCTGCCTTTGTGTCCTTTATCCCTCACTCATGATGGATTGCCAGCTTCTCAATTTAGCTCAGAAATAATTCTTGAGCCTGTCTATCCCCCCACCTCTCACTTTCTCCACTTCTGTAGTTATCACGCACTTCCTGCCTCCTAACTCAACCCTCTGCCACAGGTCTTACCTCCTTCAAATCACTAACCGTCATGCAACCGGAATCATTTCCTTCTCTGAGACACAGACCCCTTTTGTGTTTCCCTGGGTTTGAAACCCCTGAAAGTCTCCCATTGGATCTCAGAAGAAGACCTTTCAACTACTACCTGCTCAATGTTCCACCTTTAAAGTAACTATGTATTTTCTCATTGACTCTTCTCTGGGGTGATCAATGGTAACAGTCCTGTGCCTGCCGGGCATTTTCTCATCCTGATACTGGCCTTTAAATTTGCTTATAATTTGTCAGAGAAATATTCCAACTGCAACTAGCTATATTTTCTAGTATGTGTCCCTCAGTTGCTGAGAAAGGTGACCCTGACAGACGTCATTGGATCCAGCTGGACATTATTATGGTGTGAGGTAGGGCTCTGGCTTTACTTCAGATTCACAGTCACTTATACCTGAGACCCCACACTGAAAACTATAATGACAGATCAAAGTCTCCGTGGTCAATCAAATTGCTATCTTTATAACACTCATTTCTTCCAGAAACATGGGCTGAACCTCTAATCTATTCCACTGATCGACTAGCCAACAATGTGTTAACACCATTTTTACTACAGCAGCTTTGTAGTGAGTTTTAATTCCTATTGGGAACCTTGAAATGATTCTAGAGAAACCCCATGGGAATTGTGATTAAAACTGCATTAAATTTAAGTGTCATTTTTAGGAAGGATTTCTATTTCTGCTACAGTATATCTCGGTGTATTGGAACTTGTATGTGGACTGCCATATGTTCCGATTTTAATGTGTATCCTTGGCAAGATTCCAGTTTCTTTATGCAGGTTCTCTGACACTTTGCTGAGTTTTAAATAGTACAGTCTTCCCTCTCCATTTCTATTGATTTCTGACATAAAATAAAACTAGCATCCATATCTGCTTAATATACACCCACTTTATATTATCGTCCTATAATTCTAATTATTCCTTACAAGATGTTTGAGACCCCTACAATTACAAATCAGCTGCAATTTCCCTTTCTACTATTATGGAAATATTTCAAGCCCATGTCTATAGCACAAGAGGGAACCTCTGGAAATATGACTGGTAAAAGTCAGCACCTCCTTCCTGGGCCTGCTTTTTAAAGAAATGGCTTCCGAAATTTGCCATTTAGTATGATATTTGCTTTACAATTTGGGTAAATGTCCTTATCGTTATGCAGCAGCTCCCTTTCATTCCAAACTCACTAGCAATTTTATTAGGAAAGGTTGCTAAGTGTTATCAAATGTCTTTGTGGCATTTTTCACGTGATCTTTTTTCTTCAATTTGCTGTTCTATATAAAAAATTCAAGATTTATATTAAGTAGAGGAAGACGTGGGCTTTCATGCTTGACAGTGAGCCTGGCCTAAGACTGGTGTGTAACAGATCTGGAGTCTTCCAACAGCAGAGAAGGTCAACCCAAAAGAGCCAAAGGACAGTGCATAAGGCCTCTCCTATTTCCAGTTAATGTTTGTGCTTTTGAACTCTGCTTCTTCTGCTGTGGAAATCATTAGCTTCCTCCTTTATTTTTGCTGGTATTTGCCCATTACCATTGTCTGCTTCATTTTAGATGTCTTTCTTGAAATAATACCTGTATTAGTACCTGCATTTCTAGCCCTCCTGGGAGCCTGCCTTCCACGATCATCCACACTTTGTAAAGTGGCTAACACTTACTTTATTACTCCCATCTTTATAACGAACACTCTTCCTTGCCTCTTACCACTTCCTGCCCTTTCCCTCGCTGCCCATGTTTCCTGTTCTTGCCCCCCCACTCTGATCCCACCCATTCTTTTCCCTCCTCTACTCAGATGTCCCACTGGACTATAAAGTTCTGCTCAGAGTAGCACATTCCCAAGTCATCTTTAAGTATGTGTGTCCTGTCAGAGAAAACAGTAGCCTTGAGCTACACACACTTTGTGTAACAATAGCAATTTTTCACAAACATAGTCCGAGAACCTACCTGTTAACGTTCTCACCCCCTCCTCGGATACAATGGAAGTTTTAGTTGTAAATTTCTAATAAGTTTCTCTTTCAAGGACGTCCCTTGTCTTTAAAGAACTCCTACTATTTACAAAGTCTAATCACACCCTTATCATCTATTTACTTTTAATGATACATATATTGAGAGATTCATTGTTCCTATTATTCCTCTCTTTCTGTCTCCCCCTATCTTGGGAATTCTGCTTGGAATCAATTGTCATTTTATGAAATGGTTCCTCAAGTGTTTCTCTCAGATAAGGGCATGGGCACAATGCTCTGCGAACACTCGTACTTTGAAAGTGTTTATTTTTGCCTGAATAAATGACTGGTATCTTTATTGGTTATTAGTTCTGTGACCTCAAGCCTTATCCTTCAAACAACATTTCAGTGTTTTAACTTCCATTGTGGCTAAGTTGGGAGTCCTTAGCCATTGACTTCAAACATGTCACCAGCATCTTTGGACATGAATGTTCCTACCTTAATCCTACTTGGGACTCAGGAAGCCTATTACCACTCCCACTCCATCTATCTCTTTCTCAAACCCAGACTCCTGGTCTTTTCATGTTATGGCTTCTGGATTCACCTTCTGACTGAGCTCGCCACCTCTGAGCACTTCTACATTAGAGTATTTTCAGATTTAACTCACAGTCTACTGTTCCCGGGATCTTTATCAAATCTGTTTGTCACAGAAGCTTGGTGTCTTGCAGCTTTTATTTAGTTGGTTGGTTGCCTTTGTATCATCTGATTGCTCCCTTTAAAGTTTTATTTGCCTCCTTGGTCCCAACTCATATCTGGTCTTTTCCAACATAGTGAAGGGTGAACTACACAAATATTTACGTATTCAGCTTAATCAAACTCCCTTTCTACTTTCCACTTTTAAAAAATGAATCTAATTTCTACTTTTCCTTCATGCCTATTCGGATGTACAATGAAACTGGCCATGGTCCTCTAAGTACATTTGTTCACGTGTTCTGCCTGCTGTCCAGGGCCTGCTCTGTCTTCCCCCACTAAAGATAAGCTCATGAGACAGAACCGGGCTGTTATCTTAGTTACTTAACTCTTTAATGAATGTCTCAGGACCCAACAACCTGGCCTCAGATCCAACCAAGTCACACATTATGTCCCTGTGAGGTCTCAGTGGTCACTTGGATTTGCACCTCTTGCTTAAAGAATATCCAAATCTCAAATAAAGCCTTCCCAGTCTTCCACATCCGTGTGTTCGTTCATTACCCAAGCTGAGAGCTGGTATTAGCCATGAAGTTCTATTTCTTCGGGCATATGCCAAATTCCAAAAACAGAACCTGACAGATGAGCAATCAGTGAGCAGCTGTTGAATGAAGGAGCAGACTAAAACCTGAGAAGGTAGTGTGTCTTCCCCTACATTTTGCCCGTGTCCATCCTCAGCTCCTATCTCCAGACTCACCACTCACAACCCACAGTCCAGATTTGCATGTACACTGGCTTCAGATGCTGTCACACCTATCTCATACCCCAAGAGTATACCTAGCCTGTCCTTTCCTTCGTGGCTGCCTTCCCTCTTTTACATTCTAATTTCATGAAAGTATCATATCCCTCATTCACTGATTAACCCTTTAATTGTGATATTGCTGCTTGACTCTGAGTTTTGGTTTTGGTTTTGGGGTGGGGGGTTGGGTTTTGGTTTTCTTGAGACAAGATCTCACTATATATCACTGGTTGCCTTGGAACTTACTGTGTAAAACTCACAGAGATCCACCCAAGTGTGGCTTCCAAGTGCTGGGATTAAAGGTATGGTCACCACCCCCAGCTATTGTAGTGTTTGTCTCTATAGAGCTAAACTCCACTATCCTAGTCCAAAGCCTGGCCTGCCTCCTGTGGGCTCTGTCCATCTTGACCACAGCCTGACAGTCTGCGCACAGCATATTAAAAGTATGTAGTCTGCTCAGAGTTTGGAACATGTGTTCTGTGTGACTGTAATAATGCCACATGATATCCAAATGCTATTTCAGCAGCAACAAGGTTGAGTTTGAAGGGCATCATAATTTTGTCAAAAAACTCAACAATAGTTATCATTCTACAATGTGCAGGATTTGTTTGCTATTTATCTAAGAAAAATGGCTTTGGGGTGCTAATTTTTTAAAAGATTATTTTAAATTACAAGTTAGTGCAGGTGCAGAGGGTATTGGATCTTGGGAAGCAGAAATTAGGGACAATAGTGAGCTGCCTGGCAAGGGTGCTAGGAAACAAACTCTGGTCCTCTACAAGAACAGCATGAACTCATCATTTCAGAGCCCTGTCTCTGGCCCTGAGAGTGCTAGTCTTATGCACTCCAATTACCATGATTAAATGAAGTTTGACTTTCTTGTTCGGGATCAATCCTAAGTTTTATGACACTGGAAAGCAATGAGATAAATACCTTTGTTATGTAGAAGATACAGCAAGCTATCATGTGCTGTACACTTTCAAAGCTTGCAACTTGTTTCTTTGAGTGAACAATACTTGGCACTGCTTGCAAAACCACAACACATTTTATCAAAATCTAAAAGGAAAAGAAGCACAATGATTGTTGTGTCAAAATACCATTTGTTTAGTATAAGATGTAGTACGTAAATCATGTCAGGCTCAGGCTATCAAGTGCCACTGTAACCAATCGTTACTGATAACATATTCACCAGATGTAAAAGAATATACATAAAGTGGACATATTCCATTTTCAGATGAGTCACCTATTTACATATACTTGAAAATGAGTAAAGAGTACAAAATAAATATACAAATAACTATAACACAATGCTTATTTTCACAAGCACCAGAAAAGAGGCCAAATGCTGTATGGATCCAAAACACCAAAGGTCACTTCTGTGCTTAAGGAACCTTGGCAAAGTATAGAGAGGATCAGGCTGCTGTAACTCAGTATACAGTAGGAAGGGTAGAAACACTTGAAACTATAGAGTCCCTTTCAGATTAAAACTGAGGGTTCGCACCAATGAAAATCAGTTAATACTGGCATTTACTTCCCTTCCTGGCCTCACATTGTGAGTTCCTGAACTTGATCAAGAACCAGACTATGAGATGGGGCTCTTGGTCCTGCTGCACAGGCCGGAGCCATACTGTCATCAGAGAAGCAGATCTGAGACTGTAGCAAAGCGTTCACGCCGATGATCCCAAAGAACAAACTAAGATATGTATACTTGCTCTCCTGTGTTGCTCCAAGCCACATTCTAACAATGTTTTATTATGCTGATACACTGGCGAGTATGTTTAATGTTAATTCTTCCCTTTTGTGTTAATTTACCCTCTGTCCCCATTGCACACCACAGCCCCAAATCAAGCTTAACCCTGGCCATTTCTCAAAGCTTAAACATGGGTGTGAACATGTGTGTGCAAAAAAATGTACCCAGAAAAAAATGTACCCAGAAAAAAATGTACCCAGAAAAAAAATGTACCCAGAAAAAAATGTACCCAGAGAGAATTTTGTTGTTATCTCACAAAATGGCACTTACATATATTTGAACTTTTCTCTTTTTCCTTCAACTATGCCTCCCAAACAGTGCTTCCAAATCCACAGGGACAGTCCTAGTTTATGTTGCTAATGGCTACCTATTGTCATCTGGCATGGACCAATGATAACTTATTGCTGTCACGTGGAACAGTTCATGGCTAATGTTTCAGTTCTGGCACCATGGCTGTTTCCTTCATTCATCTTGTCTCCTCCAAACACTGCAGTCAACACCCTTCTACTTGCTAAGTGCCCACAGAACAGCAGCTTTGTGGGCTCTGAGGAGGATGAGGCACCAACCTCGGGGCCACAGTACATACTCTAAGTCAATGACCATTATGTGATACCCAAGAGGGAAAACACATGGACCTGGGCCTCAAGGGGTAGTGGGAACCCTAGCACTTGGCCAAGTAATGATTTTATTCTCTGTGACACTTACAAGGGTGGTTGCTCTGTCAGATAAATGTATTTCCAATTTTATTAAGTTTTTGTTCTATGAAATAAATTACCAGTGGAAGAATTATTATGTCAGATATATTTAGTTTTGATTTTGCTTTAAGTTAGATTTAATTTAATTAAGTTGCTTTTTAAAAACCTAAAAGTTTAAAACAATTCACATTACCCTGTTGGTGACTCAGAATGCCATTGCTATCACATGCTCCCACCAGCAATAGGAGCTACGGATTCTACATTGTCAGTCCAATGTGTGTTTCCAGACATCCTTGGCACCCAAGCATCTTAGCATGCAGTGGGCTTGGTTTCCTATGAACTAACTATTCAGACCCTGTGTCCATCTGCCTATTATGTGATAGCCAACTGGCAAGGCTTCCTGATACATCTAATTTATTCCTCATTAACTTTGAGTTTATTTTTTTTCCAATTGAACAAGTTTCTTGTGATCTTTGTCATGGTTCTTTTATCTCTTGTAGTTTGTCATTTCTAGATGTTCTTTTTTCTCTCTCTGAGACAGGGTTTCTCTGTGTAGCCCTGGCTGTCCTAGACCTCTCTCTGTAGACTGGGTTGGCCACAAACTCACAGATCCACCTGCCTCTGCCTCCTGAAAGATGGGATTAAGGTTGTGTGCCACCACTGTTGGGTTTTAGAAGTCCTCTTAATGGGGAGATTTTCCCCAAAACTCCGGACTACAAAATGGTTGTTTTTCATTCTTGCCGCTAAAGTTTTGCTCTATTTTATCTGTAATTCTTTAACAGGTGTGGATAGTTTTACCTAGAGAGGTCAGAGTTTATTTTTCTTTCAGATGAATAACTAGGTATTTTACCATCATTTATCCTAAATGTCTATTCTACTCCCTTAGGATGAGAATATCAGCTCTGCCACGGAGCAGGCTTTCTCAGATGACTCACTATGCGCATCCTTGGGATGACTTAGGGATATGTGATGAAAATATGCTGCTGTATCTACAATGACAAGACCATGAAAACTGAAAAACTCTTAAAACTGAAACATGACCGTTGCCAGTATTTGACTAAAGTCATTAATGGGACTTTGTGCTTTCAAAGGAACACATTGGGTTTCTTTCCGACTTATAAGTCATTGGGACATTTTCACCATCCTTCTTCTTGACCCATTTGTACTTTGTGGAGGATATACTGCTCTTCTTTCCCATAATAATCGCTGGACTGTCATTCCACACATAGCTTCTGTGGAGGCTGGGGGACACCCTTACCTGTATGACAGGTACCAAGACGATATTGTGATAGATGATGGGAGCGAGGAGCCCGTAGCACTGGGTCACTGCTTGAAGGGCGTAATTGGAATCGTTGAGGAAGTTGCTGAGCTCCAGGGCCACCAGCACATTCTCACATTCCATCAGTCTAGCGATCTGTACAGACACAAGAAGCGGCGTTACCCAGGCTGAATTAGCAGGTGCACACCTCCCCCCCCCCCACGTCTTTAAGACGCAGAGAGGGCAAGGAATGTGGTCCTTCTGTCTCAACAGCATGAATGATAACATGAAGAAAATCTAAACTTGGAAAGGACCCTGCCTCTCCCTTCATGCTACATATGCACATAATCCTGAAATTAAACTTCACAGTGTTTTTTAAGACAATGCAAGAGCCACTAATGACAGAAATTGTGTCCATTTATTTTATTAGTGAGACAAAAAACCCTTAGCTATATTTTAATTTCAGAAAAAAACCTAGTTTTTAAAACCACAAATTGTGATGAATAATAATTAACATGTAATATACCAATAATACTGTACTCACTTGATAAACAGATTCTAATTTCACTCCTTATTCTGTGAGAAAATGGAACATTTTCAGCAAGCCAGACTAATACTCCTATTTATATTTTCACTAACAAAACAGAAATGATGAAGAAGGCACATTTAGGAGGTGTGATATTAGATGTGCCTTGTGAAAGGGTACAAGCCCTTCTCCTCTCTCTTTCTGTCTGGGGAAAAGATGGGTTTTTACATCCACATTATTTAAATTTATATTCACATTATTCACAATGGAAAGTGTATGAAGACCAACCAGAAACTTCTACACAAGCAGCTTAGAGTGAAGAGGTGGTTTTGGGTGCTGACATTCACAGCGGCCCTCCTTACACGAGTTCTTTTTCAGACGCGGTGTGGTAAGAGAGGAAGGGGGATGCTATGCAGTGCAGGCTTTGAGAGCCTGAGCTCCACGGACAGTGAACTGGCCTGGAGCAAAGGCTCCTGCTCCTGGCGTGGGCCTCGTGTAAGGAGCTGCCAGGCAATCCATCACTGAGCAAATCAAAAAATCATAACAAGGAACGGAAGCTGATGTCTGGCGCTTCCTTGTCTAGCAAGGAAGGTCAGAACAAAGAGAGATGCACAAGCTGGGTTGAGGGACTAATATAAGATCACTATCAAAGTCACGGAACTAGGGAGCTGCAGACTACACAGAGCCTGGTGTGAATGCCCCGAGAGTCCATCACTAGGAGGGCCATTAAACCCTGCCTCTGTGTAAGCATGCAATTTTATAGTTCAAAAGAACACAGCAAGTTAACATACACCAGCATAAAAGCATCTCTAAGAAAAGAAGGCATTTTTAAGAAGGCAGGTGGCTGAATGGTAGATTGATTGAGATCCCATTTTGTAAATAATAATATGCTAATCCCCGTGCCTTTTTCAAAAGCAGAGAAACCATATAAAAATGAAGCCATTGTGTTCTTGGAGGTGGTGGGAGGGACTAGGAGTGTTTCACTGTCCACTTGGCACAGATTTGAATTTCTGAAATATATCTTGGCCTTGTACACAGAGGAGAGAGGACAAATTGAGAAGAAAGAAACATGAAGTGGCAGCTTTGAGACCTGCATGGAATATAAAATAATACAACATATTCAGGCTACCTTCTCTTGGACCACCCACTAGCAGAACACAAGATCCCAAAGGACTCTGTCCTTGGAAGCACAGAGAAGCAAAAACAGTGGAACCTTCATGGTTTCATTTCCTGGAGTGTACTCACTTGCTGGGCAGGAAAATTTTCATTGCCTTTAATATTATCACAGAAGAGATTTTCTTCTTTAATTTTAATGTCGCTCATCACAAAGATATTTCTGAGGAAAAGGTATAAGAGGATCGACGACGTATCTGCCAAAATACTGGGCTGCAACCTGCAGAAGAAGGAAATGGTGTTAACTGTACAATGACTGACCTCGTGTATCTATTCAGCCTTTTTGGGCTTTCTGACTCTCAGCGTCTACGCAGTGACCCTGAGAGCAAGAGCAGCACACTGAGCAGCTGTTCTTAGGTGTCTGCTTAAATGAAAACCAAAAGCAAGTTCACGACTCAGAAAGTGAAGCAGCTGAAGTCTTAGGTCACCAGTCTGTAAAAATAATCAGCGGCAAATTTTCCTAATTCTTACAAATATAAAGTTCTACCATGATGATGGAATTACAGTAAGCCAGGTTGAGGAACAGGCTCAGTGTCCGGGTGATGAACTCTGTGACGGCAGGAGCATTCAAAGCAAATTCAGCTACAGAGAGTGTGTCTTAATGGCTCCAGTTGTCTTTTGATTGCCTTCTCTAAATTGCAGCCCACTGTGCCAAAGATCAGCTGAACTTGACATCTGTTGGCCAGCTTTTGCTTCCATACCCATACTCTAGGGCTTAGCTGGTGACAAACCCTCAGACTCAAGCTTCAGGTCCATCTGCTCTGAATCTCCTGACCCTACAGAGCAGGAAAGAGCCCGACATCATTAATTCACACCTGAGATGATTCCCACCACATTGAGCTCTGGACTCCCTTACCAGGAGGGCTTTAGTTCTCCTGCCCCACCCTGCAATACACACTGAGGTTTTTTGTTGTCGTTGTTGTTGTTTTTGGTTTTGGTTTGGTTTGTTTGGTTTTTTTTTTGTTGTTGTTTTTTTTTTGGTTTTTTTTTTTTTTTTGGCCTCACAATGAGCCTCGATACCATGATACATGCCTTTGTCCCGTCTATCAATTTCTGGTTCCATTACAATCCCTACTCACCTCAGAATCCAGTAAGTCTCTTCAATATTTAGGTTCTTAGAACCTTAGTCTCTGCCACAACCAATAGGGACATCACAGTCCAATATTTCCATGTTGTCACAACACCGATTTACTTATTCACTTCTTTCTTTTTTCATTCACCTTTTCAAAATAGCATTTGCTTAAAGCCTGCCATATGACACTCTCCAAGGCCCTGGGATACAAGCATGGCTCAAGCAGCCTCTTAGCCATCAGGATTGGGCTTCAACGTGGTTGGGCATCAGCTATGACATCACCTCAGCTCTTCCTGGGAGCCCCTCTGAGCTCATGTCCCCAGGGAGCATTCTACCGGCTCTGTGCTCCAAATCCCCTTGACTCTACCAGGACAGTGTCACTGTCACCTGCATCTTCAATCTCTCTCTCTCTTTGTCGCTCTCCTCTGTCCCTCTCTCTGTTTCTCTGTCTCTCTGTCTCTGCCCTCCCCCCACTGGCTCCCATCCCTCTCAACTTCACAATCCTTCCTGGAACCCTGACCTTCCTCTCAAGCCTCTGCCCATCAGTGGCCCTCACTTGCTTGGAGTCTCCATTTTCATTATTTCTTAGCCTGTCACAAAATCATTTCTGGTTTATGATGTCATCTACGTTGCTCTCTTAAATTCACTGGTGGCCTCCAAATTGCCAATTCTCCGTGTCTCCTGATTTCTATCCTGCTCAGCCTCTCTACAGGAGTGGACTGAGCCCGACATTGCATTTGCTTATGACATCCCCCAAGGGACTCCACTTCTCTGGGCAATGTGTCTCCCTGTTTCCTCATCTCCTGGACAGTTGCCCTTTCAGTAGCCTTCCTTGGTTCCACCTCTTCCATCTGCCTGGTTAACATAAGCAGTGCCAATGCGCAATCCCAGGATTGTCTCTTTTCTGCTGAAGTTCAACCATCACTCCCTGGAAGACACGGCTCCTTTTCAAGATTTTGATGGTGACCTCTATGGGCAATTTCCTTGACTATCTCCTTAATGTCAACACTAAACAAAGCATCTAGTATCATCTCCTGACCTACAAAAACAAAGCATCCTGCTGGAAAAGCAAAGGCAACCCATGCCCACCCCACTATTATCTTCCTCCACACCCCATTTCCTTAGCAAATACCACAGTCTCTGCAGTCCTTTAACACTGGGAGGTGCAGTCACCATTCACCCCCCTTCTATACTTCAGTTCACACAAAGCCTGACTCACCTCTTCCCTTCTCCCGTAGCACTCTCAACCCTTCACCTGGCAAACGTTAAGTCTACACTTGTTTAACTGAAATGAAATTGAGTTTTTCATGTAAATAAGCATTGCCAACACCTCACTCTGTCTATCATTCGTGTTTCTAAGTTCATTATCTATGAGGGGGAAAGGTTACACCACTGAGGCTTTAATAAGCTGGTGAGGGATTTTTTTTTCAGTCTGTAGACACAACCTGAACTAAGAGCCTGACGTGCTCTCTCTTGGGATTGCCCTGAAGTCCTGATCCTTTAAGGAAAGACAGCAGAGAAGTCAAAAGACAGTCTGCCATTTTCCTACTGGCATGTTGGCAACTAGCCAGAGTTTAATCCTAGGAGCCTATTTGAAACAAAAGAAAACACCTTCGCCATCACAGTCCACACATCACCTTAACCCATCCTCTCCCTACCCGGTTTCAAAAGTCTCCAGTGAGTGTTCATGTTTCCTGCTCTGGCGGCTACCACTTGACGTTTTTATTCCAAAACCTTCACACATCTGCCTCACTGCTTTTCCTGACTCTGGTGAGGACAGATCTAACAAGGACTGAAGAGCTTTGGAATATATACTCTTTGTAGTTCTGGTGACCTTGGAATATATGCTCTTTGTAGTTCTGGTTAGATATACTTTTACATGGGCTATCTTGATATGAAAATGAAAATACACAACTTTGGGGCTTTGAAGTAACATTTCTAATTACCTTCTCTGTGTGATTGTCATAATGTTGCTTAGAGAGACCACTGACTGAGCATCCTGAATGGGAGAAGCAACAAAATAACCCCAAACTGGCGAGAAGACCTTCTTGGCCAACTCATAGTTTCCAGTCTGATAGGCAACCTGTGACAAAAAAAAGAAAGAAAGAAAGAAAACCACATTGTCTCAAGGGACATTTTCATTTGGAACATGTAGATTTCAAATGGAATCCAGACACGTCCCGCCACACCACACATTAATTTCACATTTGCTGTTCTGCTCCACAGTGCCATGGTGAGGGGATGTGGGGGCCATGGATGGCCACTGGCAGGGGAGGTAGACGCATTTTGAAATCTCTTTTATTTCTAAATTGCATGGAAATTTGAGACTCTGTAAGGATGTTTCAAACCCTCATAAGCAAAACAAAGATCACATCTGAGCCAAATTAATTTCATTTCCATCCATCTCAGCAGTATGTCCCATTTATTATAGATGCTGTTATAATGAAGGATCTGCTCCAAAAGAAACAATCAGATTTCCCCAACCTGATATATGAAATCTATCTCATTCTTTCCTGGTTCTGACTGACACTTTCTGAGCTTTTGTGCAACAAAGAGTCGACAGCTGAAAAGGGTAAAGAATAAAACAGAAATGCTTTCTAAGAGTCTGTATCTTTTAAGTTTAACAGATCCAGTGTTGGGAAAAATAATTTCACTATTGGAGCTTAGAAGTTAAGTAGAAAAAAAATTATCACCAACTGACATTCTTTTGATAGAATATATTTAAGGGAGTTTCTAAAAATTCTTCTATTTAAATGCATACATCACATGAACCTTCACCAAATGACTTTCACGCTGCTTCAAATGATAGGGCATAAATAAATTCAATGAACTGAACACAGAAAGGACATGTTACTAGAACATTATCCACTCTCGGGGAAAGCTTACAGGACCAGAACCTCTCTAGTCTGTCAAATGATTCCTCCTAACTCACCAAGCAGTAAGGTTTCCCAAAAGTTCCAGCCCTGTGCTCAATGCTGGAGGTACAGGCTACTGTCAGCTTAGGAATGCCCTCACCACCCGTGCGACTGGAACCAAGCTGAAGACATATACTGTACAGCAGCACAGCAAAGCTGCAAAGAAGACCACAACTGTTGAGTGAGGGAGAGAGAGAGTGTGTGTGGGGGGGGGGGGTCTTAGCACACAGAATACACATTTGAGGAAGTGGGAGACTTGAGTTGAACCCAAAGGCAAGGACACAGTTCCAGCTGGTCCAATTTAGATAGAACATGAAAAGAACAAATCATGGGAAATGGTTAGAGAGCATTGATGAAAGGCTGTAGTGATGAATGCCAACTAGAAGAAAAACAAGCAACGTGAGGAAAAGTTAATATAGGGCATGGGTTCTGTCAGGCCTTGAAACCAGATGGAACTTTCTAGAAGCAAAGTGCTACAGTAAAGACTCGGGCCCGCTGGGCAGTGATGATGCACATCTTTAATCCCACCACTTGGGAGGCAGAGGCAGGCGGATCTCAGTGAGATCAAGGCCAGCCTGGTTTACAAAGCAAGTTCCAGGACATCCAGGACTGTTATACAGAGAAAGCTTGTCTTAAAAACCAACAACAACAACAAAAATGACTCGGGCCGATGCCAATGACTGCTCTGCACAGCCCATTCGTACCCTTTGTGCAGGTGAGGAGGTCCGGGCATGGAGAAATTGGAAGTCTGCATAGAGCCCACAGTCAGGAGAAGTAGGTGTGGCCTTGTTGAAGGAAGTGTGTCACTGGGGTGTGCTTAGAGGTTTCAGACCCTCAAGCCAGGCCCAGTGTCACTCTCTTCCTGATGCCTGGCAGTCTGGATGTAGAGCTCAACTACCTCTCCAACACCATGTCTGCCTGCCTGCCTGCCACCATGCCTCCTGCCGTGATGATAATGGACTAAACCTCTGAACTGTAAGCCAGCGATATAAACGCTAATGCACACTCTGTCTGATAAACAGCAGGTCAGCTCTTACAGCTGGAGCACGTGGACCAAGGAGAGCAGCGGGAGTGGCCAGGCATGTAAGACATGGACAGTGGCAGCTTTGGCCCTGCTTACAATGGGTAGTTAGTGAATGAATAGTCTTGATTCATGCTGTGTAGCCTGGCCTTGACCCCACAGCCTTCGGCAGCCCACGCCTGCCTTACCCACATCAGGCTGGCTCCCTAGTGTGCAATAAGGACCTTAGCTGGATCCATAAGTAAGATTATCTACAGAGGCTCAGCATTAAGTCGACAGTCTAGATGAGTGAAAAAGACATTTCCTAGGAAGGAGAGATGGTGTTGCGCATGGAGCCTGGTGCAAAGTAGACATTAGTTCATCCATAAGTAGATGAGCAAGGAGAGAGGTGGTAGGAAGTGAACGGAGAGGAGCTGAAACTGCTTACGAGGAAAGGCTCAGCTTCTCGCCCGTTCCTCTGCTTCCTTCCTTGTTGCTGTGATAAACACTCTGACAAAGTGCAACTGATGTGGGGGAAGGATTTATTTTAGTTTATTTCTTCAGGTCACACAGTCCCTCTTGAGGGAAGTCAGAGTAGGCCCTTAGACAGAACTCACAGCAAAAGCCATGGAGGAATGCTACACCACTGGCTGGCACCCTCTTCACTATCTTTTATATGGCCGAGGATCATCTGCCCAGGAAACAGCACAAATCACAGTGGGCCAGTCCATCCTATATCCATCAAGGCAATCAAAAGGAACCCACAAACACATCCCCAGACCAGCCTGATGAGGACAAGTGCTCAACTGGAGACACTTTTCAGGTGATTCTAGGTTTTGCCAAGTGCTAACTAAATCACCCATAATTCTTTCTTCCAAATTTAAACTCATGGGCAAAAGGGCATCCTTTACACATTGGTGGGTTCTTATGAAGTCGCCTGTGCAATGGGAACATGTAAGAGCAACACTTCCCTCACGACTGTGACAACCAATTGTGTGCCATCCTCAGACCGTGCTGCGTCTCGCCGGGAAGACCTGCCGACGCACCAGCTCAGGTACAGACAAGAGAAAACTGGTAGAGAAGCAAGGATGTGTAGTAGAGGGGCAAGGGGAGGGACTTAGAGGAGACAGGGAGCAGAGGGGGTCCACAGCACAGCGGTGCTGCTTTCAGAGTGGGCACAGAGCGACGCCCAACACTGTCCACCAACGTGGACAGGGGTGGAAGAAGACCTGAGCTGACACAACAGTCAGACTTACCATCTGCTACCCGAGACACTTCCGGACGGTGGTTCTCAACCTGTGGGTCATGACCCCTGGGGGGGCCGCATGTATACATTACAGATCACAACAGGAGCACAGTTACAGTAATGAAGTAGCAATGAAATAATTTTATGGTTAGGGGTCACCACAACCTGAGAAACTGTGTCAAAGGGTCACGGCATTAGGAAGGCTGAGAATATGTAATTTAACTACTACCTACTTTAAAAACAGTAAACAGAAATGAGGCCAAAAATGAGGGAATGTAAAAAAAAGTGAGGGAATGTTCGCAAAATAATATAACTATAAGAGATTCCTTTTTTAAAAATCAGACCAAATTACTAGTGTTCTACATTAATGGAAGACCTGTTGAAGATTTGCCTAATTTTATTAATGTTTATAGACTAATGTAAAATAAAAGCACCACCTAACCCCCCCACCATGATAACCAGAAGCATTTGGGAAAATAGCTTATCTTTTACTACATAATATTTACGATAATGCATTTTAATGAACAGGATTGTCCTGAAACTAAAATCTAACCACGGTTATGAAAACCAGATTGCACCTTTAAAAAGAAGAGGTTCATATTAACCTAGAATATATAAAAGCATATTCTTCAAATTTGGGAATTAAGGAGGTTTTGCTTTAGCCACTTGGTATTATGGGAGCCTGGCCATCACCCATCTTGAGTGACCTGGAGCACTGCAAATACAGTTCAATAAAGAGACACAGGTCATTGCTCCACGGCACTTCTCGTTATCCCCGAAGTATGGCCTGAACTTCATTTTATTAACTCGCAATGAAAGTTCTGTCAAATGGAACCTAAGAGTCAAACCCCTCCCGGGAGAAAAGTTAGGTCCTGATGAAATATTCAGCGCCTCACAATAACTCCATGGCTGCAAATTACAGAATATATTAAGTTCTAATGAAATCAAAACACCAGAAAACCATGAGCCAGTGTGACATGCTACACCAATGCTAGACAAATTTTAGCAATTCTCTCGATTTCATTTTATTTGAAAAATAGGATCACATAAAACGCCAGTGAGTATTAGAAGCTTATAATACTAATCAACTATTAAAAGAAAAATAGCACATCACAATAGAAATATGATAAAATTTAGAAAGCCATCCACTCTACAGCCAACAATAAATAGGCTTAAAATTAGACCCTTCAGACCTAGGTCAATGAATCCCTCTGGTGTCCTATTCACGGGTGACACATCTTCTGTCAAGACAGCAGCTATTAGTATTTATAACTACCGATAACAATATTTATCCAGTGTGTACTGTGAGAAAAATGTTATCGTTAAACATGTGACTCACATAACTCCATCCACCTTTAGATGTCCTGTTGCTGCCCTCTCTTCACACACGAAACTCACTTTCTCAATACCACATGGCTACTACAAGGAGCTTGACTCCAAACTTGGGTCTACCTGATTCCACTGACCTGCTAAATTCCTTTCTATGAATTTATCCTGAAAAAGTAGTCATGGGTACAGTTAAAGATTCATATATGGTAATGTATATTTTAGCTTTTTTTTACACTAACAAGATACTGAAGAGTCCTTCAGCAGTAAGAAATTACTAAGGAAACTACAACATGTCCACAAGGCTAAATACAGCGCTAAAGAAAAGAAGCCATGAATTCTACAGGGTGGGGGAGCATGGGAGGGTTAGAAGGAAGAAAATGAAAGGGGATTATATAATTATATTTTAATTTAAAACCCAATTCAATAAAGTGTAATCATTAAAGCATACTTCATAGGAAATTTTCTAATGGAATAGAAAAACAAAAATTACCTAGTAAATGAAGATATCAGCTGGGCATGATGGCACACACCTTTAACCCCAGGACTCAGGAGGCAGAGGATCTCTGAGTTTGAGACCAGCCTGATCTACAGAGTGAGGTCCAGGACAGCCAGAACTATGCAGAGAAACCATGTCTTGAAAGAGAAAAAAAACAAAAAGAAAAAAGCAAGAGAAAAAAATAATGTAAAATAATATGTATAGTTTAACATAATATATAGAAATTAATATATGTGTGTGTTATATACATACAATCGCAGGTGTAGATAGATTACAGGTATAGATAGATGATCGATAGATAGATAGATAGATGGATAGATGATAGATAGATAGATGGATAGATAGATAGATGGATAGATGATAGATAGATAGATGGATAGATGATAGATAGATAAATAGATAGATGATAGATAGATAGATAGATAGATAGATAGATAGATAGATAGATATATAGATAGATAGATAAGATGGCCAATGGGTAAATAGACAGATACACAAAAATAAAGAGTTGTCTCTGGATGTGGTCTTCTTATCCTGGTGCTACTGACATTTTGTATTGAATTTTTTTTTACTGTGTTTGTGATTGAACCCACAGCCTTGTGCATGCTGGCCTAGTAGTATTCTATTACTACTGAGTTACATCCCTAGCATGTGTTGGGTACCTTCTTGTTGCAGAAGGATGTCCTGTCACACTGTATATTGCTTATCAGCATTCCTAGCCTCTACTCAGGAGATACCAGCAGCATTCCTAGGTTGTGACAACCAACAGTGTCACCAGGCATTGACAACAGCATTCCAGGGTAAGATCTGCTACTCTGGGTAGTAACAGATAACATTTATTTACCTGCATTGCAGTATTTTCCAAAACATTCAAAATTACATTTGTACTCCCCAGGGAAAACATTCTGTGAGAAGGCAAATTTACTAATAGGGGAAGCAACGACTTGTGTTTTATGAAGAAAGCTGCAATTGTGGAAAACACGTATCACAGGCACTGTGAAATGCCTAGTGTGATTTTTCTTCCATCGGGTATCAGTTAGCAAATACTTAACAGAAAGAAAAAGAGATGGCAAACAGCAGCCATCTTCTCTACCTGTGTCAAGTACATCCGAGCAGTGACAGCAGAAAGAGGCGGGTAAATGAGGATTGGTTTAGTTGTCTCGCCAACAGTATCACCGATGAGTTTCCCGTTGCAAGAATAAGCAGCGATTGCAAATATATATTTTTCATTGGTTTCTAAGCCTTTAATTTCAAAGATGCTTTTGCCATCATTTGGTATCTGTGGACGGAAACATTTCAGCTTTTACTGGAAAATTAAGGCAATGTGACTATTAAATCATAATTGGGTAAGCCTTTCTCCTTCACTGTTGGATCTTAGTTGTGACTCAAGTTGGAATTAGTGTCAATCCAGTGCTGTAATGACTTCATAGGAGGAGCACACACTGGGTTGTCATTAATGAGGCTTCAATAAAGTCTCCTGGCAGAGAGTGTGACATACCGCTTCTCCTGAGTTCGGGAGACGGTTGTTGTTGAGTCTTACTTTTCCATAGCTTCCTTCTGCTTTGCAACCCAATATGCAGTACCAGGACACCTGGCGGGGAGAGAGAGAGAGAGAGAGAGAGAGAGAGAGAGAGAGAGAGGGACATCGTCAGCTGCAGTCTAACAGCATTTGATCTCCTCTGTCTGGATGTAGCAAAATCAATAATCATCCGATGAGAACAGTAGCTACTTGTCTGTTAAACTCTGAAACCTAAACTTATATGTGCATATGTCACCTTTAAAAAGTAACAACAAAAGTGCGGCTTGCTTACCTGGGACAATCAAGACTAAAATATTATTCATAATCTCACTCGAACGCATGCACGTAAATGCATGCAGGTGCTCGAGCACGCACAGTACGAGCATGAAAGTTAGATATGAAACACGGTCTGTCAGTCCTTGCCTTCTTCCTCATTTGAGATAGAATCGTTGTTGTTTCCCCACATTAAAAAGAATAGGCCAGGTGGCCCACAAGCCTTTGGAGATTCTCCTGTCTCATCCTCTCTGCTCCACATAGGAATGCGATTACAAACCCTCACACTGTGTCTGGCTTTTATATCGGTTGTGGGAATTCGAACTCAGATCCTTAGCGTGCTTGGCAGCACTTTCACCCACTGATCCATTCCTCCCAGGCCCTCATTATTGCCTTCTCTAATTACTACTAATTGAGCAGGTCTCTGTACTAAGTAGCATCAGTAAGCTGGCATATACTTTGGTTTTTATTGACATACACTCATTATGCATAGTGATGGGTTCATAAAGACATTTCCATGCAAGTACAACAAGAACTTTGGCATGTTCACTCTTTCCCTTTCCCCTTCCGCTATTCTCATCCACTCCCCCAGTCTCCCCTCTGCTTCCATGTCCTATAAACATGCATAATTTAATACATCTACATAAAGCTGGAACTTGAAAATGAGAGAAACACACATCGTTTGTCTATTTGAGTCCAATTGATTTTGCCTCATATAGTGATCTCCACCCTTTTTCCTGAAGAACAATATGATTCATTCTTTTTACGGCTGGATGGAACTCCATTGTGAGTAGATTCTACTTCAGCTATTTGTCTGTTGATGGACATGGAGGCAGGTTCCGGAGTGTAGTTGTTATGAATATGGCTGCATACACAGGTGCATAAGCACCTCTGTGGTGTGTTCAGGGCACAAACCCAGGAGAGGGTAGAACTTGGTCACGTGGTAGCTATGTTGTTTTCTGAGGAGTCTCCACACGAATTTGCACCATGGGGAGGGAATACGCACTAATTCTATTTCCGCCAACAGTGCGTGAGGCATCCTCACCGGCGTTCGCTCTTATTTGTTTTCTTAATGATTGTCATTGTGCCTGGGGTGAGATGGCATCTCTCCATGCTGCTTAGGGGGCTTTCTTTCCCTAGTGGCTAAGAAGAGTGAACGTTTTCATACGACTGTTGGCCTCACTCACTTCATCTTTTGAGAACTCTCTGCTCATTTCTAGAGGTACTAGCCCCTTGTGAGTCACGCGGTGCAGGCGCCGGGAACCATGCCTGGGTCCTCTACAAGAGGAAGTGGGTGCTCTCCAGCGCAGAGCAGGTCCCTAGCCCCAGTGCAATCTAAACATCCAGCTCCATCAGTGACGTGACTAACAAAGACTTTTCTCCCATCCCATAAGTGCCTCTCCACTGGATTGCTTCCTTGGCTGTACAGAGGTTCTTTTGTTTTTATTTCATGAGATCCCATTTGTCAAATCTTGCTCTTTTGTTCCCCCTGAGCTACCCCAGTCCTTTTCACAAAGTCCTCCTCAGATTCATCCTGGGCCTGCCACTCGGGTCTCTCTCTCCAGTACGTTCAGTTTCCGATCTCGTAGTAAGGCCTTTGACCTGGTTTGGATTGATTTCTTACAGCAAGAGACAAGGCTTCTCCGTGTTCTGCTGACGCGATTTGCTGAAGAGGCTGTGCTCTCTCCAGTGTGTGTCCTTAGCTCCTTTGTCAGAAATCGTGTGGTGAATGTTCACCACCTCCCTTGGAGATGGAATTGCTACTGTCATGGGAACCAAGATGCAGACACAAAAGTTGATGCCAAAGACAATTTCATCTTGAGGGACTCAGAATAGGACCAGATGGGAACAGAGGTCACCATTTAAAAGATTTTCACGTGACAGGTACCCATGACAAAAACAACATGGCAGAGAACCGAGAGGAGTGAGACCCCAGGACACATGCAGCGTTACACGCACCCAGTCTCAACCCCGACCTCACTCTAGGTCACTTTGCAAAAGAAGAGTTTTACAGAATCGATTGCTTTCTAAAATTATCAATAGCCAAGCCACCCAAGGCTCCGTAGCTTCAACGAGTGAGGCTTTCTGGTGCGAGTGTCTGCCCCTTTGTGCTTCCAGAGATAACTTCTCGAGTGACTATGACATATATGACTAATTAAGAGTGCCAGTCAATGAGCAGAGAAAGAAGGAGAGGGATAAGAGAGGATGCTGAGAAACTGGAGGCTGGAAGACAAGGATGGAGCTCAAATGAATCCCCAAAGCAAAACAAAACACAAACACCAAAATAATGGACTTAAAGTCTCTTGATTAGGCACACAAAAAAGAGTTGACTCTCTGTGGGGGGAGGGGCAGAAAGGCTATGTTGCATGGCAGGTTGCTATTGCTCTAAATTATACCACACAAACCAGAGTCTAGAGGACAAATTCTCTCTAAAGCATTTTTACAAGCAGATTTTATGTTTTTATTTTGCTCCTAGTTTGTGTAACACAAAGGAGCAATGTGTAATTAGAATCTACATAAGAATAGGGACGGTGTGAACAAATCGCTAACTTTGGAAATAAGATTTTATAGACAATGTAAGTAACATTAGCATTTGCAGCTATAGAAACAGATTTTAATGAAAGCAAGCATGAAGAAGAGTTTTCACTAAAACAAAAGATTGCCAAACCAGGGAGCCAGTCAACTTACATAAGCCCACAGCGCCACCTAGTGGTGACAAAGAGGAAGCAAAGGGTGAACCTTCCTGAACCAGCTCTCTCCTAAAGAGTAATTTACGTAAATGTCATTGTATATGTGACATTAAAAAGCACTAGAGCTTCAGATCAAATATGAGGTGCTAATGTCTTCTCATGCTCAAGCAATATAAAATAACATTCACTAAATAGCAATGCTGAAAAACTAAAGTTTGGTTTTAACCAAAATATTTGAAAACAAGCAGTAAATTCCATAACCTGCATTGTGTACTAATTTCCTAAAACCAGGGAAGCACTTCCTCTTATCACATGCTTCCAAAATCTTCAAGGTTGAACTCCTAGCTCTAAAGCGATGCTGTTTCTACTCCCACAATTTCAGAGAACAAAACAGCATGAAGGTGACAACGCCTGCTCAAGAAAGGCCACCCCACTCATCTAAATCACTCAAGACGAGCTGCACGCCATCCGCGATTCTCTTGGTGCCTTCACCCCACAGAACTCGACAGCTAACAGACATTCGAGCGAAGTTCATTGTATAGAAAAATGACAAACATCAAAAAGCAATGAGATCACAGCCTATATCTCCAGAAATTGTTCTGATAAATTCTATTACGTGTGTTTAACAAAAGTAGAAAGCCATCAGCTAGTATGTTGAGAATGTTATATATATTAGTTCCATTTATTCTCTCTCTCTCTTGTGTTTCTTTGTTTGTTTGTTGCTTGTTTGGTCCAGACAGGGTTTCTCTGTGTAGCCCTGGCTGTCCTGGAACTACTCTGTAGACAAGGCTGGCCTTAAACTCACAGAGATCCACCTGCCTCTGCTTCCCCAGCCCTGGGATTAAAGGTGTGTGCCACCACCACCCAGCTAGTTCAATTAAGCATGGTCTCACGATGGCCTTGAACTCGCCTTGAGGCCAGTGTGCACCAGGAACTGATCTTTCTGCCCCCACCTCCCAAGTTCTGAGATTAAAGGCATGTGTCACCTAGCTAGTGTGGCTCTAGGGACAGAACCAGGACTTTGTGCATGCTGGACAAGCCCTCTGCTAAGGACATGCATCTCCATCCCTAGATCAGGTTCTTTTCCTGGTAAACACGCTTCGCAAATGAAAAGAAATCCTCACACTGTTTTGACCTTTCTAAAGCTGTACTGCCAGTAAGGAGTGGAGCTGGAGTTTTAAACTTAAATACGCTTGACTTCAAAGTCTCTGTGTGCAAAATGCCCTAAAGATAATCAAAGATAGGATTGTATTGTAGTACAACATCAAAGAGCACCTAAAGAGGAAAGGGCAATATTTAAAATATAAACTAGCTGGAGCCAATTTCTTGCTTGGAAATGAAATCCCAAGTGTTATTCCCATTTAGGCCGAGTTCTGGAACTCAGGGACGGGGAGAAGAGGTTCATCCTGGCAAAGGCATAAAGGCTTATGCCTGAAGAGACATTTGGAATGCCACTTGTTTCCACAGTGACTTGAGGGTGATTTACACAGAATCTCTAGACCAGTGACTCTCAACTTGCTATTCTTTGACCCTTTAATACAGTCCCTCATATTGTGGTGACCCCCAACCATAAAATGATTTTCGTGGCTGCTTCATAACTGTAATTTTGCTACTGTAATGAATCATAATGTAAAAATCCAATATGCAACCCCAAAGGGGTTGTGACCCATAGGTTGAGAACTCATGCTCTAGACCCATCACCTTCCCAGGTCCGGATCTCCGTCTCCAGTGTTGGCTCTCAGAGGAACTACCCCCTTCCAAGTGCCCTCTGAGTCTACTGGAGCCCTGAGCTCAGCTCAGCCTCTGCCCTGAGCACAATGTCAGCATACAAGTGTCACTGCGACAGAGGCACAGACAGGGAACGATTTTCCTACTGCTTCTTACTGTGTGTTTGAGATAGCTTTCCGGGGCAATTCATAAAGGGAAATATCATGACTAAATTAAGGGTAGATGAGACACAAACACAGTCATCTGATGTTCAGTGCTTATAAACAAGACTATTCAGGTGCTGCAAACAGTGATGCCTGGAGTCATTATGGTCATAAAAAGCACTTACACTGCATTGCATGGAGCAGCACTCGGGACAGGCACCGTACCTTAACATCTGAAATGAACGGAGCAGGTTTCAGAGTCACGGAGCAGTGGGTTCTGGCCAGCAGGATGGGTGGGGGAGGGATCCTGCTCTTCTTTGTTTTTGAACTCTCCAAGTATTTCTGATAGGAATATAAGGCATTTTGTTCTGCTTCGAGCTTCTCAATTAAGGCATACGCTTCCTGTAACGAAGTGTGAAAATAGAAAAATACATTTCAGGAGCTTGAGCCGCCTTTATATTTGTAGAATTCCCCTGTGGTAAACGCGATCTTTCTATATGCCATTTCTTGAACCTCAGAGGCATACATATATATGTCAGCATGGTTTTTGCTAGACAATAAAAGACAACTAGATGAGCCTCAACAGGATCAGATGCATATGTCTAAGTGTAATGGTCATATATTAATAGGAGGCATTTTTGGCTTAGCAACCCTCTGGCTGATTACCATCATACTCTATTATGCTTTGAAAGTTCATACCACAGACACCTGCAATTCCACGGATAAACCACAACCTACCCTTAACACAACATGCAACGTGACTCTCAAGAAACACAACTATTGATACATGTGATTTGTGAAAGGAATGTCATTAAGAGTTTATATCACTAAAACAAGTTAAAAGAGACAAAAGTGCTAAGTCTGTCCTTCTGAAGACGAAGCAATCGCTATTTCAAACAGTTATACACAGAGACGATGCCTAACTTTCAGATCTAAACAGTATTTTAAAAACCAGATGAACTGCATCAGCAGGGATGTGGAAACGTCCTAACAATACAAATAACACTAGTTAAAATAATGATAGTAATATTTTAATATCGATAATCACAGGTAAACCAAAAATATTTACCTTTTTTGGTTTATTTATTTATTATGTATACTATGTTCTGTCTACATGTATACCCACTGGCCAGAAGAGGGCACCAGATCTCATTACAGATGGTTATGAGCCATCATGTGGTTGCTGAGAATTGAACTCAAGACCTTTGGAAGAGCAGTCAGTGCTCTTCTAGAGGACCCAGGTTCAACTCCCAGCACCCACATGGCAGCTCACTTTTATAAGGTATTTAACAGAGTAGAGAGAAAGTGTTTGGTGGTTCATCTTCCTTCCAGAGGATCCAGGCTTGTTCCCAACACCCACATAGTTGCTCACACCGTCTATCAGTTCCAGGGATCCGATACCCTCTGAATGTACCAGGCATACACATAGTGCACATATTTATATTCAGGCAGATACCCATACACATAAAATAAAAAGTCATAACTATTTTTAAAAATATTTAAGCATCTTAAATGTATACTACTAATTCTCAAAAACTCAATAAACCAGGAAAAATCATTAACATCACTAAAATATTAAGTTTAGTTAATAGAATGGCACTCTTGGTGTTCCTAACAAAACACTAAAGGAATTTCCAATTTAGCCCCAAAAGAGATGGGAGGCTATCATTCCATTGTATTCTAGAAGCCCTACCCTGGTGGCAAATGAAAGAGAAAGAAAAGCTCCTACAGTTAAGAAGGCAAACGTCTGTCTGCCAAATCCCAAGTGCTCCCATTCTGTTACAAGACGCCCTTCATGCCTCTCCTACAGGAGACATGTAGCGCTTGAGGTTTCCAATTTGGAGGCCTGGACTTCAAGCTAAATGAAGTAGAGACCGGGCATGGTGTTTGAGTCTACCTCAACATGCTGTTCAAGGCTGGATGTTCAAACTAGTACCCCATGTAAGTATAGATTGTAAGACTCGAGCCCCAGACATAGTTTCCCTCAAATAATAAAGGCTGGTCTGCATGAAGTGAAAATGACTTGTCATTTTTATGTTCTATTTGAGTGGCTGGCACCCAGCTCTAAAAGCACTAGCAGTAACTAAAATGCATCTGCAATGACCCAGGCTTTAAAATTCTACTTTTCCAATGCTTGGGAAGTGATTCTGCACTTGCAGTCCCAAGGCTTAGCCATAAGCAAGGCCAATTCAGAAAGGGCCTTGCTTTTCTTCCACTCAGAATGGGTGCCTTACATAGTAGCCAGGATGATCCATCACTAACACAAAATAAAAATCCAGAGGTGGGGCTTGACTGTATATAACACTAACAAATGCTATGGGCACTGCTAAGTGCATCAGGAATTGTCGACCAGTGCTTCAGGTGAGAAATGGCACAACCCAGACTCTCTGGAGACCCTTCATCTCCCCACAGCAGTCGGGCCATGCCCTCTGGGACACAGACACTTGATAGGGGGTCATGATGTGCTGCACCTCGAGTGTCTTCTCCTCAGAGCTGCAATATGCTTATTCTCTTACCCATAGCACTGACCACGACCGTTTGGGTGTGTTCACAGGTGTGTACATCTCTCCCTACGTTTCCCAGCACCAGACTCCTCGGCCCCTTGATGAGGCTGAGACAATTTTCTGGTGTGGTACTTCTGATCCACTCCATGAAAGTCTACCAAAGTCTAAAAACACCCCATGTTCAGGGAATCTGAAGGCTTTTCTTTCAGGACACCAATGCATCCTGGCAGCTGTCTCTCCCACTCTACGGCCTCAAGCTCTCTCCTGATAAGGCACCTCAGCGTTTTCTACAGGAAGACTGTCTTCCTGACAGAAGGCCCCCTCATGCTTCCTCTGCTAGGATGTCTCTCTGGCTCTCTCCAGCCTCAAAGTGTGATCACATGCCAGGAATCACGAGGCTGAAGCACCTATGAAAGCTCATTCCGAAGGGCAATTTTATGTCAGCTCCTTTCCCAAACCAACCAACCGCTGCATCTGACCAACAACCTGCTCTCTTAGAAAACAGTGAGTCGCTTTTTGGTCAGTCTCTGGGCACCTCAACTTCAGGTCTTGACTTTGAAAACAACCTCTAGTATCTACTGAAGGGCAGGCTTCCCCACAGGGGTTTTTGTAATGGTCATGAGCATATCTTCTAGCTGTATCTCCCCATCTGCTTTCTCTTTTACTTTCCTATGTACCTCTCGATTTAGCCTAAACCTCTAAAACCACTACTTCCATGCAACCCCGCTCCCCAGGCAGCATCCCATCCCTGCTGCTTTGAGACCTGCTCAAGCATGACCTCTGCTGACATTTCCATAACAGCCCATGTTCTCAGGGACCTCCCTATTCGTCTGCAATAACTTTACTTCAGTGGGAACTGGATCGCATGTTACCTGTGCACTCAAATGTCTACACCTTGTTATGAACGCCTTGATGGCAGGACCAGTGCTTTATTTACCTCTCCAGACTCAATCACTGTGTTCTACATGAAAGTTGAACTAAACCATGATGGCAGAGAAGAGTCTTCACTAAGATACATTTTAAACTACATGATAAAAATGTTTTGACTGCATCTTGACCAACTCTAAGAGGAGATACCTGACTCAGGTCCTGTGGCCCAGTTTAAAATGCTAGCAGAAATTTCAAAGTTTGTATAAAGAAGTAGTGAAAGAAAAGTCCACAGTAAAGTCCTAGATTTCAGTCAAATGAATTCCACGGCAGAACTCAAGGCAAACTCTAGCGTTTGTTTAAAAAAAATAAAGTCCTAACTCTATAAGACAAATCTTGGAGTTGCTAGTAAGGTTCGTTCATGAGAAAGAGTCTGGGGGTGATTTAAGACCTTCAGCCATACAGGAGGGAATATCTGGGGGACAAAAATAAAGAAGGAAAAATTCCCTAAAGCAGCTGCACTCAGTTTTGAAAGGGTGCCAATAAAGACACAAGTGTTATCTACAATGATCCTCTGGAATGCTTAGGTCTCACAACTGCAAAATCTGGACAGCCATTTCCAGTCTTAGCCCACAAACTTGCTTTCCCAGACATGTCAGATGGTGAAAAGAATCAACCTCACATGCTCTTCTGACAGCCTTTGGAAATTAGGACTCACCAAACCTAAAGGAAGAAATGACCCTTTACTGCCCAAGGGAAAAGGTTAGCCAGGACTCTCGATGCCAAGGGACTTCCGCAGCAGTGTTCAGGGGAAGCGGCTCCTCATGGCCATATCTGTGCATCAGTGGGCTGCAGAAACTCAGTCCCCAAGTATCTTTATGTGAGTGCAAATGTCTCTGCCTCTAGTTTCCTTTAGAGCAAATGAGACCTGCCTCTCTTCAGAAGTGTGCCAGTACGTATGAAGACAGGCTGACATTAAATACATTTGACACAGGCCTGACACCCACAGTGCATCAGGACACTAATGGAAAGATGTAACGCAATCCTGAGGGCACGATTAGGATTGCGCAAACAGCTGTCACAAGGCTGTGAGGACGGAGCACCACACTCCCTACTGTCTGGGAGCCCTCCCGGAGGTGCGCTGCAGGTCCCAGTGTGAGGACGCACACTCAGAAGACGATGAGAAGCAGATCAAGTCATCTCCCAAGAACCCTGGCCAGGAACACTGCTGAGAACAAAAGACATGGCTTCAAAGATGACTCTCAGAGAAGGCATGGAAAGTGATGTCGTCTCATGATGATCAGTACAGCTGAGGGTCCAGAATTTATGTCTATAATTCTATCCTATGAACTGAACTGGTAGTAATTGAGTTTATTTCTTTTTCTTATTTATGGAATTTCAGTCAACTCGGTCCTATTTGTTTTTCTTGAGGGAAGTGTGAATTTTTTTCCTGAGACTCTCTCAGTCCTTTATGTCTGTTCTCTACTGAAGTCTTTCTTGTGGAAGAGCAGAGGCCTTTCTGGTTCTGATCCTCTCTAATGAGTGAAGGGAGCAGGCAGAGGCACCTTGACCTAAGTATGGCCATTTTAGTTCCAGACTCCATTTTATCTGCAGGGTGAAATAATGTTCAGGTTCCCAAGTCCTGGAGGACCTGAGAACTTTCCAATGACTGATCAACCTCCTCCTAAACTATAGAAATAGTCGTTATGTGTCTTTAGTTCTCTAGAAACATGGCTATTCCTAACAACAGAAGGAACAAATGAATCTGATTGGTTGGACTGAAAGGCTTGCATTGTATGCCAGTTGACAATGATGGAACACTCAAGGAAGACCCTAATCTCTAAATCCCGATTGGTGAAAATTGTAACTGTAACTTGGCAACGAATGTTGGTGATTTTTGTGCTTATAAATCCCACTTCTACCCCGTCTCAGTGATATTGGGAGAAACAAGGCTCCCAAATCCTTGTCCAGGAGCCCTGATCAACCAGTGGCCCACTTATGTGGTGATTTTTAAAAAATCTCTGGAACCCA